TGCATTTCCGACAGACGTCAATCTCCGAACTGCTTCCCTCTTGCAGAAAAATAAGTTCGTCATCGAGAATTGTGACTCAGCAGGAATTCAGGTTCTTTCCTCCCTTCCTTTCTTTTCTTACCAGAAGAGTCAACAGCTACTCCCAGGTGCAGGTTTGCTGTTGCAATATCTGCTCCGGGTTAGAACAAAAGAGTCGGCCAGCCGATCCTTCCCCCACTGCATTTTACAGGCGGTTCTCAACTTCCGACCACAATTGAGCCTGACTTTTCCTTTGCTAAGCAGGACAGGCTCCATGTTACGACCTTTCTTGCCACAGTTGTTAAGTGAATCACTGCCGCGAATAGCAATAGCACTTAGACTTGTATACCGCTTCACAGAGCTTTTACAGCCCTCTCTAAGTGGCTAACAGAGTCAGCATATGCCCCCCCCCAGCAATCTGGGTCCTCATTTTACCGACCTCGGAAGGATGGAAGGCTGAGTCGACCTTGCGCCAGTCAGGATCAAACTCCTGACAGTGGGCAGTTTGCCTGCAATAGTACTTAGACTTATATACCGCTTCACAGTGCTTTACAGCCCTCTAAGCGGTTTACAGAGTCAGCATATGGCCCCCCCAACAATCTGGGTCCTCATTTTACCAACCTCGGAAGGACGGAAGGCTGAGTCGACCTTGAGCCCAGATCGAACCCTTGGCAGTGGGCAGAGTTTGCTTGCAATATTCCATTCTAACCACTGCACCGCCACCACAAGTTAGCATCACGGTTATTAAGTGAATCTGGCTTACCCCATTGACTTTGCTTGTCAGAAAGTCACAACAGGTAGATCACAGGACCCCGGGACATTGTGGACAGGACCCCAGGACATTGTGACCGTCATAAATATGAACCAGTTGCCAAGCATCCAAATTTTGATCATGTGACCCTGCAACAGGCGTTAAGTGTGAAAACTGGTCATAGGTCACTTTTTTCAATGCCGTTGTAGCTTTGAACAGTCCCCAAATGAATGGTTCTTAAGTCGAGGACTGCCTGTAGCAACCCCAAGACAAATGACAATGGAAAAAGGGTTACCACGAACTGCAGTTTTTCAAGGCACCCCGTAAAGCGCTGCTTTCAAAACTTCCCTTCATTATCCAAAGCCATTTAACGGAAAGTCTTAATTGAATTTCCAGGACCGACTGTAAGCCCCTTCCTGTAGTACCACTGGAGCTTCAAACTCCTGTTCAGGTAGTCCCCAACTTACAACCATTCGTTTAGCGACTGTTTGAAGTTGCAGCAACCTTGAAAACAAAAAGTGACTTACAACTTGTCCTTTCGCTTACAATCGTCGCAACCTCCCCTCAGGCCACGTGTTTAAAATTAAGGTGCTTGGCAGCTGCTGTGTACTCTTATTTATAAAGATTGCAGCAGGCCAGGATCATGTGATTGCCATCTATGACCTTCTCAGTCAGCTTTTAACAAGCTAAATCAATGGGTGAGTCTAGATTCGCTTAGCAACCGCACGATTCACTTAACAGCTGCAGTGAGTTAAGATAACCTTTACTGTCATTTAATGTGGGCACACTGGCCCACATTAAAAATGAAATTCTGTTGCCTGCTCTCAAAAGTGTACACATACATAACACACATTTAAAAACATACTGTATACAACAGTGGTGGCGAACCTATGGCACGGGTGCCAGAGGCGGCACTCAGAGCCCTCTCTGTGGGCACACGTGCCGTTGCCCCAGGCTTGCCTCCCCCCACGACCCCCTCCTCTCCAGCAGCCCCCCTGAAGGAGAATCGCCCCCAAGTGTGGCCCACACAGAGCAGCACAGCCAAGGACATGGCAGCAGGCAGCAGGCAGACTCTGCCCTCACGCCCCATCATGAAGTTGATGCTGCAGGGTGCGGGTAGAGGGTGTGGCCGCCACAGCGCTGCTGGGCTGCCTGGGCGATCTGCGTTGGGCCATGGAGGCGGTGAGTGGTCCTGTGGGCAGGCGGGGTGGGGGATGGGGGGGGGCAGAGCGGGGGCAGGATGGGGTGGAGCAGAGGCGGGGCCAGTTTTGGGGCACTCAGTCTCTAAAAGGTTCGCCATCACTGGTATACAACATATGTATAGACCTACACCCTTACATATACATAACAAATAAATATGAAACACTGTCCATCTTGAATATATAACGAAAGGAAGAAGCTTGAGAGTTCACAAGGTTAATACTGTATGGAACAAAACTGTGGCTGAATCTGGATGTTCTGCTTCGGATACCACGAAGCCCCCCCCCCCTCCCAGAAGGGAACAAGGAAAACAGGTTGTGAAGAGGATGTGTAGTGTCCCAGACAATCCTGCGGACGCTGCTCAAGCAACGCTTCTGTGCTATGTCCTGGATGGGAGGGAGGGAACTGCCAATGATCTTTTGGGCCATCTGCACCGCCTTCCTGTCTGAAGCAGGGATGCCTCCAAACCAGACTGTGATGCCGTATGACAGGATGCTCTCGATCGCCCCCCTGTAGAAACTGGTCAGGACAGCAGAAGGAAGATGTGCTTTTCTCATGAGATGCAGAAAATGCAGGCGCTGCTGTGCCCGCTTCACCAGTGTCTCGCTGTTGAGCGACCAAGCCAGCCTACTCGTTAATTGCTTGACAAACCATGGCACACACGATTATAAAACCGGGTGCGTTAACGAACACCTTGCTTAATGATGAAAATTCTGGGCCCATTTGTGGTCGTCAGCTGAGGCCTGCCTGTGTATTTTAATACCTGGCAATCTTTAAGTCATTTACATGTCCCCGTTAATGGGTAATTGGTTTGTGTGTCCTTACTCAAGGAAAAAACACTTTATCCCATTGTGAGTAAATTTCCCCAGGGAATTTGGGAAGCCCTGCGTGAAGGCCTTCCCAAAAGTCCTCCATATCTTTGCTATTAACTACCTTACCGCACCTGTTTAATTATTACTTTTTCATTAGCTGATTATTATTTGGAATGGGCTTCAGTCAAGAAAATCTGCCTTCAGAGTGTAACCTATCCAAGCTAGGTGTGACAATGAGTTGACTGATATGTGAGTTGATAGGCATGTGTTATTTCTCTTTAGCAAACTCTTGTCTTCGGTTGTCTAATAATCAGTGACAAACTATAGGGGGTAATCCCATATTTACCACAGTTCACTTAGTGACCGTTCAAAGTTACAACGGTACTGAAAAAAGTGATATATATATAACTAGCATACTGCATCCAGTTTTGGTCACCACGATGTAAAAAAAATGTTGAGACTCTAGAAAGAGTACAGAGAAGAGCAACAAAGATGATTAGAAGACTGGAGGCTAAAACATATAAGGAACAGCTGCTGGAATTGGGTATGTCTAGTTTAATGAAGAGAAGGACGAAGTGGGACACGATAGCACTGTTCTAGTATCTCAGGGGCTGCTCCAAAGAAGAGGGAGTCAAGCTAGTCTCCAAAGCGCCTGAAGGCGGACAAGAAGCAACGGATGGAAACTGACCAAAGAAAGAAGCAGCCTAGAACTAAGGAGAAATTTTCTGACAGATAGAACAATTAATCAGTGGAACAACCTGCCTCCAGAAGCAGTAAATGCTCCAACACTGGAGGCTTTGAAGAAGAGACTGGACAGCCATTTGGCTGAAATGGTATAGGGTTTCCTGCCTGGGCAGGGGGTTGGATTAGATGACCTCCAAGGTCCCTTCCACCTTTATGATGATGATGATGTGGTTTATATTGGTCTTTTGTTGACCTGGTGCTTTCCCAGTGGACTGTGAACCCTGGGTGATTATCTCCAATTTAGAGCACCTGACTGGGAAATCTGTGCCATGCAAGGTTAAATAAGCGTTGGTCCAGATCTCACGTGCCTTTCATGTGCCTTTCAGTCAATTGCAGAAGCCGTTTATTGCTGCTGGAAGTGGATCCACGTAAAACCCACTTGCTCCCCAACAAGTGGGATACGGGCGCCATCTTGTGTCCCATCTGTATACAGGACACAAGAAAGTCAAATAAAATGGGTTAAATCAAATTGTGTGGGGTTTGGGCTTAACAACAATAATAATAAAGTTGGAAGGGACCTTGGAGGTCATTGAGTCCAACCCGCTGTTCAGGCAGGAAACCCTACACCATTTCGGACAAATGTCTGCCCAGTCTCTTCTTAAAAACTTCCAGTGTTGGAGCATTCACAGCTTCTGGAGGCAGGTTGTTCCACTGGTTAATTGTTCTAACGGTCAGGAAATTTCTCCTTAGTTCTAGGTTGCTTCTCTCCTTGATTAGTTTCCATTCGTTGCTTCTTGTCCTGCCTTCAGGCGCCTTGGAAAATAGCTTGACTCCCTCTTCTTTGTGGCAGCCCTTGAGATACTGGAACACTGCTATCACTCCGTCTCTTCATTAAACTAGATATACCCAATTCCAGCAACCGTTACTTGTATGCTTTAGCCTCCAGTCCCCTAATCATCTTTGTTGCTTTTCTCTGTACTCTTTCTAGAGTCTCAGCATCTTTTTTACATCGTGGTGACCAAATAGCTTATATGAAAGTAACATATCACAAAAATTGAGTAAATACAGGTAGTCCTCGACTTACAACAATTCACTTAGGGACTGTCTAAAGTTACAACGGCACTGAAAGAAGTGACTTTCACACTTACGACTGTTGCAGTTATCCACAGGGTCACGGGATCAAAAGTCAGACGCTTGGCAACGGCCTTATATTTGTGACGGTCGCGGTGTCCCCGGGGGGATGTCACGTGATCTCCTTTTGCGACCTTCTGAAAGGCAAAGTCAATGGGGGAAGCCATATTCCTTTAACAACCGTGTTACTAACTTAACAACTGTGGCAAGAAGAGTCATAAAATGGGGGGAGGGCAAAACTCAACAAATTTCTCACTTGGCAACATAAATCTGGGGCTCAGTTGTAGCCTGTACTCATGTTTTTCAACTTTGGTGACTTTGTGGAAATTCATCTCCCAGAATTCCCCACCCAGCATGCTATATCGTAGGGGAGCTGTGCTAATGATGAGGCAGCCAAAAATTAATGAGTTGTAGTTCACAAAGCTTTATGTCTTTTAATAAAATAAAATGTGTAACTCTGAAAAAGTGCTGTTAGATAGCTTCAGATTATTTTGGCTTATTGTGTAGAAACAACGCACTAAGACTTGGTCGATTGACACTGTTGGGTTGCCACACATAGGCCGGTTGCCAAGTGCGATATAGAAGTTATTTTTTCCAGTATCATACCTTCAAACAGTCACTAAGTGAACGGTTGTAAGTCAAGGACTCCCTGTGCCCCATGTTGTTGCTGTAGGAAAAAAACCTGCGTATTCACCCAGGCAGATGTCATAAGTTAATGACTATATTCAGTACAATACATACAAAACCAGGAACGTAGAAAATATACAGGCTGGTGAATGAAAAGAACCCGCTTCAATCGTCGAGGGTGCCTGATGTGATTCAAAGCTGAACTCCAGATCCCCTTTCAAATATTTGTCATTAAACGTACTTCCTCCATCGAAAATGTGCACCTGCTAGGAATTGCCTCCACGGGTACGGAAGCTCTAGCAAGGCACTGCAGGATCCATGTGCTTCGTTGGGATGGGTGCCCAGTAGCCCATCCTCATTGTAGTTTTGATCCTCCTGGAAAAGGCACGGAGAACGTATGTGCTCTGGGAGATCAGAGGCTGCTGTAGCTGGCAATCACTTGTTCCAAGGTGGTGAAACAGCCCAGAAAATCGTCTTCTTCAATTCCAAATTTTGAATACTGGTGGATGTAAGCCCTGCGTGGAAGGAACAAGAGGCTTTGGTGAGCAAGAGAGTCTGGCCCGTATCAAATTATCCATGGCTCCTTGGAGGGAAAGTAATTGTGGGCAGAATACAATGTTGGCTTGGATTAATGTTACAGATTGAAACACGCATAAAGGAATAGAAGTAGGGTAGAGTAGAGTAGAGTAGAGTAGAGTAGAGTAGAATAGAATGGAAGTAGAATAGAATAGAATGGAATGGAATGGAAGTAGAATAGAATAGAATAGAATAGAATAGAATAGAATAGAATAGAATAGAATGGAATATAGAATAGAATAGAATGGAATGGAATGGAATATAGAATAGAATGGAATGGAATATAAAATAGAATAGAATAGAATGGAATATAGAATAGAATACAATGGAATGGAATATAAAATAGAATAGAATAGAATGGAATGGAATATAGAATAGAATAGAATAGAATAGAATAGAATAGAATATAACAGAACAGAACAGAACGGAACAGAATATAGAATAGAATAGAATGGAATGGAATATAAAATAGAATAGAATAGAATGGAATGGAATGGAATATAGAATAGAATAGAATAGAATAGAATAGAATAGAATAGAATAGAACAGAACAGAATAGGAGCTGGAAGGAACCTTGGAGGTCTTCTAGTCCAGCCCCCTGCTCAAGCAGGAGAATCTAAACCATCTCAGACAAGTGACTGTCTAGCCTCTTCTTAAAAATCTCCAGTGATGGAGCACCCACGATTTCTGGTGGCAAGCTGTTCCACTGGTTGATTGTCCTCACTGTCAGGAGGTTTCTCCTTGATTCCGGGTTGCTTTTCTCCTTGATCAATTTCCAGCCATCGTTTCTCGTCCTTCCTTCTGGTGCTTTAGAGAATAACTTGACCCCCCCTCCCTTCTTTGTGGCAGCCCCTTAAATACTGGAACACTACTATCACGTCTCCCCTATTTCTTCTTTTCTCTAGACTGGCCATTCCCAAGGTTTGCAGCCATAGGAAATAAGCCCTGGCTGTTCTTTGGAAGGACAGATCTGGAAGCCGAGGCTCAAATACAGGTAGCCCTAGACCAGGGGTAGGCAACCTTGGCTCTTTTATGACTCGTGGACTTCAATCCACAGAATTCCTGAGCCAGCAGCTGGCTCAGGAATTCTGGGAATTGAAGTCCACGAGTCATAAAAGAGCCAAGGTTGCCTACCCCTGCCCTAGATTTACAACCGCAATTGAGCCCGAGTTCATGTTGTTAAGTGAAACATTTGCTAAGTGAGTTTTGCCTCATTCTTTCTTGCCCCGGTTGTTAAGTGAATCACCGCAGTTGTTAAGTTAGTAACATGCTTGTTAAATGAATCTGGCTTCCCCATTGACTTTGCTCGTCAGAAGGTCGCAAAAATTGATAAAGTGACCCCGGGACACTGCGACCGTCATAAATACAAGTCAGTTGCCAAGTCTCTGAATTTTGATCACGTGACCATGGGGATGCTGCAACGGTCAAGTGTGAAAAAAAATATTATAATTCACTTTTTTTTTGGGTGCTGTGGTAACTTTGAACCGTCACTAAATGAACTGCTGAAAGTCAAAGACTGCTGATATTTTGGCCACAAAATGAGAAGAGAGAAGACTCCTTGTAAAAGACCCCGATGTTGGGAAAGACGGAAGGTAAACGGAGAAGGGGACGGCCGAGGATGAGATGGTTAGATGGTGTCATCAAGGCAAAATTCTGGAAGATAGCGGAGGGGGGGGGCTGGCATGCCGTTGTTCATGGGGGTTGTGAAGAATCAGCCATAATTGCCTAGTTTAATGAAGAGAAGGATGAGGGGGGACATGATAGCAGTGCTCCAATACGTCAGGGGCTGCCCCAAAGAAGAGGGAGTCAAGCTATTCTCCAAAGTGCCTGAAGGTAGGACAAGAAGCAACGGTGGAAACTAATCAAAGAGAGAAGCAACCTAGAACTAAGGGGAAACTTCCTGACAGTGAGAACAATTAACCAGTGGAACAACCTGCCTCCAGAAGCGGTGAATGCTCCAACACTGGAGGTCTTTAAGAAGAGACTGGACAGCCATTTGTCTGAAGTGGTATAGGGTTTCCTGCCTGATCAGGGGGTTGGACTAGATAACCTCCAAGGTCCCTTCCAACTACTACTACCACTTCTTATTCTTCTTATTATCATTATCATCATTATTATTCAACTGAACAACAGATTGAAAGGCAGAAACGTTGATGCGTTTTTTTTCAGCCTGAGTAGGACTGGAGATAAGACACCCTTTCCTTGCTGTCTGCCTCTTTCCTAAATTGAACCAGGCTTGCAATTACCGGTAGTCCTCCTTACAATCATAATTGTAAGGGAGCAGCAACTGTTGTAAGTACATGCCAGTCGCCAAGCAATTTTTGCCAGTTTTGATCACACAACCCTGGGGGATGCTAGAGTGGTCAGAAGTGGGAAAACTGGCCATAAGTTGCTTTTTTCCAGTGCCGCTGTAACTTTGAACCGTCACTAAATGGATGGTTGTTAAGTTGACGGCTGCCTGTAGTGCGATTTATACTTCCCACGTTCAGAGTATGTGCTTTCCCTGGTCCCACTCACCACTCCCACCAAAACAATTACATAGAAACTCACCAAGGAGAGAAGCAACCTAGAACTAAAGAGAAACTTTCTGACAGTTAGAACAATTAACCAGTGGAACTACCTGCCTCCAGAAGCGGTGAATGCTCCAACACTGGAGGTTTTTAAGAAGAGACTGGACAGCCATTTGTCCGAAATGGTATAGGGTTTCCTGCCTGAGCAGGGAGTTGGACTAGATGACCTCCAAGGTCCCTTCCAACATTATTATTATTACTACTACTACTATTATTACTATTATTATTGATCATCGCACAGTCAGCCAGATGTTCAGACTGGATTTCGCATTTTTGTCTACCTATCAAGTCCTTCCCAAGGACCTGGGATAGGCAGATGTGGATGTTTGATGGTATTACAGATATCGTCGCAGGATGCTATTATTATTATTATTGTTATTATTGTTATTATTATTATTATATCGGCTCAAATTATTATTATTTTTTTAAAAAAACAAATTTAATTCTTCTCAACTTACTTGGAAGCAAACATTTTCCAGGCTTTTCCCACTAGGCTGTTGAGCGGATTGAGCAAAAACTGGCTATTGCTGACCAGACAGGCTGATTTTTCATACTTATTAAAAGCTCTGGGCGTCTTCCAGATGCTCAAGGCCTGTGGAGGGTTGAGCCAGGAAGTGTACAAGGCTGGATCTTGGAAACCTCCTGTAAGAGACAAGAAAAGGCCACATTAGACCGAAGGATTATAGGCTAGTCCTCATTTAGCGACCACAAATGGGACTAGCAACTTGGTTGCTAACTAAGCAGAAAAGCACGCAACTGCGACTGGGCTTATGACCTTACAGGCAGTCCTCGACTTACAACACTTCATTTAGTGACTGTTCCAAGCTACAATGGCACCAAGACTTAGGAGCGTTTTTCACACTTACGACCGTTGCAGCATCCCCACGATCACATGATCAAAATTCGGAGGCTTGGCAACTGACTCACATTTATGACAGTTGCAGTGTCCCCGGGGTTGTGTGATTCCCCCCTCTGGGGACCTTCTGACAAGCAAAGTCAAAGAGGAAGCCAGATTCACTTAACAACCGTGTCGCTAACCTAATAACAGCAGTGATTCACTTAACAACTGAGGCCAGAAAAGTCGTAAAATGGGGCAAACCTCTCCTTAACAACCGCCTCGCTTAGCCACAGAAATGTTGGGCTCAGTTGTGGTGGTAAGTCTACCACTACCTGCATTTCCCCTTCAGTCGTTAAACGAAGCAACACAGTCAGTAAGGGGAAAAACACACAACTGCAGCTTAAGATTTTGTTTCTGTCTTCTGCATTAACTCAGCTGCTCACAAAAGGAAATAGAATAGAATAGAGCTGGAGGGATTTTGGAGGTCTTCTAGTCCAGCCCTCTGCTCGAGTAGGAGAACCTATACTATCTCAGACAAGTGACTATCTAGCCTCTTCTTAAAGACCTCCAGCAATGGGGCGCCCATGATTTCTGGTGGCAAGCTGTTCCACTGGTTGATTGTCCTCACTGTCAGGAAGTTTCTCCTTAATTCCAGGTTGCTTCTCTCTTTGATCAGCTTTCAACCATTGTTTCTTGTCCTTCCCTCTGGTGCTCTGGTGAATAACATGACCCCCTCTTCTTTGTGGCAGCCCCTCAAATACTGCAATATTGCTATCATGTCTCCCCTATTTCTTCTTTTCTTTAGACTAGCCAAACCCAAGTCCCACAGCCGTTCTTCGTATGTTTTAGTATCCAGGCCTTTGATCATCTTAATTGGTCTTCTCTGAATCTTTTCCAAACTCTCAACATCTTTTTTGTGATAAAGTGACCAAAATTGGCTGCAGTATTCCAGGTGTGTTCTTACTAGGGTATGAGCACCTGTCGTTTAGTGTGCGAGACTGACAATCCCGTGACTGCAGGACTGTGCAGTGAGCGTTAAGTGCCAGGATTATTTTTTTAGCAATGTCATAACTGTGAACATAATTGGGTATGTCTAGTTTCATGAAGAGAAGGACGAGGGGGGACATGATAGCAGTGTTCCAGTATCTCAGGGGCTGGCACAAAGAAGAGGGAGTCAAGCTATTCTCCAAAGCACCTGAAGGCAGGACAAGAAGGAACAGATGGAACTAACCAAGGAGAGAAGCAACCTAGAATTAAGGAGAAACTTCCTGATAGTGAGAACAATTAACCAGTGGAACAACCTGCCTCCAGAAGCGGTGAATGCTCCAACACTGGAGGTTTTTAAGAAGAGACTGGACAGCCATTTGTTTGAAATGGTATAGGGCTTCCTGCCTAAGCAGGGGGTTGGACTAGATGACCTCCAAGGTCCCTTCCAACTTTATTATTATTTATTATATGAACAGTCGCTACAAAGGGCAGTCGGTAAGCAAGGAACACCTGCTCAGGTTATCCTCGACTTATGACCACAATGGGAACAGAATGTATTTTGCTAAGCAAGGCAGCTGTTAAGTGAGTCCTAGCTAACCTGACTTTTTGTCGTGGTTGTTAAACGAATCACTGCAGCTTTTAAGTCAATTGCGTGGTCGTTAAGAGAATTCAACTTCTCCAGTTGACTTTCCTTGTCAGAGGCCAGCTGAGGTAACAAGGATGACCACATGACCCCCAACTGTTATAAATACAACTTGACAACTGCACTGAAAAAGTGGTCTGCAATCAGTCCTCACACTTACGATGCTGCAGCAACTCCACGGTCACGCGAACAAACTTTCGACGCTTGGCAACCAGCTAATATTTATGACGGTTGCAGCATCACCATTAGCGATTTTCCCAGCCCGCTTCCAACAAGCAATGGAGGGAAGTTGGATTTGCTTAATGACCATGTGATTCACTTAACAACTGCAATGCTTAACAACTAGGGCAGTGATGGCGAACCTTTTAGAGACCGAGTGCCCAAAAACTGGCCCCGCCACGCCTCATGCCACGCCCCCACTCTGTCCCCCATCCCCCGCCCTGCTTGCCCACAGGACCACTCCTCACCTCCAGGGCCCGCCGCAGATCGCCCAGGCAGCCCAGCAGCGCTATGGCGGCTACACCCTCTGCTCGCGCCCTGCAGCATCAATTGCAGGATGGGGTGTGAGAGCAGAGTCTTGTCTACGCTGCCTGGCTGCCATGTCCTTCGCTGTGCTGTTCCGCATGGGCCACACTCGGGGGCGACTCTCCTCCAGGGGGGCTGCTGGAGAGGAGGGGGTCGCGGGGGGAGGCAAGGCTGGGGCAACGGCACGTGTGCCCACAGAGAGGGCTCCGAGTGCCACCTCTGGCACCCGTGCCATGGGTTCACCACCATTGAACCAGGGCAACAAAAGGTTGTAAAATTGGCACCACTCAGTAAAAATTGCCTTGCTTAGCCATCAAAACCCTGGTCGTAACGTCACGGGCTTTTTGTCCTTGACAAAATTTTGTCTCCATTCAACTCAACTCCCCCATTATTTCGAGGAGGAGCCAAGGAGGAGAAGTTAGCCAGGAGGAATGGTTGTTTGCAGCCACAGAGGAAAAGCGAACACCTGTTGTCGCTGAGTCTCACAATGCCACGGCCTTACCCAGATCTGCACACTGTACGTCCTTCCCTCGCAGAGTGACCAAATTGGCAATCGAAGTATTGAAATTAGCCGCCCGATGTAAAGAGGGCTTCTCAGCTGCAGGAAGTCTGCTGATGGGAGGCCGCACCTGCCAGTCAATACCTGTGAAGGCAAGGTGAGCAGGAAGAGCAAGTTAAGTCACTCAAGGGCTACTTGCACGGCCTCTTCCACATCTGGAGACACGCAACTGGGATTCACCTTCTTCCATTTTGGCGTTTGCAATGAGCATCTGCCGGAGGTGTTTCAGGAGCCCAGGCCAAGCAAAGGTAGTGTAAGCAAGGGAATTTTCGGACATTTGAGGGATATTCCGGAGGCCCAGCACCTTGAACTCGGGATGGGGAACTAAAGCTTCCATCAGGTCCCCTGGAAAAAAAGAAACGAAGGTTAACAGCACGGATTTACACATTGATTTCATGACATACTGCGCCCTGATGGGCCTTAAATGGAAATTGTCAAGGTAATAATTTAAGAGCTAAAAGTATGTTATGTAATGATATAATATAAAGTAATGTAAGATGATGCAATGATGGGAATGTCTCAGCAAGGTCTGTATCTCTTTAACAGCCTGAGTATAAAAGGGAAGGCTTTGCTGGAGTGTGTCTCTCTCTTCCGTTTCCTGCTGTAACTGTTGTGTGTTGGATTCTGCTGTATTACCACGTGTATGTATATTTGTTCCTGGTGTATGTTATTGTAGATAGTGTAAGACAGTGGTTCTCAACCTTTTTAATGCCGCGACCCCCAACTGGTCGTAAGTTGAGGACTACTCAACTGGTGCAGCACCGTTTGCAGAATGGGACTTTTGACGGGCTCAGCAGGGCAGAGACAGCCTGGACAATTCCTATTGGCTTTTGAAAGCCAATAGAATTAGACTCTGTTCAAGAGAGTCTATTCTATTGGCTTTCAAAAGCCAATAGAATAAAAGGGAGTGGCACAGCTAAGGAAAAGGGGGAAAAAATGGCGGACTGCATTGTTTGGCGACCCCCGTGAAATGCTCGTTCGACCCCAAATGGGGTCTCGACCCACAGGTTGAGAACCACTGGTGTAAGATAAACCACCGTTTGATACAAGCTTCTGTTTAATGTGTTAACTCCTGGGGTATCTCATGCAATAAGACTTTGCACGCTCTGACAAAAATTATACAGGTAGTCCTCGACCTACAACCACAATCAAGCTTGAAATTTCCACTGCTAAGCGAGACAGATCTTAAGTGAATTTTGCCCCATTTTACCACTTTTTTGCCCCGTTGTTAAGTGAATCTCTGCAGTAGTTAAATAAGTAACAAGGTTGTTAAGTGAATCTGGCTTCCCATTGACTTTGTTTGTCAGACGGTTGCAAAAGGGGAAATCACATGACCCCGGGGACACTGCAGCCGTCATAAGCCAGAAGACAGGCTTAAGATACAGGAGGATCTGAACTGACTTGAACACTGGGAGCTATCTAACAAAATGAAATTCAATAGTGAAAAAAGTAAGGTTCTACATTTAGGCAAGAAAAACAAAATGCACAGGTATAGTATAGGGGGTACGTTGCTCAATAGTAGTAACTGTGAGAGGGATCTTGGAGTCCTAGTGGACAATCACTTAAATAGGAGCCAGCCGTGTGCCGCAGCTGCCAAAAAATCCACACAGTGCTAGGCTGCATTAACAGAGGGATATAATCAAGATCACGTTAAGTATAATACCACTTTACAATGCCTTGGTAAGGGCACACTTGGAATACTGAATCCAGTTTTGGTCACCACAATGTAAAAAAGATGTTGAGACTCTGGGAAGAATGCAGAGAAGAGCAACAAAGATGATTAGAGGACTGGAGGCTAAAGCATATAAGGAAAGGTTGCTGGAATTGGGTATGTCTAGTTTAATGAAGAGAAGGATGAGGGGGGACATGATAGCAGTCTTCCAGTATCTCAGGGGCTGTCCCAAAGAAGAGGGAGTCAAGCTATTCTCCAAAGCACCTGAAGGCAGGACAAGAAGCAACGGATGGAAACTGATCAAGGAGAGAAGCAACCTGTAATTAAGGAGAAACTTCCTGACAGTTAGAACAATTAACCAGTGGAACAACCTGCCTCCAGAAGCGGTGAATGCTCCAACATTGGAGGTTTTTAGGAAGAGACTGGATAGCCATTTGTCTGAAATGGTATAGGGTTTCCTGCCTGAGCAGGGGGTTGGACTAGATGACCTCCAAGATCACTTCCAACATTATTATTATTATTATTATTATTATTATTACTACTACTACTACTACTACTATTACTATTATTACCATTATTACTATTACTATTATTATCAGTATTATCATTATCATTATTATTATGAGTCAAATTGACAAGCATCTGAATTTTGACCATGTGACCACGGGGGATGCTGCAACGTTTGTCAGTGTGAAAACGATCAAAGGTCACTGAGCCAGGACATTGCAACTATCATAAATATGAGTCCATTGCCAAACGATCACATTTTGATCATGTGACCCCAGGGATGCTGCAACGGTTACAAGTGTGAAAAACGGTCATAAGACACTTTTTTTTAATGCCATTGTACCTCTGAACCAGTGATTCTCAACCTTTTTAATGCTGCGACCCCCAACCGGTCGTAAGTCAAGGACTACTCAACCGGTTGTAAGTTGAGGACTACTCAACTGGTGCACCACCATTTGCAGAATGGGACTTTTGGCGGGCTCAGCAGGGCAGAGACAACCTGGACAATTCCTATTGGCTTTTGAAAGCCAATAGAATTAGACTCTATTCAAGAGAGTCTATTCTATTGGCTTTCGAAAGCCAATAGAATAAAAGGGAGTAGCACAGCTAAGGAAAAGGGGGAAAAAAATGGCGGACTACGTTGTTTGGCGACCCCCGTGAAATGGTCGTTCGACTCCAAATGGGGTCCCGACCCACAGGTTGAGAACAACTGCTCTGAACGGTCAGTAAACAAATGGTTGTAAGTTGAGGCCTACCTCTAGACTAGTATGGACCTTTTTACTAAGAAGAGGACAGAATAAGCTGATTTTTTATCTTCTGTTTTATTTTGGTTTTGCACTGTATTAGAGGATGATTTTGAGGGAAAGTAGCCTAGGCCGATGTTTCTCCAGCATCCAGAAGTTATGGATGCTCTGACCTGGAAGTTTTAAAGAAGAGATTGGACAACCATTTGTCTGAAATTGCATAGTGTTTCCTACCTCGGCAGGGGGTTGGACTAGAAGACCTCCAAGGTCCCTTCCAACTCTGTTATTCTGTTAGTCTCAACTCTGACAACTTGAAGAGATATGGACTTCAACTCCCAGAATTCCTCAAACAGCATGAGAGAACAATGGCCCCCTTCATGACTTTTGTGGACTTCAACTCCCAGAATTCCTCAGCTAGCATGGGGGAACTATGGCCCCTTCATGACTTGTGGACTTCAACTCCCAGAATTCCTCAGCGAGCATGGGGGAACTTGGCCCCTTCATGATTTGTGGACTTCAACTCCCAGAATTCCTCAGCCAGCATGGGGGAACTATGGCCCCTTCATGATTTGTGGACTTCAACTCCCAGAATTCCTCAGCCAGCCATGCTGAGGAGAAATGGAGAGGTTTCCATGCTGAGCCATACCTCTTCAAGTCGCCAAGGTTGAAAAACACTGGGCTAGACAGTTTTCAGAAGGAGAAACTAAATACCTAGAGGTGACCTGCTGTAGTGAGCCGCCCCTTCAGAGGAGTAGGCCGGCTGGAAGACGCTACCCAGCTGATGTGCGATCACTCGATTGACATCCTGGAAAGAAATCTGCTTGATGTTCATCAGCTGCAGGCAGATCTTATGGACGGCGTCGTTCTCGTGCACCAGAAGGGCATCCGAAGATTGGTATAAGTGGGAGAGCGTCAAGACAGAGTTGTAATTTTGGACAATCACCTTGAAAAGAGAGGAAGAGAAAGGAGCGGCTTTAGATACAGAGAGTCCCTGACTTAGGACTGCAACTGAGCCCAACGTTTTCACTACAAAGCGAGGAATTTGTGAAATGAATTGGGCCTCATTTTACGACAGCTTTTCACAGTCGTTGAATCGCTGCAGTTGTTATGTGAATCGCAGGGTTGCGAAGCGAACCTGGCTTCCCCCATTGATTGTCAAGAAGGAAACTTTGGCAGCTATTAAAGGGGGGGGGAAGTGTTGCTTTAGAATGGGTTAGATGGAGAAAGGAAACCTCTACGATTCCTTGAAGACCTCGAGAACCTGAAACCTTTCCAGGGACACTGCAGCAGGTGTGGAGAGACAGCAGACAGTTCCCATAACAAAGTGAAATTGTTTACATGGACTAGGGCTGTGATGGCAAACCTTTTAGAGACCAAGTGCCCAAAAACTGCCTCCCTACCCGTCCCTGCTCCACCCTGCCCACTGGGCCACCCACCACCTCCACGGCCCGCCACAGATCACCCAGGCAGCCTGTGCGCGACGGGGCGCAAGGGCAGAGTCTTGTCCCCGCTGCCCAGCTACCATGTCCTTGACTGCACTGCTTTGCGTGGGCCTCGCCCAGGGGCGACTCTCCTCTGGGGGGCTGCTGGTGAGGAGGGGGCTGTGGGAGGAGGCGGGGCTGGGGAGACGATGCGTGTGCCCACAGAGAGGGCTCCAAGTGCCGCCTCTGGCACCTGTGACATAGGTTCGCCTCCACTGGACTAAGGGGTTGACTGGAAAAATTATTGTTTAATTCTATGAACTGGTATCTGGGAACCTCAGAGTTATGCATTACTTCCCCCCCAAATCCCAGGGAAGCCTCCATGCTCACAATTTTTTTCAGGCCCACCCACCCTGCATCACCTCCTGCCCTTAGATTTCTTTTCACCCCTAAGTAAGAACATTGGGCACCCTTTAGCCAAGATCTGGGACAGTGGTTCTCAACCTGTGGGTCGGAACCCCATTTGGGGTCGAACGACCATTTCATGGGGGTCGCCAAACAACGCAGTCCGCCATTTTCCCCCCCTTTTCCTTAGCTGTGCTACTCCCTTTTATTCTATTGGCTTTTGAAAGCCAATAGAATAGACTCTCTTGAATAGAGTCTAATTCTATTGGCTTTCAAAAGCCAATAGGAATTGTCCAGGCTGTCTCTGCCCTGCTGAGCCCGCCAAAAGTCCCAGTCTGCAAACGGTGCTGCAAGTTGTCTGCAGCGAAGGCGAGCTGTCTGGAAGCTTCCACCCCTCCCTGCTGAGCAACTACTAAAAATTAAGTAAAAGAGGGCCAGGGGTGGGAGGTGGGAGGCCGGCGGGCGCAGGGAGGATTGCTGGCGCGCGTGGGGCCTGGAGGGTGCCTTATCTCCCTTGGGCTGAGCCAGCTGGTGGCCCAGCCGGTGGTCGGCCTGCGCCGTCTCTGCCGCTTGCCAGCTACGCCTCGGCTGGCGCAGGGGGCGGCACCACGCATGTGCGGCGCTCCCGGGCAGGGAAAGTCCTCGACTTACGACCAGTTGGGTAGTCCCCGACTTACGACCGGTTGGGGGTCGCGGCATTAAAAAGGTTGAGAACACTCACCTCTCCAGTTCCATATGGCCAGATAACATGGTTGAGCAGGAAGGAGTGTGGATAAGCCTCTCGTAGGGCTGCCGTCACAAAGGCCCCCAGGCCTGACCCCGTCCCACCAGCCATGCTCATGATCATCAAGAAGCCTCCGAGCCGGTCGCACTTCTCCGCTTCCGTCTGAATGAGGTTCATGATCGCCTCTTCGTGTTTGGGGCCATGGACGCAGTAACTGGGCAGAATTCGGGAAAGGAAAAAAAAGAGAAGAACCCGTGGATGGGTTACATTGTGCTAAAAACAAACGGCCTGACGTGATAAAGAATTATTGGAAACAGATACCTACTTGGCTAGGAGAACATGTTGATTTTAAAGCTGAACTTGTTTTTATTAGGTATAATGCCAGAAAAAGACTCAAAAACAAAGCTTATACTTGATTTTGCATGTCACAACAGCGGCAAGAATTATATTTGCGCAGCACGGGAAAAATTGAAGGAATGCCACCAGATGAAGAAATAATTAAAAAAATACTAGTTATAATAATAATAATAATAATGATAAAGTTGGAAGGGACCTTGGAGGTCATCTAGTCCAACCTCCTGCTCAGGCAGGAAATCCTATACCATTTCGGACAAATGGCTGTCCAGTTTCTTCTTAAAAACTTCCAGTGTTGGCGCATTCACCGCTTCTGGAGGCAGGTTGTTCCACTGGTTAATTGTTTTAACTGTCAGGAAGTTTCTCCTTAGTTCTAGGTTGCTTCTCTCCTTGATGAGTTTCCATCTGTTGCTTCTTGTCCTGCCTTCAGGCGCTTTGGAAAATAGCTTGACTCCCTCTTCTTTGTGACAGCCCCTGAGATACTAGGGGTTGGACTAGATGACCTCCAAGGTCCCTTCCAACATTATTATTATTAAATTATTTTCTTTTGTATGTCATGATGGTTATATGTCAAGGCACCCATGTAACTGGACCCCATTTTATAGGTTTTTTTCCAGCAGTTATTAATGCCATAGTCTTTAAGTGAACATCATTGTATGTTTATAGGGTGGTACAGGGTTTTCCGCCTGAGCAGATGGTTGGATTAGTCCAGGGGTAGGCAACCTTGGCTCTTTTATGACTCGTGGACTTCAACTCCCAGAATTCCTCAGCCAGCCATGCTGAGGAGAAATGGAGAGGTTTTCATGCTGGCTCAGGAATTCTGGGAGTTGAAGTCCACGAGTCATAAAAGAGCCAAGGTTGCCTACCCCTGGACTAGAACATGGATCCCCAATCTGTGAGCCGTGGGCCACTGGGCTGCGGGGGCAGGCTGGCCAGTGTGCGTGTGTGTGTGCGGGACACCCCTCACTTGTGCCAGTGCCGCGGTTGCGGGGCGCAAAAACGGGACACGGCGGCACCTCGGGGCGCAAAAATGGGACACCACTGCACCAAAACGGAACGCCACTGCAGGGCATCAGGGTGCAAAAATGGGTCACCACTGCACTGCAGGGCACAAAGTGGACCACCACTGTGCTGCAAGGCGTAAAAACGGCCACCACCGTGTCACGCCGAAACAAGGTGCTGTGCCCGCAGGAACAGGGCAGGGCTAGTATCACGTGGGCGCTAACCCTGCCCCATTTATGGCTTACACGTGCTCGCGGCCCCATGCACACATGTAAAATGCTTTCCCCTCCCTTTTCCTCCGGTCCACCAACCAGCAAAACTAGAAGACCTCCAAGGTTCTTTCCAACTCTCTTATTCTGTTGTAAAGTTAATCTTTGCTTAATTGCAAAACAGCAGGCTTCTTTTGGCAGCTGTTCTTTGAAGAACCCATTGGAGAAAGAAATAAAAGAGTTGTTAAGTTTTGTTAAGTTGTTAAGTTTTGATGGCCGTCACACGTACCCGTTTGCCCAATTGTTTCCTGATCCTTGTTTCTGACAGAAGGCAGACTGGGGGCCGTATCTCCAGTTCCCAGTTCTTGAGGCAAAGGATAAAGTCTGGTTGATCACTTTAGGTTCCATGTCGACCAGAACAGCCCGGGCAACCATACCTAAGTAGGAAAAAGAGAAAAATGGGGGGGACACCCCTTTTTACAATTCTATATTGAAAAACAAAATAGGAAATACAGACAGTCCTCAAATTACGACAAGTGAGCCCAAAATTCCTGTTCTTAAGTGAGACATTTGTTAAGTGAGTTTTACGATGTTTCTTGCTCGCAGTTTTTAAGTGAATCATTGCAGCTGATATTAGTAGTAGTAGTAATAATAATAGTAATAATAATAATAATAAAATTGGAAGGGACCTTGGAGGTCATCGAGTCCAACCCCCTGCTCAGGCAAGAAACCCTACACCATTTTGGACAAATGGCTGTCCAGTCTCTTCTTAAAAACTTCCAGTGTTGGAGCATTCACTGCTTCTGGAGGCAGGTTGTTCCACTGGTTAAGTCTTCTAGTAACCCTGTTCTTAAGTGAATCTGGCTCCCCCCATTGACTTTGCTTATCACAAGGTCGCAAAAGGGGATCACATGACTCCCGGGCACCATAATGGTCATAAGTATGAACCAGTTGCCAAGCGTCTGAATTTTGATCACATGATCGTGGGGACGTTGCATACGTAGGTCGTAACTGTGAAAAATGGTCATAAGTCACTTTTTTCAGTGCCTTTGTAACTTTGAGCAGTCACTAAATGAACTGTTGTAAGTCAGGTACAGGTGTACAGGTGGTCCTCGACTTATGACTGCAATGGAGCCTGCCCATTGGGGTGGTAATGAACTATTTAAAGTCATTTTATGACCCATTTTGTCTGAAATGGTATAGGGTTTCCTACCTGAGCAGGGGGTTGGACTAGATGACCTCCAAGGTCCCTTCCAACTTATTATTATTATTATTATTATTATTGATCATCGCACAGTCAGCCAGATGGTCAGACTGGATCTGGCATTTTCGTCTACCTATCGAGTCCTTCCCAAGGACCTGGGATAGGCAGATGTGGATATTTGATGGTATTACAGATATCGTCGCAGGATGGAAGCAGTTCCTAGTAAGGCCGCCTTTTGCAAATGACTAATGGCGAATTTGTCAATGCCGATGGTGTTCAAGTGGTGCTCCAGTTGTTTTGGGATTGCACCCAAGGAGCCTATGACTATTGGTACTACCCTTGCTTGCCTTTGTCACAGTCTTTCTATTTCTATTTGTAGGTCTTTGTATTTTGTTATCTTCTCCAGTTCTTTCTCCTCTATTCTGCTGTCTCCAGGCACTGCCACGTCCACTATCCAGACTTTTTTGTCATTACTATTATTGATCATCGCACAGTCAGCCAGATGTTCAGACTGGATTTGGCATTTTGTCTACCTATCGAGTCCTTCCCAAGGACCTGGGATAGGCAGATGTGGATGTTTGATGGTATCACAGATATCGTCGCAGGATGGAAGCGGTTCCTAGTAAGGCCGCCTTTTGCACATGACTAATGGCGAATTTGTCAATGCCAATGGTGTTCAAGTGGTGCTCCAGTTGTTGTTGTTGTTATTGTTATTAATGCACCTTTTTTGCAACAGTTGTTAAGGGAATACCACAGCTGTGAAGCAAGCCATGGTTTGCTAGGGGCACGGTTTTGCTGAAAACTGGAAGTAAACGTTGGTTTTCAGCAAAACCATTTTACAACACGGTCATGTGACCGTGGAACACTGCAAATGGCCCTAAATGTGCCCAGGGGGCTGTTGAGCTCCCAAATTTTGGTCATGTGACTGTGAAGAGAGGGGCCTCTTGGAATTTTGAATCTGGGTCATTGTTATATGAATCTGGCTTCCTCCATTGACTTATTAGAAGCCGGCAAGGAAAGCCACAAATGGTGATCCTGTGGCCCCAAGACATTGCAACCATTATACTAGCCATGTCAGTTGCCAAGTGCCCACATTTTGATTAGGTTGGCCATAAGGATGTGGTGGTGGTCTTAAGTGCGAGGATTGCTTGTAAGTCACTTTTTTCAGTGCTGTTGTAACTTCAAGTGCTCTGTATAGGCAAGGTCCCATGCTCCATCAGTCTTCTCAAGCCTGGGTGTGTCATAGTCTCAATTCTCCTTTGGGGGCTCCAAACGTGCTTTTTCAAGAGGCAACTGGACTTTCTTGTTTTTCCTTTAAAGATGTTTCGCTTTTCATCCAAGAAGCTTCTTCAGCTGTGACTGGATGGTGGGGAATGGAAGGATTTATGCTCCTTGAAGACAGCTGGTCATTTGCATTCCTTTTACAGAGCCATTGAGACCATCTGGAGGTTTGTCTGTGTCCTCAGGGTCACCCGAGTGGTGCAAATGGGTGGGGAGCCTTCTTGGCACTGCTGAAAGGACCGTGTTGTAGACTGGAGATAAATGATGCCGTATCCCTCCCCCTCTGTTGAGAGAGGGCTGTTCAGTTTTGACATAGATGGCCTCTTTGACCCCTCTTTCAAACCAGCGGTCCTCCCTGTCCAAAATGTGGACCCAAACAAACCTCCAAGTGGCCTCAACGACTCTCCAAAAGAATCCAACTTTCACAGCCATACATTGCAACTGGGAAAACCATGGCCTGGACTATACGCACTTTTGTTGCCAGGGTGATGTCTCTGCTTCTTAGTATGCTGTCTAGATTTGCCATAGCTTTCCTCCCCAGGAGCAAGCGTCTTTTAATTTCTTGGCTGCAGTCCCCATCTGAGGTGATGATGACTTATTACCTCCAGCTTTTTCCTCAAAGAAACGTTCTTTACAAGCTGCCTGGTAAGAGTCATTCTCCTTCTTGGAGCAGAACCCCTGGGAGCTGTGGAGGTCTGTGTAGATAGTATCAAACACCTCACGCCCAATTTGGTTGCCACACTGGCCAAGTTGAATGGCTACGATGGACATTCTCAGCCGCCTTGCCCTGAAGAAGAAGAGACCAAGCTTCAATCAACATCTTAAACCTGGAATCCGGCAGCACCAATTTTATTTACTGATTCACAGAACAATGTGTGGAAAAACAAATTCTTAAGAGGAGCATGTGAGCAAACTAGAAACATAGAAGGAATTTGTGCTAACTGAGGCAGCCTTGGAGTACAGGCAGTCCTCGACTTACAACCACAATTGAGCCCCAAATTTCTGTTGTTAAGTGAGGCATTTCTTAAGTGAGTTTTGTCCCATTTTATGATCTTTCTTGCCACAGCTGTTATATCAGGATAATGATTTAAAGGCTAAACAGCTTATGTAATGATGTAATGTAATGTAAGGTGAATGATGCAATGTTAGAAATGACTCAACAGGTGTGTATCCCTTTAAGAGTATAAAAGGGAAGATTTTTGCTGGAGTCTTTCTTTCTTGTCCAGTTGACTACTGTAATTGCTGTATATTGGAGTTTGCTGTTTCAAAATGTCTATGTATTTTGTTTCTAGTATTTGTATATAGTGTAATATAAACCACCATTTAAATACAAACCACTGTTTACTGTATTTACTCCTGGGTTACCTCAGTACAATAAGACTGTGCGTGCTCTGACATGTTAAGTGAATCACTGCAGTGGTTAAGATAGTAACACAATTGTTAAGTGAATGTAACTTCCGCATTGACTTTGTTTATCAGAAGGTCACAAAAGGGGATCACATTACCCCAGGACACAAAAACGTTCATAAATATGAACCAGCTGCCAAGCACCTGAATTTTGAACACAAGATCATGGGGATGCTGCAAAGGTCGTAACTGTGAAAAATAGTCGTAAGTCCCTTTTTTCCATGCTGCTATAACTCTGAACGGTCACCACATATACTTTTGTAAGTCAAGAACTACCTATAAATACCATAGTGAGTTTTGATTATTGGTTTGGGGTCCTGTGTTCTGATTCCACACCAACACACACAAATCATTATATTACAGGTAGTCCCCAACTTATAACTATTTGTTTAGTGACCATTCAAAGTTACAAAGGAACTGAAAAAGTAACTTATGACCATTTTTCACACCTAAAACTGTGGCAACACCCCCATGGTCACATGATCAAAATTCAGAAGCTTGGCAACTGGCCTGTATTTATGACGGCTGCAGCGCCCTGGGGTCACGTGATCCCCTTTTGCGACCTCCTAACGAGCAAAGTCCATGGGGAAACCAGATTCACTTAACAACCATGTTATTAACTTAACTGCAGTGATTCACTTAACAACTGTGCCAAGAAAGGTTGTAACATGAGGCAAAACTTACTTAACTGTCTTGCTTATAAATATATATAATAGCTAAGACCACACATTGCTCCTTGAAGCACGAAGCTGAAAACACCAGCCTGAAGATGACGAATGGGACTTCGTCCAAACGTTGCCAAGACACTTCCAATTTTACGCGGGAGAAAACCCGAACAACCAAAGACCTACATATATATAGCCACAGGTTCTCTCCTGATAGCTAACAGAGTGGGAGAGAACCTGTGGCTTAGAGGTTATAACAACTGCCTAACATGCAGATAAGCCCAGGTTCGAATCAGAAGAGTAAGTCTGGCTGAAGAGAGTTAACGGAATTCGAAATAGCTATACTCTCTCTTTATTCTTTGTTAGCAACCTAAATATATATATATATATATATTTACCTTGAATGTACCCCTGTCAGCCCAAATATGGGAGAAAGAAATCTTCTTTCTTTTTCTTTTGCCTGTATCAGCTCAATCTAGAGCCATCCACAAGCAGCAGTCGCCAACTGCGACATCATTTTACATTTTTATATATATATAAAATTGGAAGTGTCTTGGCGACGTTTCGACGAAGTCCCATTCGTCATCTTCAGGCTGGTGCTTTCAGCTTCGTGCTTTGAGCAGCAATGTGTGGTCTTAGCTGTTTATTCCTTTTAACTGCCAGTGGGGGTATGAACTGATTGGGTGGGAGCTTGGCTGTGTTCTGATTGGGTGGAGGTGTGTTCTGAATGGTTAGGGGCTTGGCTGTGCTCTGATTGGCTGGGGGAGTGTTCTGTTTGGTTGTGCTCAGGTTAGTCTGAGTTGCAGAGGGGTTTAAGATTTTGGGCTGCCTTGCTATTTTCTGGCTTCGCGTTCGTGGTCGTGTCTCCTCTTCATGGAGGGTGTCAGTTTGCTTCATGTATGGATTGGAGGGGTTTAAAGTGGCTAATGATGCAGCTGTGGTCTGGCTTCTGGTTTGTGGTCGTGCCTCGTCATCGGTGTGGCTTTGGGTTTGTTTTTTGCGTGGATGTGTGGTGGTGACATCCTGTGTGGTTTTTGTGAGTGTGGGTCTGGTATCATTTTTTGTGTTAGGGAGTCGTTTGTCAATAAGGGCGGGTTTCCAAATGGCTGGTAGGCGGGAGGTATCATCTCGCTTGTTCATGCTGTGTGGGCGTTTTTCTATCTCGATGGCTTCTCTGATTATTCTGTTATTAAAATGTTCACTTTTGGCAATGGTTCTGGTATTTTTAAAGTCAATTTCATGTCCTGTGGCTTTAAGGTGTTGGACCAGGGAAGATGTTGGTTCCTCTTTTTTGACTGAGTTCTTATGTTCTTCAATGCGTGCACTTATTCTTCTGTTGGTTTGTCCGATGTATGTGGTGGGACAAGTGGTGCATGGGATTTCGTATACTCCTTGATTTTCTAATTCAATTTTATCTTTGGGGTTTCTAAGGATGGTGGATATTTTTCTGTTTGTGCAGAATGCTGTTTTGATGTTGTGTTTATGGAGGATCTTACTGATTCTGTCTGTGGTGCCTTTTATGTATGGGAGGAGGGCTTTGCCGTTTTCTTGTTCTTTGTCTTGGATTTTAGTGGGGGTTTCTTTTTGGATTAGGTTTGTAATCTTATTTCTATGGAATCCATTGGATGTTAGTACATTGGTGAGAGTGTGTAGTTCGGGTTTTAGGTGTTGTTCGTCAGCTAAGCGTTTTGTTCTGGAGATGAGTGTCTTGGCTACAGAGTTGATCTGTGCTGGGTGGTGGTGTGAGAGAGCGTGCAGATAGCGGTTTGTGTGTGTTTTCTTCTGGTAGATGGTGTGTCCTAGGGAGCCATTGGATTTCTTGTAGACTAAGACATCCAGGAAGGGAAGTTGGTTGTTAGCTTCTGTTTCCATGGTGAACTGTATTTTGGGGTGTAGGCTGTTGAGGTGTGTGAGGAAGTTGTCCAGTTTTTCTTTCCCATGTGGCCAGATTATGAAGGTGTCGTCTACGTATCTGAGCCAGAGTTTGGGTTTGTGATCCGATTTTTCTAGAGCTTGGGTTTCAAAGTGTTCCATGTAGAGGTTGGCAATGACAGGTGAGAGGGGTGATCCCATGGGTGCTCCTTCTGTTTGTTTGTATTTTTGTCCATTATAGATGAAGTATGTGTTGGATAGGCAGTGGTTGGTCAGATCTAAGATGTGTTTGGGGGGGTTATATTTGTTTTGAATAGCTGTCAAGGCTTCTTTGATAGGCACTTGGGTGAAGAGGGATATGACATCGAAGCTCACTAGTAGGTCGCTGGGCTGTAAGTTTTGTTTCTTTATGATCTCTATAAACTGGAATGAGTTTTTTACGTGTGAGGTGATGGATTCTGCATAGGGCTGTAGTTGTTTGGCGAGAAATTTGGCTAGGTTTTGTAGAGGTGAGCCTATGGAGCTGACTATAGGTCTGAGTGGGGTTCCTTCTTTGGAAGATGACAAATGGGACTTCGTCGAAACGTCACCAAGACACTTCCAATTTTACGTGGGAGAAAACCCAAATAACCAAAGACCTACATACATACATACATACATATATACATATACAGGCTATCAAACAGTTGTTAGTTTATTAAACAGTTGTTTTTATATTTATCCCGGTGTTCGACTATTTTCCTCAACATATACATACATATATATATATTAACAAATAAAAGAAAAAACGAACACCAGGATATAATAAACCAGCCTGTTTAATATAAACAAGCCTGTGGTTAAGAAGAGTCACTAAGCTTTCATCCGGCCAAAAAACTGCCAGCATCATCAGAGTTAGAATAGCAGATAGGGAAGGCAGCTCATATAGCCTCCTGCCTCTGCGCCCGGCTCCTTGAGCGTGTCATCGGCCCGTTGATTGTATTAATCCGTATCGCATAGAGTTGTTCTGCATCAGGCAAACTGTCTTTGACTCAACTGGTTGTGTATATATACATACATATACATATACATACACACACACACACACACACACACACACACACACATACATATATATATATAAAATATTGTTAATATAATCTTAATACATGTGTGTGCCTTTGAGTCAGACATACAGTATAATTATAATTGCACAAGTTGCTTATAAATTTAGCATATAAGTTTAATAAATAAAAATTTAGAATTGAGAGTCTGACATATACATATACCAAACTTTATACTTAGCACACAATAGACAACAACCAAATCTTACTATTAAGTCGAATTCTTACCGACTAGCATGCTCTATTACTGTATACTAAATATATTAAAATAAATGTTTATATATTACTTTACTAATGGAAAGAAACCAACCTCCTGCTGAAAAGAAAAGCAGCCTGTAATATTATAAGACAAGTTATTAGCAAAATATGTTTGATTACGAATTCGAAAATAGTTCTCAGAAAGGCAAATTTAAATTAGAAAACCACACCGCGTAAATTCTTAGCTGTATTATGGACAGCTGACATAGTTAGCCACATATGCCCATATATATAATATATATCCACGTTCTACATGTATATCCTATATAAAAATATATATTATACAACAGCCCGTTTTACCCGGTTTTTTTCTTCGTCCCACGGCGCATGCGCCTAAGTTCTCACGCCTCCCTCCACGCTTCCTTCTTTGCGTATCCCCAAGCAACAGTCACGGCCCTTTCGACTCATTTCGCGCATGCGCCCCCCAGGCCGTCGGCTGAGGCGGGAAAATCAGTCTCGAAAGAATTATCCGAGAAAAGGGCAAGTCGGCTGCCTCAGTCGCGAGCTCGACGCATGCGTCCTATCGACGCCGGCGCACTTGAACCCGCCTTCCAGTCCCAGTTATCGAGCGACCGCCAAGTCCGGGTGGTACGCGTGCGCGCGGAGTCGGAGCGCCCTTCCACCCATTGCGCTTGCGCGGATCGAGGCGGCTCCTCCTCCTCTAGGATGGCCACGGCGACGACGGGCAGCCTTTGAGCCGCAAGCTCGGCTTGGCGCGCGCGCCCTCGCGCGGCGTCCGCCCGTTCCGGCGCATGCGCGGTGGCTCCGGCGAGCTGAGGAGGCAGGGCCTGGCTAGCCCGGGCGATGGCGGCCGTCATGGCGGCGCTGTGGGTGGGTGCCGCGGGCCCATGAGGCGCCCTCAGTCTTCACCCGGACGCCCCTCCCGGCTCTTGACAGCGAAGGCGGCGGTCCCGCACGCGTTGTCATGGCGGGCGTCTTTGACATCGATCTCGACCAGCCCGAAGAGGCGGCCTCGGACGAGGAGCTGGAGGAAGGGGTGAGCGCGGCGTGGCCGGGCCGAGCGCGGCGAGGGGAGGCCGGGCCTCAGGGGAGCGAGACGAGGCGCGGGGCTGGGCTCTCCCACGGCCCGCCTTCGCCTGGCTGAGGCTCCGCGGGTCCTGCGTCTCCCTTTTACCGCGGCGAACGGGGAGGCTCCTCGCGGCGCTTCTGGCCCTTGGAAGAGAGGACGAGGAGGACCGCTGAGGGACGTTAGGAAGGCCCAGTTCGGGGGCAGCCCCGGACTGGCCTTGGAGAACCAAACGGGGGACAGGAGACCACCAGGAAATCTTGTTCCCGGGAGGCTTGAGAAGCCTCTCGGCTTAAGATCGTGGCCATCAGGGTCTCGCGGGGAAGGCGTCGGCGTGGCGCCGGGGAGACCCGGGTTCCAGTCCGTCTTGAAGGAAGGATGTTTGGCCGGTTCCCCCTTCGTCCAGCCTACCTCGCAGGGAGGTGGTTATGTTCCCTGCCTTGTTTGCAATGCAGGCCTGCAAATGATACAAATGCAGAATGGACCTAAACTTGTGTGACTGAAAGGGGTTTTTTAATGAACACAAGAGCCCGGTTAATTACAAGAAAAGCTTAATTATAAGAGTATAATGATCGTGAGATGGAGGGAAGAGCCCAGCGGGGTCCCCGAAGGCATCTCCTGCTTCTTGCCCATCTCCTTTGCATTTGAGGTCCTCCATCTACAGGTAGTCCTCGACTTACAACCGTTCATTTAGTGACTGTTCAAAGTTACAAGGGCACTGGGAAAAAGTGACTTAGGAAGGTTTTTCACAGTTACAATCTTTGCAGCATCCTCATAGTCATGTAGTCAAAATTCAGAGGCTTGGCAACTGGCTCATATTTATGACCATTGTGTCATGTGATGACTGTGACCTTCTGACAAGCACCATCAATGGGGAAACCAGATTCACTTAACAACCCGGTTGCTAACTTAACAGCTGCCGTCGCTCACTTAACAACTGTGACAAGAAAGGTCGTAAAATGGGGCAAAACTCATTTAACGGAAATGTGCTCAATTATGGTCATAAGTTGAAGACTACCCTATAGTTTCTGAGGGACTTTTTCCTTCTTGAATTTGTCCAGTCCCTCTTTAGAGACGCCTCAAACCGTGGCATTATAAAAGGGCCCAGGCTTTTTAAACTAAAGCAAACAAGGTGACTTTTAAAAAAAAAAAAGTGTCAACTTGGCTGATTTATTGCCAATGGCTGGTAGGGCTGGAGCCTAACGTGTCAGTTGATCATTGCCAGGAGTTTTGATCTCTTGTCTACTGCACTAGGATGAAATGGGCTCTTGTCCATGGAAACTGATGCTGCAATAAATTTGGAGCAGTGCAAGCTTATGCAACTTTTCTACCTCTTCAGCTGGGCTTACTCTTGAGTGGGTAGAGTCCTGTTGTTTTCCTCTACAAGCCCTAATGTAGGACCTCCCCTTGGAATGCAGTTCCCCACAACAATACTGCTGTAATAAGTAAATCATTGGTGACTTATTCAAGCTGCTTTAGTAATGCTGCTCCACCGTGGGTATGGTCAACTACTCCTTATGTGGCGTATTACTCATAGGTGGAGGCACTTGTGCAAGGAGGCAGCTTCAATAATCCCGTTGAACATCACAGAACTTATTTCTGAATAGAAAACACAACCCAGCCTTGTGGCTTACGATGGAAAAAGATGTTGCCCTTCATAACTCAAATTAGCCCTCTCTGGTCTAAACTTGTTCTGTGATGTGTCATTGGATAGAAACAGGACTATTAACAGAGATGTTGGAGAGGCACAGATAGCTACAATAATATATGGGGATACATTTGAAGAGGATAGGAATGGAAAGGGAGATTGAAGGGTATTTTGAGACATGTGAAAATTTGTCCTTTTAGAATAATGCAGGCAAGTAAGTGGTACATTACCCCCTTAAAAAGGCAATCCTCAGCTTATGACCACAACTGAGCCCAAATTTTCCATTGCTAAGCAAGACAGTTAAGTGAGTTTTGTCTCATTTTACCACCTTTCTTGCCCCAATCGTTAAGTGAACCACTGCAGTTAAGTTAACAACATGGTTGTTAAGTGAATCTAGCTGCCTCCCTCCATTGACTTTTCTTGAAAGAATATATAATAATGATGATGATGATGTTGGAAAGGACCTTGGAGGTCATCCAGTCCAACCCCTGCTCAGGCAGGAAGCCCTATACAATTTCAGACAAATGGCTGTCCAGTCTATTCTTAAAAACCTCCAGTGATGAGCATTCACAGCTTCTGGAGGCAGGTTGTTCCACTGGTTAATTGTTTAACTGTCAGAAGGTCACAAAAGATAATCACATGACTCCGGGACCCTTAAACTGTCATAAATACAGGTAGTCTTCAACATACGACCACAATTGAACCCAGAATTTCTGTTGCTAAGTGAAACATTTGTTAAGTGTGCTTTGCCCCATTTTACAACTTTTCTTCCCACAGTTAAGTGAATCACTGCAGTTGGTAAATTAGTAATTAGTAAATTAAGTGAAACTGATTTCACCATTGACTTCTCAGGAGATTGCAAAATATGATGACATGAGTCCTGGACACTATAACCGTCATAAATATGAGTCAGTTGCCAAGCATCTGAATTTTGATCACATGACTATGGGGATGCTGCAATGGTCATGTGAAAAACAGTCATAAGTCCCTTCTTTCAGTGATGTAACTTTGAATAGTCACTAAATGAACTGTTGTAATGAACTAAAGTTTGCCTGTACGTCCCAGTTGTCAAGTGTCCAGATTTTGATCACATGACCATCGGAATGCTTCAGTGGTCGTAAGTGTGAAAAACAGTCATAAGTCACTTTTACCAGTGCCATTGTAACTTTGAACAGTCATTAAACGAATGGTGTAAATCAAGGACTGCCTAAGCAGAGGGTTGGACTAGAAGACCTCCAGGGTCCCTTCCAACTCTGTTATTCTATTATTCTATTCTATATTCCATTCCAGTCCACTCCACATATTCTATTCTATTCTATTCTATTCTATTCTATTCTATTCTATTCTATTCTATTCTATTCCCTGTTTGCTTGAAATAGGATCGTTAGAAGCCTGGTTTTAAGAGATTGTAGAAAGGAAATTAGGTATCTGCATTTTTGTGCCAATTATCTCTTAAGACAAATCTTTAATTACATGTATTTAGATTTCTGATCTGATTGCTTGTTTAAGGGTTTGAGATTAGAGCCCTATCTATAAAGGGACAAAGATTAGCAATTACTTATTTAATTGTGCTACCACAGCATGACAAGCAACTTTTGGAGAGCTGCACTGTTTTTTTAAAATAACATTTTCTCGTAGCTCAGACTGCAGTTTTAGGGCCATTGCATGTTAATGTCATGCAAATGGGTTGATAGTTGTGGTTTGCAGGGAGGATACTTTGAATGTTGGGTTATTGATATCCAGACTGCTTATGTGCCCTTTTCTTTGGAAAAACAGTAGGAAACTGCCTCAGAGGTTTTGCAGTTTGTTTAAAATTTCAGTGGTATCCTTGTGTAGGCTGCCTGAAGATTGAAGGTTGCTGACTATGGCATTACAGATTCAACATGTTATTAAAGGCCTCTAAACACGTACACTTTAAGAGGTGGCTCATGATCATGGCCTAATTGCAAAGGTTGATTTATGCTCATTACCACTGGCATGCAGAAGCAATTGTAGAATTGGCTTTTCTGTGCATTGTAGCTGAATTTTTTACACTTGAAAATCTTCCACCAATGAAGGCAAATCTACATGTCCCAGAACAATGTTGCAGGATCCGATCAGGGTCGATCACCAAGACCAAAGTTTTAGTCTTCTGAGCTTTCAGATTTGTGCTGGAGCCCATCTACAGGCTACTTTAGCTGACTGTGTTCAGCAGGTCAGCTGTTCAAATCTCACCGGCTCAAGGTTGACTCAGCCTTCCATCCTTCCGGGGTAGGTAAAATGAGGACCCAGATTGTTGGGGGCAATGTAAATATATATATACATTGCTTACTGGTGTACACCGCTTAGAGAGTGCTTGCACTTAAAGCGGTATATAAGTCTCATAAATAAATAAATAAATAAACTTCTCTCTAGGAGAGTGAAAAAAATGACATACTTGCCCGTCATAATCTTTAACTCATGTCAGGATTGTATAATCTTTTAACTCTTGATCTCACAGACATAAACAATGTATTAGTTGGTTATCCAGGATTGATGTAGGCATTGTAGTTGCTACCTTGAGTCAATGTGTAAACAAAGTCGTCTAGATGTAAATACAAACCAGGAACACAAATATTTGTGCTGAACTTCAGAGTCTCCACATTCTCCCTGCATCCTGCCTCTTTTTTAAAACAAACAAACAAACAAACAAACGTGGATTCTCAGTTTTGTGGTTTTTATTTATTTTTAGGAATTACTGGATTTTTGCATTCCTGCTCATTACTGGAATGTATAGGAATGTGGTGGTGCTACTAGTCACACAGTAGAATGAACCAAAGTGAAATATTTCTTATATTGAATGAAATCTAAGAAGGTGATTGGGGAAATTATTGCATACATCCCTTTCTGGTTTCAGTATCTCTAATGAAAAGGTTACCTAATGTGATCTTTCATGATGCTTGTATTGTTTGCTGATTGTAGGCTGTGGTGGATTATGAACCCAGTCCTGTAGTCCATCTGTGGAGAATACCAATGAGTTTCTAACTGTTGATTTTACTTATATCTTCTCTATGGTGGGTGTGGTTTTCACAGATTGCAAAAACAATGATCAACTTTTTTGGACTGTTTCCAGAATGGTAGCTGTGTTAATCTGTTTTTATCAAAAACAGCAAATTCCTTATGGGCCAAAACTACCACATATAGCTGTTTACTTGTGTTGATCGGTTGGTTGATTAATTAAACAAATTTTCTTTTATACAAGTAGTCCTTGACTTATGATCACAGTTGGGACTAGAATTTCCATTGCTAAGCAAAGTGGTTGTTAAGTGAGTCGCCCTGATGTTACAATCTTTTTGCCACTGTTGTTAAATGAATCACTGCAGTTAAGTGAATTGTGTGGTCGTTAAGCTAATCCAGCTCTCCCTATTGTCTTGTCGCAAACTGGCAAATGGCAACCACATTTGGGATGCTGCAACTATCATAAATGCATGCCAGTTGCCAGACACAAGAATTTTGATCACATGATGGGTTGCTGCAATAGTCATAAGTGTAAAGACTAAGTCACTTTTTTCAGTGCCGTTGTAACTTTGAACAGTCACTAAACGAATGTTTGTAAGTCGAGGACTACGTGTAGTCCTCGACTTACAACAGTCCATTTGGTGTCTGTTCAAAGTTACAATAGCACTGAAAAAAGGGACTTACCACCATTTTTCACATTTAACGGCCGTTGTATCTTCTCCATGGGCATATGATCAAAGTTCAGATGCTTGGCAACTGTCTCATATTTATGACGCAGTGTCCCAGGGTTGTGCGATCCCCTTTTGCGACCTGCTGACAAAGTCAATGGGGAAGCCAGATCCACTTAACAACGGTGTTACTATCTTAACCACTGCAGTGATTCGCTTAACAACAAAAATTTTGGACTCAATTACGGCCATCAGTTGAGGACTACCTGTACACGTGATAGTCTTTATTCCACCATATATTTTTTTTTGTTGCTTTTCTTACAACAGATTAGCACAGCTACTCTTGCGGAAACAATGCAAAAAAAAAAAAAGTTGATCATCTATTCTGTCTGTAGTTTGTGAAAGCTATACATAACCGGTAGCTGTATATGTTATTAGTTTTTACAAAGCAAGAAGATGAATATTTAAAACAAAGCAGGTAAAAACTTTCCCAAATTCCCAACAAGAGTTCATGCTGGGGCTTTCCTTTTTATGGACGCTTTATAATTTGAAGGGTTTCCTCATCTCTTATCCATATAGGTGTTACGATCCACCCACAGATGCTCACGTTCCTCTTCCCTTTTGTTTTCAGTCTTGTAGATGTTCCATTTTATCTACTCCCAAATTTAATTGTGAGCATAGTTTGTTGCGAATCTAGACTTAAACAACATGTTTAATTTTTTTTTAGAACACCTCCATTAGACTTTTAGTGACTTCCTCTTCACATAGGGGGTCCTCAACGTACGACCACAATTGGGACTAGAATTTCCATCGCTAAGCAAGGGCGTTAAATGAGTTGCGACCTTTTTTGCAAGGTTTTTAAGCAAATCACTGCAGTTGTTAATCGTGTGGTTAAGCAAATCTGTCACAAAGAGTGATCGCATGCAATGCTTCAATGGTCATAAATAGATGGAGGTTGCCAAACACCCAAATTTTGATCAACTGACTGTGATGATGCTGTGACAGTCCTAAGTTACTGGTTGTAAGTTACTTTTTTTTCAGTGCCATTGTGACTTTGGTCACTAAACGAATGGTTACAAGTCAAGGACTACAGTATTTCTGCAGAGTTATCCCCGTCTCTATGATACAGAAAAGATTGTTTTGAAGAGAAACGGATATGAGAATGTCACCATATGGGTGAATTGCACAAGCCTAAAATTAAATATTTTATGATAGCGGCTGGTCTTCTTGCAGTCTTTTATTTATATTTACTCCAGTGTGCTGGTAATATTTTTTCTCAAACTCTTTTTCCAGCTATTTGTAGGATTTACACACAGCTAATAGGACAGTTGCTTGAAAACTGCTGAATCTGTGCACTGAATTCACAAGCTTTGGAGCTTCTCTCCAGTGTGGTGGCCATATCTTTTTGCTGACAGGGCTTATTATGTAAAATCAGTCTGCAGGCTTGTGGTGCTATCAGCCTTTAAAACTTGGGTTAATGTATAAACAAACTGCCCTTGCTAAAGAATTTTTGTTTACAATGATGTAGTTACTTTTCTCTCACCGTTTTGTTTCAGGGTCACTTAAGCGAAAGTATGGATCATGGAAGAGTCAGTCCATATGAGCTGTAAGTCCTGAAACTTAAAATCAGGGATGGGGAGACACAGTTGGCAACAGTCAGAAACCTCCTCAATATAAAGAGGAAGTGATAACAAAGCCAGCCTTCTCTCTTGGAGATGCTTCATTTTCATCCTGGGGTTCAGACGCAGCATTGGGATCAATGAAACCCAAGCCTGAACTGGTTTTAATCACATTTCATTTATCTGCAAGGAAAAGGAATTTCTTTTTTAAAGTTGCTTCACTAGAGAGGATGGAAATGTTTCCCTTGCTGAACCGTGGACATGTCAAAGGGTCTAAAAGAAATTCATTGTTTCTTAAATTTATTTGTTGCTCATTTTGCCATGGAGCTACTCTAGGCGGCTTACCATCATAAAATGGAAAAAAAATGATTACAAAAATGTAAACAATAACAAAGGAATAAAACAGGGCAAATAAACAATGGAAGTACAATAATATCCCAAGGGTGCTTTTTCAAAAGGCTATTGGACTTTGTTTTTTCCTTGAAGACGTTTCACTTCTCATCCAAAGAGCTTCTTCGGTTCTGCCTGAATGGTGCATGGAAGGATTAATATTCTTTACGTTCATCTGGTTATTAGCACTCTTTCAGAGAGTCATTGAGGCCACTTGGATGTTTATCTGTGCCCTCAGGGCCACCTGGACAATGCAATGGATATGGAACCTTGGAACCGCTAAAACAGTGGTTCTCAACCTTTTTAATGCCGCGACCCCCAACCGGTCGTAAGTCGAGGACTACTCAACTGGTGCAGCACCGTTTGCAGAATGGGACTTTTGGCGGGCTCAGCAGGGCAGAGACAGCCTGGACAATTCCTATTGGCTTTTGAAAGCCAATAGAATTAGACTCTATTCAAGAGAGTCTATTCTATTGGCTTTCAAAAGCCAATAGAATAAAAGGGAGCAACACAGCTAAGGAAAAGGGGGGAAAAAATGGACTGCGTTGTTTGGCGACCCCCGTGAAATGGTCGTTCGACCCCAAATGGGGTCCCGACCCACAGGTTGAGAACCACTGCGCTAAAAGGATTGTGTTGAGATCGCTGGTGCCATACCCTCCCCCTCTGTTGAGCAAGGGCTGTTCAGTCTTAATGTAGATGCCATCTTTGACCCCTCTTTCAAAATGCAGAATGTTGTCCACATTCTTCTTGGATGAGAAGTGAAACGTCTTCAAGGAAAAAAACAAAAGTCCAGTTGTCTTTTGAAAAAGCACCTTTGGGACAACCATGACCTGGATGACTGAGAAGCTCCATAGACAAGTGAAAAATTAAAATTAAAAAGTTGGGTGGAGGGGGAACAGGAAGCACAGGGGGGGACAGGTGGAGTCAGCTAGTTAGCCACTTCCAGTGTGGGACTACCCCATTGGGTCCAGGCTAACTGGTCTTCAGATCCTTGCAGAAGGGCAGGAGAGTGGGGGCAAACCTCACCCTGGGGAAACAGGATGTTCCAAAGCAGGGATCCCCAACTCTGATCTGTGGACCGGTACCGGGCCGCGGCATGCCAGCAACCGGTCCGCCCAAACAAGCAAAGCCCCATCCGTGGGATGCAGGCAGCGCACAAAACCACACACACCCTCCTGTCCGTGGAAAAACCTCTCTCCACGGAACCGGTCCCTGGTGCCCAAAAGGTTGGGGATCTCTGTTTGAAAGGGCTGGTGCTAGAGCAGAGAGAGCTCTTTTGGATCCTCTTAAATCGGAGGTAGAGTTGCCTTGCTAGTCTGCTTTTTTAAAAAAACAAAAATGGTTGCTTCTCTTTTAGCGGCATGGAGCATTGTGAGAAATTCGAGATTTCAGAAACCAGCGTAAACCGAGGTCCTGAGAAGATCCGCCCAGAGTGCTTTGAGCTGCTCCGTGTTCTTGGCAAAGGGGGCTACGGAAAGGTAAGGGGCCTTCTGGCGAGGTGGAGAATTTCTCCTCTTTTCCTGTCCATCTTTACATCAGTGGGCCCAGCACATCTTTTCCTTCTGAACCCTTATTTGTTAATTTATCACTAAATTCATGTTTCAAATATAAATCACTGTGTTGTGAGTTGGGTGGCCCGTATAAATTCGTTTAGTAAATAAAACATCCAACTTGGGCATCTTCTGGAATGGAAAGGGAAGCAGGGAATGTTTCCACCTGTTGCAGTGAGCAAAATGGTCTCGTATTTCTGTCTCAGTTGTTGAATCGGAGCATAAGGACTGGAATCTTTATTTGCCAGGCAGGGACCGTAGCACAGGGGTCAAGCATATCCCGTATGAGCAGAAAAAAACAAAGATTCAATCCTGAGAATTATCCAAAGGCAGCCTGAAAATTTCCCTGTCTTAACTGTTTCTGAACCTCAGCAACTCTGAAACAGGTGGACTTCAATACCCGGAATTGCACAGCCAGCCAGACTGAGCTATGCCAATAGGTTTTCTATAAATCAGCTGTAGTTTATGGTCCAGCACCATGTAGCAATCTCCTCTGCTTTGTTTTTTTTTTTCTGGCTTGTTTATACACTGCTTTATGGCAAAGGTTCCTCGGGTAACTTAGAAGATAAAAACAAAAAACACAGATGAACTCAGAGCAGGGGTTAGGAGGGTGACTTTTGGCCTGTTGATTTCATAATATGTGCTTGACTGATTGCATCTTTGTATGCTTGTCCTAATCCCCCTGTCACTTTCATTATGTTTTCAAACATTAGAAGTGGGCTTCTTTATTTCAAACAGTATTTGCCATAAGTTGCCCTGAGCCTTGTTGTTGTTGTTGTTGTGAGAGGGATCTCGGAGTCCTAGTAGACAATCACTTAAATAGGAGCCAGCCATGTGCTGCAGCTGCCAAAAGCTGGGCTGCATTAACAGAGGGATAGAATCAAGATCACGTGAAGTGTTAATACCACTTTCCAATCCCTTGGTAAGACCACACTTGGAATACTGAATCCAGTTTTGGTCACCACGATGTAAAAAAGATGTTGAGACTCTAGAAAGAGTGCAGAGAAAAGCAACAAAGATGATCAGGGGACTGGAGGATAAAACATACAAGGAACATTTGCTGGAATTGGGTATGTCTAGTTTAATGAAGAGAAGGACGAGGGGGGACATGATAGCAGTGTTCCAATATCTCAGGGGCTGCCCCAAAGAAGAGGGAGTCAAGCTATTCTCCAAAGCACCTGAAGGCAGGACAAGAAGCAACGGATGGAAACTGATCAAGAAGAGAATCAACCTAGAATTAAGGAGAAATTTCCTGACAGTAAGAACAATTAACCAGTGGAACAACCTGCCTCCAGAAGTGGTGAATGCTCCAACACTGGAAGTTTTTAAGGAGAGACTGGATAGTCATTTGTCCAAAATGGTATAGGGTTTCCTGCCTGTACAGCGGGTTGGACTAGATGACCTCCAATGTCCCTTCCAACTTTATTATTATTAATATTATTAATATTAATAATATTAATATTATTATAAAATTGACCATATCAATATTTTATTATTTCAGAGCGATAGCTTGTACCTGCTGAATGGTGCAAGCCCAGGCTAATGGGAAAACTGGCTTGTGCTATCTGTGGCTTGCTTAGTTTCCTTCAAGATAGTGAAGCCCGATCACTTGTTATTCGCTGATTAAAAGGAAGCAGCAAAAAATACCAGATCTTGTAGTGACCGTGAACTTTTTTTTAAAAATTATTTTTTGGGGAGAGAAAAGTGATAATGCTTCTTTTTAAAATGTCTTGGCAGGTTTTCCAAGTTCGCAAAGTAACGGGAGCAAACACGGGCAAAATTTTTGCCATGAAGGTGCTGAAAAAGGTGAGATGGCTTTGATCACCCAACTGTAGGTAGACAACTTTTGTGAGAGGTGAATGTAGACCAGGGGGTCTTCAAACTTGGCCCTTTTATGACTTGTGGACTTCAACTCCCAGAATTCCTCAGGAGGAATTCTGGGAGTTGAAGTCCACAAGTCATAAAAGGGCCAAGTTTGAAGACCCCTGATGTAGAACAAGGTTTTGCTTGCTGCCCATCTTAAATTCAAGCTCCATTAAGAGGATCTTGCTGAGTCTCCAGAGAATCATTGCTAGGAGAATGTAAATTTACTAAGAAATGCGGCTAGTCCTCAACTTACAATCCTTTGCTTAGTGACTGTTCAAAGTTACAATGGCACTGAAAAACTATGACCATTTCTCACACTTATCACTGTTGCAGCATGCCTATGGCCACGTGATCAAAATCCAGACTCATGGCAACTGATTCCTATTTATGACGGTTACAATGTCCCGGGGTCATGTGATCCCCTTTTGCGACCTTCTGACAATTACAGTCAATGGGAAAGCCAGATTCACTTAAAAACCATGTTACTAACTTAACTGCGGTGATTCAGCTAACAATTGTGGCGAGAAAGGTCATAACATTGGGCAACTGTCTTGCTTAGCAACGGAAATTTGCTAAAATTGTGGTCATAAGTTGAGGATACCTGTCGTCATGACTGAAATAAAGGAATTTTATACAACCAACTCTGTATTTTTGTCTAGTTACTTCAGATATTAGCAGCAATTGGAGAATCACTTTTCTCTCGCTTGCAAAGTTTTTCATTCTGTTATTGCGTGCTTAAAATTTTTGAACTTTTGCTTGGTTGGTGCACTAATTATGCAATCAGATATTTTTAACAAGCATTGCTGTTATGGCTCTTTGTAAGATAGTAGAGCAGCTAGCAGCAGAGTCTATGCTTTTCATTTTGAAGTGTCATCCGGTCTGTTGAAATCTAAATTAACTCTGAATGTATTATAGCTGAACATACATTTTATCAATGGGTTGGATTATGTCCTCCTGTGATCTATAACCTTTTTTGGAAAAAGGGAGGAGGAAGAATGAGATAAGAAAGAGGAGGCTGGACAAATTAGGTTTGGTTCCAGTGTGTTTGGTTGTTTGAAGTTCATTGAATTGCAAGAAACAGGCTCTTATGTCATATGTCAGTGGTGGCGAACCTATGGCACACGTGCCAGAGGCGGCACTCAGAGCCCTCTCTGTGAGCATGCATGCCATGCCCTGGAGATGACAACCGTCCCTCTTCAACCAGCCGCCCGCTAACTTGCCGAGGTCCCACATGGCCGGATGCATCCCAGCACTCATGCACTTGCTGACCTCTGTGTGCAAGGGCTGACGGTGTCAGGCAGCACTGGCCCCTGCCTCACCTTGCCCTGTGACAATGGCATCTCCGCCCTGCCTCGCCTTGCCTCACCCTGCAGGACGAGCCTCCCGCCCACCGCCCCACCTGCCAGAGACCCCCTGGATCTCCCCCAACCCTGCCCGGCCCCCACAGGCATCCCTCCCCATGAGCAACATCGAGGTGATCACGCCCACCTTGGCCACACCCACCCAGTCTGCCATGACCACCACAGCCACGCCCACCTGGCACCTGTTGATAAATAAGTGGGTTTTGGGCACTCGGTCCCTAAAAGGTTCGCCATCACTATGACATATGTGAATCAGACCATTATTACAAGCCACTGGTTGGTTTATGTTTGGTGACTTTGATAACTGAAAGTAGTGAAAACCAAGTCAAATAATTTGAAGAGGCTATTTGAGTTTTATAATGTCCAATACCCTCTTTAAATCAAGAATCCAAGTTAAAGTATAGGAGAGGGAAGTTAAATGGAAGATGAACTACAATTTTTTTGTAGACTGGCTAAACAATGTAGTAATTGGAGGAACATTTCAAGCTTTAGTCCAGAAACCAAATCAGAAATAAGTGATTGCTTTACAACTTGCTTTTCGGTGGCCGTCCTGGGTCTATGTCAGCAACTATAAGATGTGTGGACTTTAACTTCCAGAATTCACCAGACAGCATGCTTTATTCCAGCGGTTCTCAACCTGTGGGTTGGGACCCCACTTGGGGTCGAACGACCATTTCACGGGGGTCGCCAAACAACGCAGTCCGCCATTTTTTCCCCCTTTTCCTTAGCTGTGCTACTCCCTTTTATTCTATTGGCTTTTGAAAGCCAATAGAATAGACTCTCTTGAATAGAGTCTAATTCTATTGGCTTTCAAAAGCCAATAGGAATTGTCCAGGCTGTCTCTGCCCTGCTGAGCCCGCCAAAAGTCCCATTCTGCAAACGGTGCTGCACCAGTTGAGTAGTCCTCGACTTACGACCAGTTGGGGGTCGCGGCATTAAAAAGGTTGAGAACCACTGCTTTATTCTTTTTCTACTTAGGCTACAGCTGCTCATGTCTTGATCACCTTGCAAACAGACTACTGCACTGCATTCTACTTGGCACTCTTCTTGAAATCTGTTCAGCAACTTTAGTTGATACAATATGCAGCAACTTTATACACTCCCGTCCCTTCCTTGTTCACAGCAAACCATATTTGACCTCTACATTGAACAAACCCTAGCTTGCGTGAAGAAGCTTTAGAAAGCTCACTTCAAATCACGATTGGCTGTTTTACAAACCGGCATTATATTTAGACTAACCTGGATCTGCAGATTTTGAGACAAGGATAGCTTTACCTTCCTCAAAATTAGGAAATGTGGCAGATAAGGAAAAAAAAAATACAGTTCGGCTTTGGGGATGAATTGATCCATTGCTCCTAATATGTTTTGTGAACTTCGGTAGCTATCAGTGGCTCCAGTTTGGTCACAAACGTAGCAGACTTGATACAATTGTACTGTGTTTTTATCAGGCAGGAAAGATCAGGTGAAGGTCCAATTAAATTATTTATTGCTAAAAGCCTATGCACAAGAATCTTCTCAACTAACGGCTTAGAGTTAGACAACAGACAATGGAATTCAAGGGAGGGTGGACTTAGTTCGCTCGTGGCTACATAGGGATTCTAGGCTGATCCCTCTTTTAACTCCACTCCCAGATTCTACCAACTCCCTCTACATATTTTTTTAGAATGCAGATACTATGATTGTTTTGTCTTCTTTAGGCGATGATTGTGAGGAACGCAAAAGACACCGCTCACACCAAAGCCGAGCGGAATATCTTGGAGGAGGTCAAGCATCCATTTATCGTCGACTTGATTTATGCCTTTCAGACCGGTGGAAAACTCTACCTCATCCTCGAGTATCTCAGTGGTAAGTCTGAGCTGAGAATCAAAATGTGGATTTTTGAGCTCACCGACAGCGTGGGATCAATTTCATTGCTCCCTCATAAAACTCCTCTATATTTTTAGAAATATAAGCAGTCCTCCATTTACAACCAGAATTGAGCCCGGAATTACAGTTTGTTGAATTGTGCTGGTTGTCACCGTGCTCCATTTTGCGACCTCTTTCGTGGTGGTCGTTAAGCAAATCAGTTGTCTGCAATTGATGTTTTTGGCTGAAAATCAGAAGTAAACACAGATTTCTGGGGGAAAAACATAAATCGGGATGTTTTTCCCCCAGAAATCTGTGTTTACTTCTGATTTTCAGCCAAAAACATCAATATTCTGTAAATTCTGTAAATATGGTCTGGTTGCTGAGCACCCAAAATGTAATCGTGACATTGGGAGGAGCCTGCTGTCGAAAATTCAAATCTGGGCCGTGAGTAGCTCTGGGTAACTGTCGTAACTTTGAGTGGCCGCTAAGTGAATGGTGGTAAGGCGAGGACTACCTGTATCTTCTTTTGTAAATCTAATACATGGCAGGAGAAGGAAAGGGGGATGATTCACTGTGGTTCAGAATTGTACTCATTTTTTTTCCCAAAGAAGTTCCTTGAAAGAAGCATATCTTTACATTAGTTTTTCCCAAACTGCTATAGGAGAAAGAGTGGCAGAACCTGGGGGAGTAGTCAAAAGAGGGATCAGCCTAGAATCCCTACATAGTCACAAGCAGACTAAGTCCAACCTTTCCCCTCCACCCCCCTGAATGCTGTTGACCCTTATCACCAAGCAGGTGTTAACCCTTGGTTGAGAAGAATCCTGTGCATCGGCATAGTTAGCAATACAGCAGTCTAATTGGACCTTCAGGTGTGGACCTGGCGTTTCCCACCTAACAATTTCCCCCTTTCAGAAATGGTCTCTATCAGGAAGGTTGCGTTTCTGGGAAAGCCACAATTACTGTACCCAGCTGTCCAGTGGACCCAATGTCCATTCATGGCATGGGTCCAGGCTACTTGAGGGACTGTCTCATCTCACTGGGATTGCCCACCCACCCTTGCTGGCAAAAGGAGGCATTCCGCTGGCCCCGTTGGCCTCAGTATTCCGGCTGACGGGATCCAGGAGAAGGATCTTCTCTGCCATCACACCTGCCCTCCAGAATGAGATTCAGCTCCAACCATACTGACCTTCTGCCAATTAGCCATCTTTTAATTAGGCTGCAATATTGGGCTTTGTTTACTGTCTTGTTTATGTCTTTTTTTTGTACAGTTTTTATCTTTAATGACTGTAAGCCAGGGTTACCCTGAAGTAAGAGTGGCCAATAAATTTGCAAATAAATAAATGATAAGGCAGTTTGTGAATCCATCCTGAGTGTGGTCAATTCTCTAAACCAGGGGTGTCAAACTGCCGGCCCGCGAGCCGGATGCGTCGTGGTGAAACCACACCCACCCCATTGCCAGCAATGGAAAAAAAGTTGTGATACGTCGCGACACGTCACATGACATTGCAAGTTTGACACCCCCCCTCTAAACCAGTGGTTCTCAACCTTTTTAATGCCGCGACCCCAACCGGTCGTAAGTCGAGGACTACTCAACCGGTCGTAAGTCGAGGACTACTCAACTGGTGCAGCACCGTTTGCAGAATGGGACTTTTGGCGGGCTCAGCAGGGCAGAGACAGCCTGGACCATTCCTATTGGCTTTTGAAAGCCAATAGACTTAGACTCTATTCAAGAGAGTCTCTTCTATTGGCTTTCAAAAGCCAATAGAATAAAAGGGAGTAGCACAGCTAAGGAAAAGGGGGAAAAAATGGCGGACTGCGTTGTTTGGCGACCCCCGTGAAATGGTCGTTCGACCCCAAATGGGGTCCCGACCCACAGGTTGAGAACCTCTGATCTAAACAAAAGGACAAGTTATCCAGACCGCCCCATGGACTTGGAAATAGGGCGGCTAGCTTTCTGCCGTGCAGCCCTCTGCGCCCCTCTTATCTTGTGGCGTCTGTCCCATGCTAACTTTCCTAGCGACGGGGTCAAAATTTTACTGTGCTTTTCTCACGCTTTGATTTTCAGGAGGAGAACTCTTCATGCAGTTGGAACGAGAGGGGATATTTATGGAAGACACTGCTTGGTAAGTGACCGAATGTTTCTTCAGCTCCAGCAGGGTAGACTAAGGCAAGAGCCGAGTGAAGAGCGTACGAAGTCCGTTGTGGGAGAAGATTGGGGAGGCATATCACAGCTGAGTTCCTGCTGAGCTGCGTTTTCATTTCCCATACTTCAAAGAGAAGGTTGTTTGGGCCACAGCATTTGGGGAGTTGGAAACCGAATAGGCCTGTGGGTGCCTGAAGGCTGGTCTTATGATATGTCACAATATGAACGTAAATGTAAGCACTGTGTTTCATTTAGATAGTTATATAAATACCACTAAATATAGCCATGAAGCCACAGTGGACCTAAAATAGCTCCTGTTGAAACAAACCTCTGTACAGAAACTTGCTAAAGGCAGATGCTGACAGATTTTTTTTATAATATTTTATTTTCAATTTTACATTTAAGTATTTAAAAAGCAACGTGGTGGCTGGGTTAATCCATAGTTCGATAACAAAATCTTTAGTACAAATTTCAAGTTACAACATCAAATATTTCCCCTTAACATTTACTGTCTCGTATTTAAGCTAATACAGTTCTTATTGTATCAACCCAGTAAAAACATCATTATTACATTTATCAATGAATTTTTAGCTTATATGTATCTTAATTATTTTTTACATTCAATCTTCATAAACAATCCATATCCTGTTATTAATTTTTTCCCAATTTTTAATTTCCCATCAATATTCCAATTTAACCATTAATATTTATAATTTTCAGGCTTTAGGTAACCAAGATTTTCCTTATCTCAGTTCATAACAGAATCCCTTCCATTAGTTGTTATTCTGATTTATCTCAGTCAATTCACAACTGAAATTATGGTTACTGTTTTTCCTCTGAGGCTATTGCCTCCAGAGTAGAGATGGGGGAAACCCAGCACTCTAGGAGCTGCAATAGTGAGTGAGGATAAAACTAAGCCAAAGAAATAACTATAAAACTTGGAAGCTGAGTCTTCTTGTCAAGTGCCACATCTGAAGTTTTGCAGTGATGTGTTTTTATATATATATATATATATATATATATATATATATATATATATATATATATATATATTCATTAATCCAACTAGCTGTACCCAGCCACGCGTTGCTGTGGCTCAAGAAAGAAAAGAGAAAGCGCACGTTTGTAATATGTTTAATTTCACAATGATTGTGGGTATACAATATTTTTTGTTGTTCCATGGTGTGTGCAGATATAGAGATTACAGATGGCGCTTTTTTCAAAAAATGTTTTTACCTGTTTTTCAAAAAAGCATGTTTTTACCTGTCACAGGTGTGACATCTATATAATATAGGTATAAAGAAACATGCGTGTATTTAAATGCAACGTTGTGTCAAAATTTCAAAACAATCGGTGAAGAACTTTCGGAGATTTAAGATTTTGAACAAACGAACATTTACATTTTTATTTATATAGATACAGATTTATAGGGTTGCTGATTGAGATTGATTGACTTGATTAAAACTTAAAAACTGCATAGCCACCCAGGATTCTTTCCTAATCATTTTTTTTTTTTTTTTTTGCATTGTAGTTTCTACTTGGCTGAAATTTCGATGGCTTTGGGACACCTGCATCAGAAAGGAATCATCTACCGTGACTTAAAGCCAGAAAACATCATGCTGAATCACCAAGGTTAGAAAGACAATTATTTCATTGTTACCAACTTTTTTCAGTGTTCTTGGAATCTGGTTGTGATTCGGTAGATTTCCCCACCCGATAGTCAACAGATCTGCCGTGATTGCAGTTTTTAGCATTTCTAGACGGTGTATGAGGCAGGGGTCTCCAATCTTGGCAACTTGTGGACTTCAACTTTTAGAAGTCCCCAGCCAGCCACAGCGGCTGGGGAATTGTGGGAAATGAAGTCCACAAGTCTTAAAAGGTTGCCAAGGCTGAAGACCGTTGGTGTAAGGACAAATGTCCCACTATCTGTGTAGAGCAGTGGTTCTCAACCTGTGGGTCGGGACCCCATGTGGGGTCGAACGACTATTTCACGGGGGTCGCCAAACAACGCAGTCCGCCATTTTTTCCCCCCTTTTCCTTAGCTGTGCTACTCCCTTTTATTCTATTGGCTTTTGAAAGCCAATAGAATAGACTCTCTTGAATAGAGTCTAATTCTATTGGCTTTCAAAAGCCAATAAGAATTGTCCAGGCTGTCTCTGCCCTGCTGAGCCTGCCAAAAGTCCCATTCTGCAAATGGTGCTACACCAGTTGAGTAGTCCTCGACTTACGACCGGTTGAGGGTCGCGGCATTAAAAAGGTTGAGAACCACTGGTGTAGAGACTAGATTACTGCCTGAATGCACACTTTGATTTTGAATCCTTGTGGACGTGTCTGGTGAATTTTGACGACTGGGTTTTTGAAAGCTCTCTTGGCCTTTTCTCAAGTTGGCATCGATGAGATGAGATGCTGACATCTCCCATTACCAGTAGTCCTTAATTTAACAACTGTTTGTCCATTGACTGTTCAAAATTGCAAAAAGCACTTCAAATCCCTGCCTGAAGTTAGAGCCATTGCAGCCCTCTCGCTAGTCTCAGGAACAAAATTTGGGGCACATTGCAATCTGTCCACCCTTACAACCGACCATAGAGGTCCCTCCTCAGCTCTCGTTCCTACGCTGCTAAGTCCCCCAGGCTTTGGGCCTGTTTTCTATCTCCTCCCATCCCTGAGCTACCCTGTGCTTTGCTTAATAACCCACATGGTCATTTAACAACTGCAACAGAGAAAGCGGCATCAGTTGGTTAAGTGAGCTGGTCACATGGGCGCCTCATTTCACAACCGTCGTGACTTGCCACCATAATGGGCAGTCTCTATTACCAGTGTAAGTCGAGGACTATCTTCTTGTAGCTGCCTAAAAGAAGCAGGAAGGGAAGGAAGATTCAAGAGTCTGGCCCAGGGGTGGGCAACCTTGGCTTTTTTAGGACTTGTGGACTTCAACTCCCAGAATTCCTGAGCCAGCCATGCTGAGGAGAAAGGGAGAGGTTTCCATGCTGAGCCATGCTGACTCAGGAATTCTGGGAGCTGAAGTCCACAAGTCATAAAAGAGCCAAGGTTCCCCACCCCCCTGGTCTGGCCGCTAGTAGCGGGTCTTTTAAGGGGTAGTCCCTATTTTGAAGATAACTTCTTGAGATACGTGCTTGGCTTCACCTCTTGTCGGTTTAGTAGGCCAGCCAATTTCCCAGTCATTGAGTTTTGTGTGTGTGTGTTACGTACCAGTCAAAAATGTGTGGTTCTTGAATTGCAACTCTTCGTTTAGCAACCCTTCGAAGTTACTACGGCACCGAATAAAGTTGTCAATGCTGCAACTTCGTTTTCAGTTGCCATAGCTGGAAGTGGGGGGATGAGTGCTTTTAAGGTCAGACAAAACAATACATTGTCCTGTGGGAGCCAAGGTCATTGCTGCTGGTCTTTTGGTGGGTTGCGCTTATGCCCAAAGTAGTTTATTGGGGAACGTGATTAGTGACATGTTATTGGGGATGGGAAGTCCCAACTTTGTAACTTTATAACCTTTGGGAGGGAACTTCAGTCTTGGTTTCACTTTTGATCATGCCAGATACTTTGTAGCCAATAAATAGGTTCTTTAAGGACACCTCTTGCCTTAGAGTTCTGTTTTTACTGGTCTCCTCTATTGAAACCATGACAAAAGTGACTTACGACCATTTTTCACACTTACGACCATTGCAGCATCCCCAGTTGTCATGTCATCAAAATTTGGGTTCCTGGCAACTGGCCTGTATTTTATAACGGTTGCAGCTTTGCAACTTTCCCAGCCGGCTTCTGACAAAGAGAATCAATGGGGGAAGCCAGATTCGCTTAACGACCCCATGATTCACTTAATAGTTGCAGTGATTCACTTAACAGCTGTGGCAAAAAGGTCATAAAATGGGGCACGATTCATTAACCGCTGCCTTGCTTAGAAACGGAAACGTTGGGCTCAACATTTGGTTGTAAGTCGAGGTCTACCAGTGTGGTATTTTAATTTTATATTAGCTTTCTGTGGTTCTCTCCCCTCACTTCCTTTTTTATTTCCTTTTGTTTTTCCCCCCCAGGTCACGTTAAACTGACAGATTTTGGACTGTGTAAAGAATCCATTCATGATGGAACAGTCACACATACGTTCTGTGGAACAATAGAATACATGTGAGTCCAGCTGACAAGACAGAAAAGTGTTAATAATGGTGGTCGAAGAGAAGTATTTATTTTTCCCTCTTTAGATTAACCTTCTTCAGGGCAACCCATGAATGTTTCCAGTTTAAATTAGGAGAGGGGACACACACACACACACACACACACACACACACACACACACACACACCAGCATTTCTTGAGAAGATGAAAAGATTTCTCTCCATTTACATGTGTTGGACCTAAATTACTGTAACCTCCAGTCAAAATGATCTCGCCAAATATGAGGAGACCAGGCTGATGAAACTGATTCTTTAGCAAGCAGGACTCTTGTCAATTTAATCTAAATGTTGTATTTTGTCTCAAAAAAAGACTTTTTAAACGTCCCAATAGGATCCTTTATTATTTTTTATTTAGCTTCTGGATTTGTATCAAGATCAAGGCAGCATACACCATACAGGTAGTCCTTGACTTACAATAGTAATGGAGCCTGTCCATTACTTGTCGCAGGTCACGATGGTCATTGAGTGAATTGCCAAACCTAAGGACTCCCCCATTCCCAGTAATCATTAAACAGGAGACTGGAGGTTAAAACATACAAGGAATTGGGTATGTCTATTTTAATGAAAAGAAGGACGAGGGGGGACATGGTAGCAGTCTTCCAGAACTTCTGAGGCTACCACAAAAGTGGGGATTGACTTATTCTCCAAAGTCCCTGAAGTCAGAAGAAGAAGCAATAGATGGAAACTAATCAAGGAGAGAACCAACCTAGAACTAAGGAGAAACTTCCTGACAGTGAGGACAATTAACCAGTGGAACAACCTGCCTCCAGAAGCGGTGAATGCTCCAACACTGGAAGTTTTTAAGAAGAGACTGGACAGCCATTTGTCTGAAATGGTATAGAATTTCCTGCGTAAGCAGGGGGTTGGACTAGATCAGTGGTTCTTAACCTTTTTGAACGAATCGCCCCCTTGAGCCAATGAGGAAGTTGTCATCGCCCCCTTCCCCCAACATAACCTCTCAATCACAACATAGGAAATAATTCTTCAATTTATGCAAACACTTTTTTTTTTTTTTAATTGTCATCAGGACATATCGATGCAAATAATTTATTTCCAGTCTTTTTCCCATATCTCCCATATTCTGGCCAATGGCGTGCCACTGTATGGGTAGAGGCTGCTGCGCAACCCTCATGAGATAAGCGATGCGTCTTCACATATGTACGGCGTTCTGTACTGAAGCTAGCTGGAGGAACATTTGAAAACACAATTCAATCCACTAATAGCGAGCGATCTGATGTTTTTGTACGACAGATATACAGCCATTCACTGTACGAAAAAGTCTCAAAAGTGTCCCCAAAACTTCTCGCTCCATTGCCCCCATATCGCCCCCTTTTCATTCCTTCACCCCCGTGTTGCCCCTTTTTGTTCCATTGCCCCCCTGAAAAATGAAATCACCCCCTGGGGGGCAATATCGCCCAGGTTAAGAACCACTGGACTAGATGACCCTCCAAGGTCCCTCCCTTGGAGGCCTAGTGTAGGCTTGGGCTCACATGCTCTGAGCCCCCCAGCCCTCTCCCACTCCCAAATTACTCCACTCCCTATCCCGGCGAGATGGGAGATAAGTGATGGGGTATCTTAAGCACTCACTCCTTTAATTTTCCTCCTCAACAACAATCCTGTGAGGTAGAATGGATTCACAGTGTCACTTAGTGCCTTTCCACATCAAAGGGTGGGCTTGAAATAGGACTTAAAATTCTAATTACTGGAGTCACACTGTTTAATGCTTTGAGAAGACGCTGGTTTTGATAAGATGTCTTGAGCTGTAAGGTCTGGAAGCATGTTTCTCAATTGGCCTCCTGAATTTTGGAAGACAAGGGTCACCCTGCACGTACCACTGAGATTACATCAGCGTCACAATAAGTGTCAAGGTTTTCACATGCTATCAATTGAAAGAGATATAGTACATTTTACTACAAGTGGTCCTCGGGCTTACAACTGGCAGCTTAGCGATCGTTCAGAGTTACAACTGGAAAAGGGGAGTTACGATACAGTTCAGTTTCTGAAGGAGGAAGCTATTCCACTGATTAATTGTTCTCACTGTCAGCAAATTCCTCCTCATTTCCAGGTTGGATCTCCCTCTGGCAAACTTCCACCCATTGCTTCCTGTCCTGCCCTCAGGTGCTTTGGACAATAAGTCAATCCCCTCTTCTCTGTGAGAGCCCCTAAAGTAGTGGAAGACAGTTATCATGTCCCCCAATCCTTTTCTTTGATAGGCTAGCCCAGGGGTCTTCAAACTCGGCCCTTTTATGACTTGTGGACTTCAACTCCCAGAATTCCTCAGCCAGGCATGCGTGCCTGACTGAGGAATTCTGGGAGTTGAAGTCCACAAGTTGAAGTCCACAAGTCATAAAAGGGGCAAGTTTGAAGACCCCTGAGCTAGACATACCTAACTCCCACTAATTGTTCATCATAGGATTTAGCCTCCAGACCCCCTTATCATCTTTGTTGCTCTTCTCTGCACTCTTTCTAGGAGCCTTGGCATCTTTTTTATATTGTGGTGACCAGAACTGGGCCCAGTATCCCAAATGTGGCCTCACTAGTGCATTAAATCACTTCTCGTGATCTTGACACCATCCCTCTGTCGATGCAGCCAAGGATTGCATTGGTTTTTTGGGGCAGGTAAAGCACACTGCTGGCTCAAGTGATGGTCCACCAGGAGACCTAGATCCCTCTCGCAGGCAGCACTGTTGAGCCAGGTGCTGCCTATCCTATACCTTTGCCTCCGTTTTTTAAAGTTCAGGCACTTACTTTTCACACTCTTGGCAGCTCAGCTTGATGTTTTACAACACAGGTGTCAAACTCGCCGTGACAGGTGATGTGTTGCAACGTATCACATCTTGTTTTGCATTGCTGGAGCTGGGGGGGGGGCATGGCCTCCGTGTGATGCAACCAGCCCATGTTTTACAAGAAGCTGTCACTACTCATAATTCTACGTATAGCGAGTTGGCCAAGCTAGTCACCTGGAGTAATGGTTATTCACCGCAGACTGTTAACTGAAACTCAGTGGCTGTAGGTGCTCTCCGCAGGATTTTTTAATTGTAAACATTACCTGTTCTGATGCTGTGATCTGTCGTGCTGATCCTTGCTATTTGCATGTGATGTCTTTTTAGGGCCCCTGAAATTTTGATGAGGAGTGGGCACAACCGTGCTGTGGACTGGTGGAGTTTGGGGGCATTAATGTATGACATGCTGACTGGAGCAGTAGGTGCACACTTACAAGCTGCATGTTTTATTTTTATTTTATTTTGTTTGTGTTTTGGAACATGTTTCATGCCTTTAAAGAATTTGCCATGTGGTTTTAACTTGCCTGTTGCTAAGCATGTGTGGTTAGATTTTTCTGTTTATGAAAAAAAAAAATCTCATTTATATTCTGGTTTATTCAGAAAAATGATTGTGAACCTGCCCTGTATAATAGTCCTTGACTTACAACCACAGTGGAGTCTGTAATGATGATTTTAAGTTGTGTCGTAAGTCGAGGCACCACATGACCGAATTCTATTTTTAAGGCTATTTTTACGATGACAGTAAAGTGAGTCACTGTGATCAGTAAACAAATCACATGGTCTTTAGGGGAATTCATTCATCCATACAGCCAGAGGGTTTTTTGTGTTTTGCCAGAAACTGGCAAAAAAAATCACAGTCACACTCCCTGGGATGCTGCAACCAGTCATAAATGCGAGCTGGTTCCCTGGCGCCTGAAATGCAGTCATGTGACGGGGGGAGGACCACAATTGTAACTTTGAGGACAGATTATATGTAGCTCTTTTTTAAATCAATCATAGCTTCAAGTGGTTGTTAAATAGCCAATTATAAATCAAGGATTATCTGTATTTCTGCTTCTTGGAATGACATGCCAGTTTCCATTTACGTTGATTCACAATACTTAACAGCTGTACGCAACAGTTTTTTTGGGAGGGAAATTCCCTTCCACTGGCTGGGCTGAATTTCTCACCCAAATCATACGAACTTTGGGTTTGCAGCAAGCTTGGAAACTGAATCCCTGAACCTCAGTGCTTTTCCTGTTGGGTTTACAGTCCAGGAATAATACCGATTCCTTACGCACTTACTGCCGACGTTGTAGACAGGGTGTCCAGGGTGTGTGACTATCCAAAAGTCAAGATAACGGTTGTGACTGTGATCAAATCTCTGCCAGGTCTCATGTGATCACACACATCCCTGTCTGTGGAGAGTCTCAAGTCATCCAAGTCACGGTTGTCTCAAAAGGTGCTTTCTCAAAAGGCACACCGGACTTTCTTTCTTTGTTTTTCCTTGACGATATATTTCGCTTCTCCTCCAAGAAGCTTCATCGGTTCTGGGAGGAGGGTGGGGGAGATGGAAAGCTTACTTCTGAAAGGATGGGCAGAACTAAGCCTTCCATCTCCCCCCTCCATCCTGCCAGAACCGATGAAGCTTCTTGGAGGAGAAGCAAAACGTCTTCAAGGAAAAATGAAAGTCCAGTTATCTTTTGAAAAAAAAAAAAAAAACACCTAGGACAGTGATGGCAAATCTCTTAGAGACCGAGTGCCCAAACCGCAACCCAAAACCCACTTATGTATTATTGGGTGCCGGGTGGGTGTGGCCCATTGGGTGGGCGTGGCTGTGGTGGGAACAGCAGACTGGGTGGGACTAAAAAGTTCAATCAATCAATTCCAACTTTGCGAGATCTTTTTTTCCCCCCCGCGAGAAGTTGAAATTGATTGATTGATTGATTGAACTTTTTTTTTTGCATACGGTGGTGGAGGCCTAAAGTGAAAAGCTTTATAAAATTCAGCTGAAGACGTAGGATTGGGGTGATGGTGTGCGTGCCCACAGAGAGATGGCTCTGCGTGCCACCTGTGGCACCCGTGCCATAGGTTCGCCACCACGGATTGAAGAGACACTCGTCCATGCTATTTTGACTTCTTAGACCAGTGGTTCTCAACCTGTGGGTCGGGACCCCATTTGGGGTCGAACGACCATTTCACAGGGGTCGCCAAACAACGCAGTCCGCAATTTTTTCCCCCTTTTCCTTAGCTGTGCTACTCCCTTTTATTCTATTGGCTTTTGAAAGCCAATAGAATAGACTCTCTTGAATAGAGTCTAATTCTATTGGCTTTCAAAAGCCAATAGGAATTGTCCAGGCTGTCTCTGCCCTGCTGAGCCCGCCAAAAGTCCCATTCTGCAAATGGTCCTGTACCAGTTGAGTAGTCCTCGACTTACGACCGGTTGGGGGGGTCGCGGCATTAAAAAGGTTGAGAACCACTGTCTTAGACAGCCAGGGTTGTAGATCAAACCCACTTTATAATAGCCAGGCTTGGAAAACATTTTTTACAGGCCTGTGTAAAAGCCAGGAAGTACAAGCAGAATTTTGTGGACGTCACATTACGTGGTGGACATTACATTAACGTGGTGCATTTTTTTCACGGCTTCTCCTTCCTCCTCTCCCTTTTTCAGCCCCCTTTTACTGGGGAGAACCGGAAGAAAACGATTGACAAGATCCTCAAGTGTAAACTGAACTTGCCTCCCTACCTCACACAAGAAGCCAGAGATCTGCTTAAAAAGGTGAGACTCTTACTGGGATCATCCCAGAGATGGGCTCAAGTATAAATTCAGGGCTGTTTTTCAAATTTCAACTTTTCTGTAGCTCAGTCCTTGGCGTACGACCAGAATTGAGGCCAAATTTTCTGTTGGTTAAGCAATACGGCCGTCAAATGAGTAGTGCGCGATTTTACGGCCTTTTTGGCCATGGTTGTTAAGTGAATCACTGCAATTGTTAACGCCAACCTGGCTTCCCGCATTGACTTTGCTTGTCAGAAGCTGTCTGGGAAGGTGACAAATATTGATCATGTGACCACGGGGATGCGGAAAGGGTCGTAAGTGTGAAAAACGGTTGTAAGTCACTTTTTTCCCGTGCCATTGTAACTTTGAACGGTCGCTAAATGAATGGTTGTAGGTCGAGAACTATCTGCATGAGTTTGGAGTGAACCAAAAGTTATTTCACCTGACTTGTTCTTGGATCTGAATGGTAAGCAAAAAGTGTCTTCCCAATTAATAACTACTAAATTTTCATTAAGCCTTTAAAAAAATAAAAACAAAATGTCTCTAGCATTTGTTCATATCACAGTTGGTGATCTTGGTAAATACAAACCTGGAAATTATTTGCTGAGTCAGGTGGACATTTGTCCAGAATGTTTCAGTATAATAATCCTCAACCTACATCCATTCATTTAGCAGCCCAAGTTACAATGGCACAGAAAAAAGTGACTTATGACTGGTCCTCCTCTTATGACCATTGCAACATCCTTGTGCTCAAAGGATCAAAACTTCACTGGAAGTTTTTAAGAAGAGACTGGACAGCCATTTGTCTGAAATGGTATAGGGTTTCCTGCCTGAGCAGGGGGCTGGACTAGATGACCTCCAAGGTCCCTTCCAACTCTATTGTTGTTGTTATTATTATTGATCATCGCACAGTCAGCCAGATGTTTAGATTGGATTCGGCATTTTTGTTTACCCATCAAGTTCTTCCCAAGAACCTGGGATAGGCAGATGTGGATGTTTGATGGTATTACAGATATCGTCACAGGATGGAAGCAGGCCGCCTTTTGCAATTGACTAATGGTGAATTTGTCAATGCCGATGATGGTGTTCAAGTGGTGCTCCAGTTGTTTTGGGATTGCACCCAAGGTGCCTATTACTATTGGTATTACCCTTGCTTGCCTTTGCCACAGTCTTTCTATTTCTATTTGTAGGTCTTTGTATTTTGTTATCTTCTCCAGTTCTTTCTCGTCTATTCTGCTGCCAAGTCCAACTCCCAGACTCTTTTGTCTTTCTTATCGACAGTTGTTAAGTCTGGGGTGTTGTGTTGCAGGTGCTTGTCTGTTTGAATTCTGAAGTCCCAGAGCAGTTTAACTTTATCATTTTTTATTATTATTATTATTATTATTATTATTATTATTATTATTATTATTATTATTATTATTATTATTATTATTATTATTATTATTATAATATTCAGCTGTTTGGCAACTAGTGTGTATTTACAATAGTTGCACCATCCCGGCTTCATGTGATCACCATTTGCAACATTCCCAGGCAGCTTCCGGCAAGGAAAGTCAGTGGGAGAAGCCAGATTTGCTTAACAACCACACGATTCACTTAACAACTAAAATGATTCCCTTAACAACTGGGATTTAAAAAGTCATAAAGTTGGAGGTGACTCACTTTGACCACCTTGCTTAGCAACGGAAAAATCTGATCTCAGTTGTGGTTGTAACTTGAGGACTCTCTCTAGCTGCAATTCCCCTATCACCCCTACCTTTCAAATTGGAGACAGGTTTGCCAGTTTTATTGTTAACAATAAGGCTGTTGTCAGAACCACCATCTCCTCACCTGCGCCTTGCATTCATTCATCAACTGCCAGACCAGCAGGCACTTTGAGGGGAGGGAGCTGGTAGGGAGGGGGGAAGGCTACCAACTCATCATACCTTCTATAGCAGTGGTTCTCAGCCTTTTTAATGCCGCGACCCCCCAACCGGTCATAAGTCAAGGACTGCCCAACTGTTGTAAGTCGAGGACTACCCAACCGGTCGTAAGTCGAGGACTTTCCCTGCCCGGGAGCACCACGCATGTGTGGTGCCGCCCCCTGTGCCGGCCGAGGCGTAGCTGGCAAGCGGCAGAGACGGCGCAGGCCGACCACCGGCTGGGCCACTAGCTGGCCCAGCCCAAGGGAGGTAAGGCACCCGCCGGGCCCCACGCACACCAGCAACCCTCCCTGCGCCCGCCGGCCTCCCACCTCCCACCCCTGGCCCTCTTTTACTTATATTTTTAGTAGTTGCTCAGCAGGGAGGGGTGGAAACTTCCAGACAGCTCGCAGCACCGTTTGCAGAATGGGGCTTTTGGTGTGCTCAGCAGGGCAGAGACAGCCTGGACAATTCCTATTGGCTTTTGAAAGCCAATAGAATTAGACTCTATTCAAGAGAGTCTATTCTGTTGGCTTTCAAAAGCCAATAGAATAAAAGGCACAGCTAAGGAAAAGGGGGAAAAAATGGCGGACTGCGTTGTTTGGCGAACCCCGTGAAATGGTCGTTCGACCCCAAATGGGGTCCCGACCCACAGGTTGAGAACTGCTATTCTACAGAAACAACTTCCAGGTCAGACAGCTGGGAAAGGGATGCAGATCCCCACTGCCCATCCTACAATTGAAGAGAGCGTCCCCCAAAACATTCTGTGTTTTCCTTGTTCCCTTCTGGGAGGAGGCTCTGTGGTATCCGAAGCAAAACATCCAGATTCAGTCACAGTTTTGTTCCATACAGTATCAACCTTGTGAACTCTCAAGCTTCCTCCTTCCGCTACGTATTCAAGATGGACAGTGATTAGTATTTATGTGTTACTTATATGTAAGGGAGTAGGTCTATGCATATGTTGTATATAGTACGTTTTAATGTGTGTTATGTATATGTACACTTGGAGAGCAAGCAACAGAATTTCATTTTTAATATGTGCTGTTGTGCCCACAGGGGAAAAAATGACAATAAAGATTATCTAAACTAATCTAATCTCTAATGTATTAGAATATGATTGGACAGTGAAACAACGACAGTGGGAAGGGGGCAAGGGAAAAAATTTAACTGGGAAATTTTGGCATGCAAACCTCAGTTCTCGCTTTGCTATATTACTACTACTACTACTATTACTACTGCTACTACTACTAATAATAATATTCTAGTCCAACCCTCTGCTCAAGCAAGAAACCCTATAACATTTTAGACATGGTTGTCCAATCTATTCTTAAAAACTTCCAGTGTTGGAGCATTCACAACTTCTGGAGGCAGGTGGTTCCACTGATTCATTGTTCTCACTGAAAGGAAGTTTCTCCTTGGTTCTAGGTTGCTTTTCTCTTTGGTTAGTTTCCATCTGTTGCTTCTTGCCCTGCCTTCAGGTGCTTTGGAGAACAGCTTGACTCCCTCTTCTTTGGGGCAGCCCCTGAGATACTGGAGCACTGCTATCATGTCCCCCCTTGTCCTTCTCTTCGTTAAACTAGACACACCCAATTCCAGCAGCCGTTCCACAAGCTCCTTTATGATTGTGAATTGAAAGCTACCTGTAGCCACTCAGCCTGCCAGCTACGTTGCCTCGATGAATTCTCATTCTGCTTTCTTACAGCTTTTGAGGCCTCCCCGGATTTATATACAGGTTGTCCTGAACAACCATTTATTTAGTGACCGTTCAAAGTTACCATAGCACTGAAAAAAAAGCGACTTGTGACCGGTTTTCACACTGATGACCTTTGCAGCATCCCCGTGGTCACGTGATCAAAATTTGGTTGCTTGGCAACTGGCCCGTATTGAAGATGATTTGAGTGTCCCGGGATCATGTGATCCCCTTTTGCGACCTTCTGACAAACAAAGTCAATGGGGGGGAGCCAGATCCATTTAACAACCGTGATTCACTTAGCACCTGTGGCAAGAAAGGTAAAATGAGGCAAAACTCACCTAACAACTGTCTTGCTTAGCGACTGAAATGGGCTCGATGGCGATTATAAATCAAGGGATAAACCGTTCCTTATATGTTTTAGCCTCCAGTTCCCCTGATCATCTCTGTTGCTCTTCTCTGCACTCTTTCTAGAATCTCAACCTCTTTTCTACATCGTGGTGACCAAAACTGGATGCAGTACTGTAATCCAGTTGGCCTTTAGTAAAGTCTACCTTTCACAACACCTGGCGTCGAGGGTCTTTTTTGCTTAAAGGACCAAGTTGGGGCAGATCTGACAGCTATAAAATAACTTTTTTTTCTAAAAGAAAGTTCATTTGGTTTTAAGCATCTCTTTCCTCTCTTCAGCTGCTAAAGAGAAATGCTGCCTCACGTCTAGGAGCGGGTCCTGGAGACACTGGAGAAGTTCAGGTATGCCATTTTGTGATTTTTGTGGGAAAATGTCCTCCCTTCTCCTCTGACCAGTAAGATAATTTTCATAAAAGGTTTGCTTCATGATCTTGAATGTCTTGGATTTAAGCAAGGGGTTTGAGTACACTTTCGGGGAGGTGTAAAGTCAGTCTGCTTTGCAACTCAAACTGATATAAAAATTTTTGAAAATTGGGAAGCCATGGAGCCGTTTGCTCTACTCTCTTGCCTTTTCTTGGACAAGGGGAATGGTTGGGGAGGGGGTGGAAAGGATGCCAACTAGTCTGGGTACAAATGTCAAATGTGTTGGTGAACACTAGCGTGTCAACTAAAACGTCATGGCATGTCACCTTTTGACAATTGTGTCATAAGTTCAACATCGCTGTCCGATCACCTCTGTCCTAAAAAAGCAATTTTGAAGCAATATCTTAGGTCAGGGGTCTTGTGGACTTCATCTCCCAGAATTCCTCAGGTGCCTGGCTGAGGAATTCTGGGAGTTGAAGTCCACAAGTCATAAAAGGGCCAAGTTTGAAGACCCCTGTCTTAGATTAATATCTCTCAACTTCGGCAACCCCTTTCAGATTGTGGACTTCAACTCCCAGAATTCCTCAGCCAGTATGGCTGGTTGGGGAATTCTGGGAGTTGAAGTCCACATATCTGAAAGGGGTTGTTGAGGTTAAGAGACATTGCCTTAGTTCATCTAACAGAACAACTATAGCTTTGCCCGGTTTTTATTTGACGCTGTCTCTTCCATTTCCTCTTCTGAAGGAGCGCTGTAGACTTGTGTGTTTCTGTTTATATTCTGGTCAAAACCAAGCACCGGTCATTTGGCATGTTCTGCTCTCTTTGATTGGGCACTGATTAATAACCCCTGTTTTGTTGTTGTTGTTGTTGTTTTTAAGGGTCATCCCTTCTTCAGACACATCAGTTGGGAAGAACTGCTAGCTCGGAAGGTGGAGCCACCTTTTAAACCCTTATTGGTATGTCATTTGGATACATGCTTGTGATCTTGAGGCACAACCAGCCAGATAAGTCAAATTTGGGGGATCAGGGTGCGCCATTCGCAACCCAGGCAAGTTTTATGGCCCTGTCTTTCCAATATTCAGAGCTGTGTCCCACTTCCTTCGCAAGGGAGTTCACCTCTTGAGTCTTCCTCAGTTTTAAATTTGGGCTCAAATCCATCCCCCAATTTTAAGGTGGCTGTTGCACTTCAGAGGAAGGCAAAAATTCGTTGCTGCTACCCAAAGACTGGGCTTGCCATAAACCAGTGGTGGCGAACCTATGGCACGCGGGCCAGAGGTGGCACTCAGAGCCCTCTCTGTGGGCACATGGACCATGCCCCGGAGATGGCAATTGTCCCTCTTCAACCAGCCACCTGCTAACTCGCCGAGGTCCCACGTGGCATCCCAGCATATCTGGTTTCCCTCCCTCTCATCCCTCCTGGCCTGACATGCTCTCCTTTTCCCGGGCACGACCCACTGCATCGCCTCCTCAGCTGTTGGCCGTCCGTCCAGCTCAGAGGTGGCTTCTCTGAACTGCTGGGGGCAGGCTGCGGAGCCCCAGAGTGTGCCGGTCGAGGGCCCGGCAGGCTGTGGCTGCTGACGGACACTGTCGGCCCCCATGCACTCGCTGGCCTCTGTGTGCGGGGGCCGATGGTGTCAGGCAGCAGCCGCCCTGGCCCCTACCTTGCCTTGCACTGTGACAATGGCACCCCCGCCCTGCCTCGCCTCCCCTCACCCCGCAGGACGAGCCTCCTGCCCACTGTCCTACCCACCAGAGACCCCCTGGATCTCCCCCAACCCTGCCCGGCTCCCACAGGTGTCCCTGCCCACGAACAACATCGAGGTGACCACACCCACCTTGGCCACACCCACCCAGTCTGCCATGACCACAACCACACCCACCCAGTGGGCCACGCTCACCTGGCACCCAGCGATAAATAAGTGGGTTTTGGGGTTGCAGTTTGGGCACTCGGTCTCTAAAAGGTTCGCCATCCCTGCCATAAACCATTGGGTTACAAAATGGAGAATTGAGCCATTTCCATAAACTGGAGCTCAGAGAAGCATCTGGCCAGTACAGATAGTCCTCGACTTACGACTGTCCATTTAGTGATAGTTTGAATGGCCCTGAAAAAAATTACAATCGTTTCTCACACTTACGACCGCTGCAGCGTCCCTATAGTCACATGCTCAAAATTTGGCTGCTTGGCAACTGACTCCTACTTACGACACGTGATCCCCTTTTGCGACCTTCTGACCGTCAAAATCAATGGGGAAGCCAGATTCAGCTGAGAAACACGTGATGAACGTAACAACTGCGGTGACGCACTTAACAATTTGTGGCGAGAAAGTTTGTCAAATGGAGCAAAACACTTAACAACGGTCTCACTTAGCCGCAGAAATTTGGGGCTCCATTGTGGTCGTAAGTCAAGGACTGCCTGTACAGTTGTCTTCATCGTGGCATTTTCCAGGTGTGTTGGAATTGCAACCTGCTGAATTCTTCTGTCCTCTTAGCTAGGAACTCTGGAGTTGCAGCCACATAGTTCCTACTTGGGGCAAAGAGAAAGACTTGGGGGCTGGGTTGGTTTCTGCTCTTAAAAATCCTTTTGAGGAAAAATACATTTTTCTGCCCTTTTAATATTTCCTTCTCTGGGAGGCTCTGACTTCCCACAATTGGTGGTGGTGCTTGGGAGGGGAGACTCCTTTGGCGTCTTGCCTTTGAAGGCATCTCTCCTCAATTCTCCTTTTCTTTGATCCGTGACTCCCTCCCCCCCCTTCCCCTTGCCTTCGTTTTTCAGCCTAGTCGTCCAAAACAAGATCCTCCAATGGGGCAGGAGCAGCACTCCAGCAGGCTTCCAGGTGGTACATCTACGCAACGCTCCCTCCGTCCAGAAGCTTTGTCTTCCACTAAGGCTGTTGTGCTTATCTGTTAAAACTATTTTAAAACAAAAACAAAAACCTTCCTCAACTTTTGTTTTTTTTGCAAAGCAATCCGAAGAAGACGTGAGCCAATTTGATGCAAAATTTACACGTCAGACTCCCGTCGATAGCCCGGACGACTCGACCCTCAGCGAAAGTGCCAACCAAGTTTTCTTGGTAAGTAACCTTGTGGAGGGATATCTGCGGAGATTCTCCATTCTTCAGGTCATGGTTGTCCCAAAGGGGCTTTTTCTCCAAACTGGACTTTCTTGAGGGGTTCCCCCCCCCTTAAAAATGTTTCGCTTTTCATCCAAGAAGATTCTTTTTCAAACTGAAGAAATTTCTGGGATGAGAAGTGAAATGTTTTCAAGGGGGGGAAAACAAAAACCCAAGTCTAGTTGACTTTTGGAAAAAGCACCCTTGGGCCATTGGAGGATGAATCCTGACACACCCAAAGCAACCAGGTCTGATTGCTCCCTGGTTCACATTCTCCAACGTTCTCTCTGTGTGCAAAGGAAGCGAGATTATTCATCTACTTTTTCACCTACCTCGGGTTCCTCGCTCTTCATGTCCTTGCTGCTGCTTGCTGCCAGCCCTGGATTTATGGAAGGATGAATGTGAAAACTGTTAAGTCCCTGCTTGGGTAGTCCTTGACTTGCGGCCCCAATTCAGACTGAAATTTCCATTTGCAGAGCAATTAGGTTGTAAAGCAGGCTGTCTTGGCTGCGTTGAGTGAAGCGAAATTGTTTAGAGTATTTTATCTTATTTTTACAATCTTGTAAGGCAGGGGGTCTCCAACCTCTGGGCCGCGGGAATGGCTGGTGAGCGCGTGCATGTGCGTGCACTCCCCCACTCACGCTAGCACTGCCATGTGGGCACCTGTTTCTGCATGCATGGGAGCGCTAGCGCTGCTGTCAGGATCACGCGGGTGCTAGCAGCCTGTTGGTGCATGTGCGCTAGAGGCCCACTTGCATGTGACCTGCTTGCGCAAGTGTGCAGATGCTAGCACTGCCGCCATGCGCGTGCCAGCATGCACATTTCCTTGCTCCTCCCTTTCCCTCTGTTGTAAGGCCACACTAGTAGCTGTTCAGGACCACATGCCATCCTTGGGCTGCAGGTTGGACACATCTGTTGTACAGGGAAATGTCACATGATTCCATTGCTAAGTGACTACTGTCTGACATTCCCAGTTGCCATGGTTAATTGAGAGTCTGTTAAGCCGAAGGAGTCCCAAGGGGAGGCCCTGGAATCTGGTGCAGGCCCTGGAATCTGATGCAGGCCGCATGTGAGTTGGAAGGACACTGCAGTGCAGACAAAGCCACTCTGGAAGCCTTAGTTGGCCCAGCAGGGCTTAAGACCCCCAGGGGTACTGCAGTTCTCCTCATCTGCCTATCTCCTCCTCCTCCAATCCATGCGCTTTTGGCTGCCCTGCACGGTGGCACTCGCCGACATAAATGGGAGAAGAGATGGGTGGGTGGGTGGAGTTGCAGTACGGACGCCAAGCACTTCAATTTTAGTCACCTGATCCCAAGGCCCTGCAACGGGTTTACCTTCAGGCAAAGCCAGTCCATTTTTCAGCACCATTGTAATTTCAAATGGTTGCCAAACAAATAGTCATAGGTTGAGGACTGCCTGCTACTACTACTAGGAGCCGTGGTGGCGCAGTGGCTAGAATGCAGTACTGCAGGCTAATTTTGCTGACTGCCAGGGGTTCAATTCTCACCAGGTCAAGGTTGACTCGGCCTTCCATCCTTTCGAGATCGGTAAAATGAGGACCCAGATTGTTCAGGGCAAATAGGCTGACTCTGTAAACTGCTTAGAGAGGGCTATGAAGCACTGTGAAGCGGTATATAAATAAGTATATATAAGTACTTACATAAATAAGTACTATTGTTATTCTACCTTCCCTCCTTCTTTCTCTCCCTCCCCCTTTTCTCCTTCCTTCCTTCCTTCCTTCCTTCCTTCCTTCCTTCCTTCCTTCCTTCCTTCCTTCCTTCCTTCCTTCCTTCTTTCCTTCCTTCCTTCCCATGGTGGCACAGTGGTTAAAATGCGGTATTGCAGGCAGATTCTACCCACTGCCGGGAAGTTTGATCCTGACTGGCACAAGGTTGACTCAGCCTTCCGTCCTTTTGAGGTCGGTAAAATGAGGACCTGGATTGTTCGGGCAAATATGCTGACTCTGCAACCCGCTTAGAGAGGGCTGTAAAAAGCGCCATGGAGCGGTATATAAGTCTTAAGGGCTGTTGCTATTGCTACCCTGGTAAAGACAGTAAGGATACAAGGTTTTGTTTCACAGATGGTGGGAACAAGTGACAGCTCAGTGGGAAAGTGCACTCTTTGCACCTGGAGAGACCAAATGGCAGGTCTTGGAAAAGAGACAGTGATCTGGATTCCAGTTTCCAAGCTAATAAGTGGATGCTATATATATCTTTTAAATATATTTTTCTGTAGTGTGGTTGTCGGGGTTCCGACTAATGAAGCACTTCAAAGAACTTTCAGGCATGTTTCCTAAAGTCTTTATTACAGAGCTACAAATTGCCGGTCACCATCATGGACGTTTTTTTTATTATTATTATTGAAAATTTTTATTTTTTAACATACAAACATTATAAAAATACAATAAAATTATAAAGTAAAATAAATTCATAAGCAACCATTGTCTATACTACCTTTACCCCCCCCCCTTATCCTCCCTCCCACCCCCAACCCCCCTCCCTTCACTTCCCAGAGCAGAATACAGGGTTAATAATAACAAAATTTATAATAATAAAAAAGAAAAGAAGAAAAGAAAAAAAATTGTCATAATTAACCTTTAACTCCATAACCTATAAAACAATTCTCTATAATATTTAATATTCATTCATAAAATAAATGAAACTTTTAATTCCATACTTTTTCTGAATATAATCTATCCATCTTCTCCATACAATAATATATCTTTCTTGTGTATGATCCTTTAAATAAGCAGAAATTTTTGCCATTTCTGCAAAACTAGATACTTTAAATATCCATCATGGACGTTTTGATGCCAGAATCTGACTTCCTCTTGCCGGCATCAAACTTTTCTTGCTAAACCCCTCCCTTATCTTGCAGTCACAAGTCATATTATCCAATTAGTGTGAAGGTCAAAAGTTTACTTCCTCTTTCTTTCCCCGGGCTTTTTACCCGCCCCCCCCTCTACGCTATGTATTAACCCAGTAAATACCAGACAGTTTTGCATATTGTCAAAGCAAGAATATACAGTATTTGCAGCATTGACAGTGGTTTGGGTATAAGGGAAGTCCGAAGGCAACTGGCAGGGAAGAAGCGTCCTCTCCAGAGCTGGCCCAACGTATCAGCCTGAGCTGGGCAATCTTGGGTGCTCACACCTGTATGTTGGTTCTCACTGCAAAGTTGATGGGGTTGGTTCATTCACGGCTTGTTTTGGTTTCGTCACAATGCAGTCCCCTCATTAATATTGTGGGGATGGTCGCTGGCCACCCTGGTTTCTCTCTCCCCCCCCCCTTGCAGGGTTTCACGTATGTGGCTCCATCCGTACTTGAAAGCGTAAAAGAGAAGTTTTCCTTTGAACCAAAAATTCGGTCACCTCGCCGATTCATTGGCAGTCCTCGGACCCCCATCAGGTATTTGCCCCTTCTCATTGCTGGGTGTTTTGTGTGTGTGGTCGCATGTGTGTGCTCCTCATAAAAGCTTCGGAATCTTGGTTGCGTATTGGAATGTCGGGTTTTCATCCCAAGATTTGCAAACAGGATTCCCTACAATCCTCTCTGTCATAAAATGGCAATAAGTCCGTAGAGGGTAGAAGGGCATTCTTGGCAGGGGACGGCCCTCGGGATCTCTAGGTTAGAAAATGGGGGCATGCAAGTAAGCGCAGAACTTCTGAATCGCTGGCCTCGCCGTTAAGTTACACAAACCGTGTTCCCCTGAAAGTAAGACCTACCCCGATAATAAGCCCTACTTTGGGGGGCGAGGCGCAGGCCTAGAAAATCAAGCGGGAGTAGGGGGTGGAGCTTACCATTGCAGCCAGGCCTCTCATGGGTTGACACTTGCCTCACCAGCCCGCTTCTTCTGCAGCCGAAGTAAAAGCATCATTCTACAGCTGAGAATGGAGTTCCGTCTTGCATTTTGTAGTCAGAAGCCTTTCTGGAAGGCCTGTGCAGCCGAGAACCGAGCTATGGATTCAATCCGTAGCTCTGTTCTCGGCTGCAGAGGCATTTCCTTCAGCCACAGAAGAACTGGGCCGGCTGGGCGGGGCTGTCGGGTGCCGCCTCAGCGAGGTGAGTGGAAAAGACACATGCACCACTCAAAAATAGGACCTGGTGTCTCTTTTGGAGGCAAAATAAATAAATAAATATGACCAGGTCTTATTTTCGGGAAAACACAGTAGTCGGCACATTTTGGCTTAAGTTGCAGTCTAGACGCAGCTATTGAGCTTATGTGCAAAATGATTTGACCTTTTGCCTCTAAAATGCTTGGCTTAGCATAGGGGCCTCCATCCTTGGCAACATTAAGACCTGTGGATCTCAACTCCCAGAATTCCCCATCCAGCATGGCTGGCTGAGAAATTCTGGGAGTTGAAATCTACTAGATAGATGGATAGATAGATAGATAGATAGATAGATAGATAGATAGATAGATAGATAGATAGATAGATAGATAGATATGATATGATATGATATGATACATGGTTGATTAATATAGATAGATAGATAGATAGATATAGATTGATATAGATTGATAGGTGATAAACAGATAGAGATAATTGATTGATATAGATAAACAGATAATTGATTTAGATAATAGATAAACAGATATAGATGATTGATTGAGATAGATAGATAAATAGATAGATGATTGATATAGATAAACAGATATAGATGATTGCGATAGATAGATAGATTGATAGATATAATATGATATGATATATGGTTAATTAATATAGATAGATATAGATTGATATAGATAGATTGATAGGATAAACAAACAGATATAGATGATTGATTGATATAGATAGATAAACAGATATAGATGATTGATTTAGATGATAGATAAACAGATATAGATGATTGATTGAGATAGATAAACAGATATAGATGATTGATATAGATGATATAGATGATTGATATAGATTGATAGATAGTTATAGGTGATTGAGATAGATAGACAGACAGATATAAAGAACTATATTTTTTGATAAAAAAAACCTTTTTAATGGCTGCTTCTTCTCTTCCAAAGCCCTGTCAAGTTCTCTCCAGGGGACTTCTGGGGGCGAGGCGGTTCCTCCGGCGTGGCCAATCCTCAGCTGCCCGTGGACTACCCCATGGAGACAGGTGGGATCGAACAGATGGATGTAACAGTCTGCGGAGAAGCCTCAGCTCCGCTTCCCATCCGGCAGCCCAACACCGGGCCGTACAAAAAGCAAGCCTTCCCCATCATTTCCAAACGGCCAGAGCACTTGCGCATGAATCTATGACATCATCTATGGCCGCAGTCCTCCCCCTGAACCCGCTTGAGCGACAGCAGAAGACAAAGGACAGCTCTCTGCAAGGGCAGCCGTGCCTCACCCAGCCCTCCTCCTGCCAAAATACGAGACCTCTCGTGGCTTTTTTTTTCTCCCCCCCCCCCTTCAGCGACGGTATCAAGTTAGTCGTTGCACAGAATAATGGACTGGAAAAGAAGAATGGGGGGGGGAAATGGATGCCCCCCCCGCCTCCTTCCTTTCTCTTTTTCCCCACCTCCTCATTCCCTCCTTTGAATCAATGGTGCATAAAGACAGGACGTAAGCAAAAAATATATATATATGGTATTATACAACTTAGGCACATCAGCTAACCGATACGCAGCGTGGCATCTTTTCTGCTCTTATCAAAGATATTTTTTTTTCCCCACAGTTCAATCGCTTGAAGCTAACAGGATGGAGAGTAGACTGGTTCTCCTGCATGATTGTGCCCCCGGGGGAAGTCCATGCCAATGGGCAAAAATGCAGAATGCCAGCCTGGGCCTTTTCTACCTGAGGTTTTAATCTTACCAAGTTCCTCCAGGTGGCTTCCTGCAGTTTTAAGAATTATCGGAGGTCTGAGGCGTAACTCCAACCATTTAGGATTCCACGTGCAAAAAAAAAAAAAAAAACAATCTAAAACAAATCTTTTTTTAAAAGAAAATTATATATGCATATATATATATATAAATCTCTATATTTTTCAACTAGTTTTTTTTTCCTCCCCTTTTAGAAGGGGCTCATTATGAAAAAAAAATAATCCCACAGTTGGAACATTACGGAATTATTGATCTCCCGCAGCAAAGAGAGAACAAGCTAGCAGACTTAAACTTTTCTTATTATATTTGAAATAATGTTTTTTGTAAAAATAATAATAATAATAAATCACTGTTAATTATGTTGCCAAGATTGGTAGGGTAAGAATTTACCCTCTTCATCTTGTTTAAATGCTTCTTTTTTTTTTTTTTTGTCTTGTCTTATTTCGTTTTAAAAAAGATCCCCATCAGGCCGTTGGCTAGGTTAAAACCTTGGCTAGTGCGGAAGTCCCGTGTTTTAATCTGAGGTCTTTGTGAAGTTGTTTCCCCCACCCCACCCAAGTTCAGTTTTGCCCTGCTGGTCTGGAGTTCGTGGCTGTGTTGAATTCCAGGTGTCTTGTCCTAATATTCTCATCAGTCTGAACAGAAATTTGACTGGCAGAAACTTCATCTTTGTTTTATCGTGGTTACGTCGTTTGCCCGAGACCCTGGCACCTGCCAAGGAAGGCTTAAACCTATTGCAAAAGGGGCAAAAGTTTTAGCAGATGGCTATCATTTAAAAAAAAAAAATAACTGCACATTTTTGTTGGTGTTGCAGCCAATTTGTAATGCTCAGATGAGATTATTTTTTACCCAGTATTTGTTCCATTGCGCATCTCTGCGATGGATGACCATGTAACTTGCCTGCTGGGGCAAACCATCCGTTGATTGTATTGAGGAAAAACACACACACACACACACAAAAGTATTACGATGGCCTTCGACGAATGTCTTCCAGAGAAACTTTTTAGGAAACGTTGAGAAGATTTACTATTAATGTTTCTGCGATACTGAAGGAAACAAGAAAGCCTGTATATAGATGGCTATACCCTAACGCTATAGAGCAGGGGTTCTCAACCTTGGCAACTTTAAGACTTGTGGACTTTAATTCCCAGAATTCCTCAGCCAGCTTTGCTGGGAGTTGAAGTCCACAAGTCTTAAAGTTGCCAAGGTTGAGAACCCCTGGTATAGAGTGAAATAAAGGTAACTTTACCTTAACTTAAAATACTTCCTGCCTTAAAGAAAGCATTTCCATGGCTACAGCTGGTGAAAGGGTTACTTTTGGTCCACAGAGCTCTGCTCTAGAGTGTGGATGAGTGTGACTTGTTGGGACAGGGTGCGCATCCTGTTGCTTGGCGTTCTCCCCCCCCCCCCCGCTTGTTCAACCTGGTCTGCAACCGTGGCTTCTTAGAAAGAGGGTTTTTTGTGGTGCTTTGTTTAGCTTCTCTCCTTGAGCCATAGGATCTGAGCCATAACTATATTTTTATTTGAATCTAGCCAGAAGTTCTTCTGTGCATTCTTCTCCCCAGCTGTACTTCCACACCTCATATCCAAGCCCTTCCAGAAGGCGGGGGGGGGGGCGTGTTGAGGGCCTGGCGGGCCTGGCTCCAGTCACCTCTGCTGAGTGTAGAGTTGTCTACCTTGGCTTCCCCCTCCAGGCACAAAATTAAAGACACCATCCTGGGAATGAGAGACCCGTCAAAAAGGGGCGGTGATTCTCCTCCTGGAGTCCATTCAGATTCTAGAGCAGCGTTTCTCAACCTTGACAATTTTAAGGCATGTGGACTTCAACTCCCAGAATTCCACAGCCAGCATTGCTGGCTGTGGAATTCTGGGAGTTGAAGTCCACATGCCTTAAAATTGTCAAGGTTGAGAAACGCTGCTCTAGAACAAAGCTCTCCAAACTTGGGGACTTCCAGCTCCCAGAATTCCCCAGCCCATCATGACTGGCTAGGGAATTCTGGGACTTGCAAGTCCACAAGCCTTAATGTGGTTCTCCAGACTTGGCCACTTTTAAGACTTGGGGACTTCCAACTCCCAGAATTTTCCCAGCCAACAAGGCTGAGGTGTTGCGGGAGTTGAAGTCCACACGTCTTGAAAGTGGCCGAGCGTGGGGACCCCTCCTCTCTAGAACACGAGGCTTAATTCCCGCAGATGAAGAATCTCGTAGGTTTTGCATGGGCCCCTTCACGATAAGACCTTTTCCCATCCCCCAAAGCATCAATCAATGTCATGTGAATAGTGAGACATTTGTGGATGGAGGGTAGGATCTGGGTGTGAGCTAGATCAGGGGGTCTTCCACTGTTCCTCTACCACGGGCACCTGGCGTTGGATTTAGTGTATGGGGGGGGTCATGTCAACTGCCGTTGCCTGGATGGGGGTCTTGGCAGGCCCAGCCAAGTGGCTTGCTTGCTTTTTCCTGGGTCATTTGCAAAATCCAGCTGTTAACCAGCCCTGTGGCTCTAGAGCAGTGGTTCTCAACCTTTCTAATGCCGCGACCCCATAATACAGTTCCCCATGTTGTGGTGACCCCCACCCACTTATACATCACCGGGTGCCAGGGGCGTGGCCAAAGAAAAGGGGAAAAAAATGGCGGACAGCCTTGTTTGGCGACCCCCGTGAAATGGTCGTTTGACCCCAAATGGGGTCCCGACCCACAGGTTGAGAACCACTGCTCTAGAGAGCAGGTGTTTCCCAACCTGGCCCATTTCCAGGTGTGTGAACTTCAATTCCCAGAATTCCACAGCCAGCGTGACCATTGATAAGAATTCTGGGGGACGGGGGTGGAAGTCCATATACCTGGAAATAGCCAAGTCTTGGAAATACTGCTCTAGCCTATAGAGGCATCCAGTGGGACAGGTAGAACATTTCTCTTGTTTGAACCGTGAAGAAGGTAGTCCTGGAAAAGGCAGGTCCCCAAGTCCCCTTAAAACTGGATTCGGAGTGGTGCAAGATGCTCAGTTTTTGGTGTTTGGTGGCTACAATTGTCTTGCGTATGTTGTGTGCTGTTGCTCAAGTAGACCTTTCTTAGCTGAGGGATTAGCAGAGTATTTGATGGAATGGTGTCATTGGATAGACCAATGGTATTCAATCTTGGCAACTTTTAAGACTTGTGGACTTCAACTCCCAGAATTCTGGGAGTTGAAGTCCACAAGTCTTAAAAGTTGCCAGAGTTGGACACCCCGAGGTTAAATGTTTCACGTGCCCCTTTTGGTCTTTTAAACTGTGAAAAACTTTGGAATTGCGATTCGGGACAGTTAAGCGCACACACTATGCAATTTGGGTGATCTTGTATTTATTTGTATAAAGAATCAATTTCCCCAACCTGGATTCCCATACCTTTCTTGTAGATAATAGCTATTGTGTCAACTTCAAAGAGAGGGAATCCCCTTGTATGACATCAGAAACCAGAACCATCTATATGGGAATGTCTGTCGGAGAAATTAAGTGCTTTCTTTAACAATGTCTTAAAAAAAACAAAACAAAAAAAGGTTTCCATAGTAATTAAGATTTATTTTATACAATCTGTGCTTTTTTAATTATAATCTTGGGGTTTTTTGCTATCGTTTGATTTTTTTTATATATATAGATTTTTGTATCCTTCTATAAAAGAAGAAATAACTTGGGGTTAATACCTGCTGAAGCTAACAACATATATTAAGTATTAAAACTTGATGACTTGAACCATGTTTTCGTTCCACTAAGAATCAGTGCTGATTGTACAGTTGAGTTTGCTTTGAGGAATAAAGAGATCATTCAAATGGGTGGCCTTGTCTGACCTGTTTGGGGCAGAGCAGAATGAGCATTGGATCCCTTGGGAATCCATCTCTGGGCACGGACGCTGCTGGCGCGCCAGCTTGTGTTGGTTCCATCAGCTCCAGGCACCGTGGGTCACAGTATCCTTTGTCTTCAAACCATGTTCAGATGAACATGTTCAAGTCTACAGCGTTAATCTTCCTACGATCCCGGGAGAAAGTATCCCAATCCCCGGGTCGCGGCCCATTTGGAACCGGGCCACACAAGCAGCAGGGGAGCGCTCGCAGCTCCATTTGCACAAACGGCAGGCACTTGCACAAATAGAGCTTCACGCACGTAAGTGCTACCCACTCCTGCAGGTGGAGCTGCGAGCGTGCATGTGTGTCTGCTGCTCGCACGCAACCATTTCCTCCCCCCCCCCTCCGGTCTGCAAAGCTGGAAAGTTTGGGTTAAGAGGAATGGTTTTGAGTCCTGGGCACCATCAATTTCCTAGAAGGTCTGTAGATGACAATCTGTAGGGAGGAAAGCGATGGTGGTCTTCCCCAGCCTGAGACCACCTGCTCCGATCTATTTTAACCGGGAAGGCTGTTCTTATGATCAGGGGGCAGGATGTTACAGGACTGGCCTCTCAAGTGGTCGGAAGTGGAGGTCGACTCCCTTCCTTACCATGTTGGCCCAATGTGTGTTTAGCTGCATTGGTGCTGTAGGAGAGAGAGCGGAGAATGTACATCCTCGTTTAGGTTAAGGTTTGAATAATCTAGGCACCGTGGGGCCCTTGGTGCTCTCTGAGCTTGGTTTTCTTGCAGACGTTTCATTACCAAACTAGGTTATGTCATCAGTGCAAAAGCCCTCTCCCTTCTAGCACTGATGATGTTACCTAGCTGGGTAATAAAACATCTGCAAGAAGACTATCCAGAGCACCAGGGATCCTGTCAGTCCAGCCCTGAGCTACAAATATTCTCTTCTCCTGGTAATCTAGGACTGCTATGTATATGCAGGTCGGAAGGGCAGGAGCTGTGTAAAACTGTAGTTCAGATGGTGTTGTCTCTGTCCTATCTGGCTGTAAGGTGCAAATTTGTCTAGCAACACCGGTAATCTGCAAGGAAGGGCCAAGGTTTAGTTAACCCCCGTTAAAGTAGAAGGTGCGTACTGGACGTGTTGATGACAACAAGCTGCTTTCATTGTCTAAGCCAGCATAGTAACTTTCCATGTGGGATACATCTTAAGCTTTCGGAAGAATTGAAAGAGAGGATGCAGGTTTCATTTCTAGCTATCTTACCCAGTTTATCTTCAATAATTAAGATTAAACCCTGGTACTTTAAGGAAGGGAGGGGATGGAAAGAGCTCAACCAAGTGATGCACAACGACCACCTTTCACCTGTACCCTTTTTAAAACCATGTTCTTTCTGCAAAACGTTAGCTGGCTGTGTTAACCATCCATTATGAATCCGACTACAGCTGCCTTACAAGGAATGGTATGAGGGTTGTTACCTCATTCTGTACTATTTACTGTAATGAAATATACTTGATTTCAAAACAGGTGGGTGTAAATAGCAATTAAATGCAACTTTGAACAAATTGATTGAATGGCGACTTCTTTATTTCTCGCTGTTGAAGGGAGAAACTTGGTTTCCAAGCCAATCTGAGGTGGTAGGTGGCAATTAGGTAATATGTTAGGGCCTCTGAAAGCAAAAAATGTGCAGCTAAATAGTACCTGTAGGGAAAGAGAGGTGTAGCTTTTTAAAAAGTAAGAGATTCTCACCAAACACTCCATGGAAGAAATATAACGGATCCCTTATTAACTTTGAATAAGGAAGCATGCTTCTAACTGCAGGATCCAATCTGCGTCGATCACCAGGATCAGCGGTTTCGTCTTCCGAGCTTCCAGATTCGTGCTGGAGCCCATCTTCAGGGAACTTGTCTCTCGCCAAAATGTGTGCTATGTGCTATTTTGTGTATAGTATTTATGTGGTGCCTGGTTGTGTGCCGCTTTTCAGATGTTGATTGGGTTGTGTTGATGGCTGGCTATTAAGTCATCGGTTGTCATTTCCTTATGATGCCAAGCCCTTGCCTTCTAGGTACCTGATAAACTGGTGGTACATCAGCACTCCTGTTCATTGACAAAGGTCCGTTTCCCAGGCTTCAATCATTTCCCCGGCTGTTTTTGTACCTGCTCGTCCAACAATCTTAGTATCTGTGAAATTGAATATATGTCCTTGTTCATTGCAATGTGAGGCTACTAATGAGTTTGGGTCTCTTCTGCTAAAGAGAAGTTCCTTGAGGATGGGCTCCAGCATGAGTCCCAAAGCTCGGAATACTAAATCTCTCGTCCCAGTGACTGACCTATATTGGATCCTGCAACATTACACTGGGACACGTAGATTCACCTTCATTCATGCTTCTGTTTACTTTCTGGGCAAAGTTGGTTTGAGTTTGGCTTTCTGGATTTTGATGAATTAAAACTAATGAATCCAAGTCAATAATGAGTGAGCATACTGTAAGTCAGGGGTCTTCAAACTTGGCCCTTTTATGACTTTTGCCCTTCAACTCCCAGAATTCCTCAGCCAGGACACGTGCCTAGCTGAGGAATTCTGGGAGCTTAAGTCCACAAGTCATAAAAGGGTCAAGTTTGAAGACACCTGCTGTAGGTCAATGAATCCATTCAGAAACCAGTCATACAGTCACCTTATAAGGGAGACGAGTGGCATAAAAATTAATAAGGTTTCCTCCCTGAACAAGGGGTTGGACTAGAAGACCTCCAAGATCCCTTCCAGTTCTGTTATTCTGAATAAAAACGCAAACCGCGCTCAACGACCATAAAGAAGACCAGAATTTCCATCAGTAAGGAAGGTGGTGGTTATGCAAATTGCACCTGATTTTACCATCTTTTTTTGCTGCAGTTGTTAAATGAATCCCATGGTCATTAAGTGAATCCAGCTTCCCCCGTTGATTTTGCTGGTTGGAAATTGGCTGGGGAGGTCACAAATGGCAATCACATAACTCAAGAGGCTGCAACTCTCACAAATACATGCGAGTTGCCAAGTTCCTGAATTTTGATCACGTAACTCTGGGGAGGCTGCGAGAGTCGTAAGTGCTAAAGATGGTTGTAATGGACAGGTACCTGTACACAGGTAATCCTCAAATTACAACAGTTCATTTAGTGACCAAAGTTACAACAGCATTGAAAAAAGTGACTTCTAACCATTTTTTACACTTAACGACCATTGCACAGTCACGTGAACAAAATTCAGACACTCGGCAACTGACTCATAGTTATGACGGTTGCAGTGTCCTGAGGTGATGTGATCCCCTTTGTATCCTTCTGACGAGCAGTTACTAAAGAACTGCAGTGATTCACTTAACTAGCAAGGAAAGACATAAAATCAGGCAAAAATCACTTAACTGGCTCACTTAACAACAGAAATTTCGGGCTCAAGTTGCACTCATTAAGTGGACTGCAAGTTGACTTGTACCTTAGATTGCTAGAGAGTGAAGCAATGTACGGATCAGATGTCTTTGGAATCCAGATTTTCAGGTCAATGTGTTTTTGAGCATCAACATTTGGGTCAACAGCTGCTCTAGTCTGGTAGTCTGGACAGTTAGAATTAGGATACATTCCCAGTGCAATTTGTGTGAAGAATTGCCACCAACTTTTAGACTGCCTTTAATTTCTCTTTCCATATGATCCTTCAAATCAAGAAAGTCTCATCAACCAGGTGCTCTAATATATTAGACCAGGTGTCCCCAACCTATGGTCTGTGGCCTGGTACCGAACCGAGGCCTGTTGACCACCGGGCCCCAGGAATAGCAGGTGAGCCCTACCCAACTCACGGTCGCACCGCTGCACAGTCAGTAACGGCCCTATTTGCGCATGTGCGGGGATGCTAGCACCAACATGTGGACACCAGTGGCCCATTTGTGCATGCACGTGTACCAGTGCACATGCCCTGGGCACGCGCAGCCCGTTTGCATATGCAGGTTCCAGCATGCGCCATGGGCGCGTGTGGTCCACTTGTGCATGTGCACTCATGCTAGCGGGCACCATCATACATGCACCCATTTGTGCATGCGTGCGCAGGCTATGCGTGCCTACATTTACCTGCTGCTTCCTTTCCTTCTGGGCCGCCAAGCTGGAAAGGTTGAAGAACACTGTATTAGACTTTGCGTGCTCACCTACCTATTCCTCGGTCACCAGTGAATTCATGTCATACATATAAATGCAGAAAAAAAATGAGTTTATAAATATACAAAAGGTTTATCACAAGAATCGCAGGCGGACAAGATTCAAACTGCATTTATTTTTGTCAACTATACGCTACATTTTTTTTAAAGAATCACTAAAATACAGCTTTCCTCTTTAATAAAAATCTAGCTGCTTATGACAAAATATAGGCCAAAACCTTTGTTCTTTAAAATTCAGACTTACAAAATGTAGAAAACTTCACCCATGTTTGCATAACTAAACTCTGAGCTTTATGGACATGGAAAGCAGAAATGATTCCATGATTCTCGCCCTGTGATGGCCAGGTCCAACGGTTAGAGAATCCCCAAGGGAACCAAACACGTGCAAATCTGAAAAGGTGGATTTTCTAGCGCCGAATCTAAAGATTGCATGCACCAGACGTTGACACTGGATGCAAGAAAGGTATCCCGTTGCTGATTCGGTAGGCTAGTGACTGTAAAAATAATCATTTGATACTCAAAGAGAAGTTTGAGAATTTCCCAGAAGCAGCATTGAAAGGATTAATTCCATATGGAAAATTAAGTATATATGCTCGGTGTCTGAACGAATTCAAATATAGTCAGTGGAGAAACCCAAGGCATTATTTTCCTTCTGTATCCCTCTCTCCATCCAGTCATATCCTCTTTTAACACGTGCACACTTGGCATTCAAATGAGTCCATACTGTGAAGCACACAGCCACTTTTTTAGTTTGTTTAATAGACTTGTAATTGTGCAGAGGTTGCGCCATCGTACCACTTGTTGACGTGCGTGGAAAGGACCGTTCGACACAGGGGACACGTCTTCTCTCGGTTCAGCCACAAGGCGATGCACTCGTCACAAAATATGTGCTGGAAAGAGACAGGATGTCGTTGGTTACAGGAGCATGCAAACATCAGGGAAATGACTACAGCAGGGGTCTCCAGCCCCCGGGCAATGGACCAGTACTGGGCCGCAGCATGCCAGCAACCGGGCCGCACAAATAAGCAAAGCCCCATCCATGGGATGCAGGCAGCACACAAAACCACGCACCCCTCCGGTCCGTGGAAAAACCTCTCTCCACGGAACCGGTCCCTGGTGCTCAAAAGGTTGGGGACCTCTGGACTACAAGTAGTCTACCCAACTTATGACTGCAATGGAGCTCAAAATGGCTGTTGCTAAGCAACAGTTCCCTTCGTCCGGTTAGATCCCACAGGCTGGGCCTCCTTCAGGTCCCGTCGGCCAAGCAGTGCCATTTGGCGGGGCTGCGGAGGATGGCTTTCTCTGTGATGGCGCCCACGTCTTGGAACCCCCCGGAGATTAGGACCGCTCCCACCCTGTTGGTTTTCCGTAAGTTGCTTAAGACCTGGCTTTTCCGGCAGGCCTGGGGTTTATAAAATCTGACCCCTGGATGACTGTTATTGTACTGTTTGTTTTGTCATGTTTTATGGTGTTTTTATTGTTAGCCGCCCAGAGTCCTGCGGGAGTGGGGCGGCTTATACATTAAAAAATAAATAAAAATAAAAAAATAAGACAGTTGTTAAGTGAGTTTTGCTCCGTTATACCACCTTCTTTGCCGCAGTGGCTGAGCGAATCGCTGCAGTTGTTAAGTTAGTAACATGGTTGTTAAGGGACTCTGGCTTCCCTGTTGACTTTGCGTGTCAGAAGGTCGCAAAAGGTCCAAGACACTGCATAACCGTCATAAATATGAGACAGGTATGAAGCATCTCAGTTTTGATCACATGACCACAGAGGTGTTGCAACGTGTTGGGTGAAAAAAAGGTCACAAGTCACTTTTTTCAGGGCTGTTGTAAATTTGAACGGTCACTAAATGAACTGTTGTAGGTTGAGGACTACCTGTGAAGGGCTCAGTTGACTCCGATCTTACCTCTAGACATGGATTCTAAGTTATGCGTGGTTTAAGACAGAGGTCCTCAACCTTCTGGGCACCAGGGACCGCTTCCCTGGAGAGACGCTTTTCCGTGGACTGGAGGGAGCGTGTTTCATGTTCTGCCTGCATCCCGCAGATGGGGCTTTGTTTGTGCGGACCGGTTTCTGACATGCCGCGGCTTGGTGTCGGTCCATGGACCAGGGATTGGGGACCCCTGGTTTAAGATACTGTTTCTACTCAACCATTATCTAGGACAGTGTTTCTCAACCTTGACAATTTTAAGGCATGTGGACTTCAACTTCCAGAATTCCACAGCCAGCATTGGGAATTGAAGTCCATATGCCTTAAAATTGTCAAGGTTGAGAAACACTGATCTAGGAGCTGAGTCATGGATTCTTTTCTCGTTGGCTCAAAACATTTCACTGCTTACTCAAGTAGCTTCTTCAGTCTGAGCAAGTTGGCTAGAGGGAGCCCTAATATATCCTCCAGGGAGAGTCCCCCTAACTTAATAATAATAATAATAATAATAATAACAGCAACAACAACAACGTTGGAAGGGACCTTGGAGGTCATCTAGTCCAACCTCCTGCTCAGGCAAGAAACCCTATACCATTTCAGGCAAATGGCTGTCCAGTTTCTTCTAAAAAATTTCCAGTGTTGGAGCATTCACCGCTTCTGGAGGCAGGTTGTTCCACTGGTTAACTGTTCTATCAGGAAGTTTCTCCTTAGTTCCAGGTTGCTTCTCTTCTTGATTAGTTTCCATCCATTGTTTCTTGTCCTGCCTCAGGCGCTTTGGAGAATAGCTTGACTCCCTCTTCTTTGGGGCAGCCCCTGAGCTACTGGAACGCTGCTACCATGTCCCCCCTCGTCCTTCTCTTCATTGAACTAGACATACCCAATTCCAGCAACCGTTCCTTATATGTTTTAGCCTCCAGTCCCCTAATCATCTTTGTTGCTCTTCTCTGTACTCTTTCTAGAGTCTCAGCATCTTTTTTACATCGTGGTGACCAATACTGTTCTCCAAAGACCCTGAAGGCAGAACAAGAAGCAATGGATGGAAACTAATCAAGGAGAGAAGCAACCTAGAACTAAGGAGAAATTTTCTGACAGTGAGAACAATTAACCAGTGGAACAACCTGCCTCCAGAAATGGTGAATGCTCCAATACTGGAAGTTTTTAAGAAGAGACTGGACAGCCATTTGTCTGAAATGGTATAGTGTTTCCTGCCTGAGCAGGGGGTTGGACTAGATAACCTCCAAGGTTCCTTTCAACTATTATTGTTGTTGTTGTTAATATTGTTATTAATATTGTTATTATTATTATTATCATATTATTTCGAACCAGCAAGAAAAAAAGTTCTAGTCACCATAACTTCCAGAAAATTCTACTTGGCTGAGTGGGAATCTTCACTGACACACTCAACTGTTGTTCAACTGATATTGCTCAGCTCGAAATCAAACTGATTAATGCACGAACAACAACAGTAAATATCAGCTGAGCCCTTTAGAAACATTTCCTCCCCCATCACCCTCGCAGAGCTATTGTCAACTCTACAAACAGAATTTGGCTGAAGCCATTTTCCCTTCGTTTTCAGTTGCACAGAATTGGGAGGGGGGGGAATGAGTGTTTTTTAGCTTAGTCAAAACAATAAATTGTTCTGTGGGAACCAAGGTCATTGCAGATTGCATTTTGGCTGGCTAAAGCTTCCTTAGAAAGCCCCTTCAAGTAGTTAATTGGGGAATGTGATTTATGACATATTACTGGGGTGGGAAGTTCAACTTTGTAACATTGTAACCTTTGGGGCAGGAACTTCAGTCTTGGTTTCACTTTTGATCGAGGGGATACTACGTAGCCAAATAAACATGTTCTTTAAGGAAAGTTTTTTGCCTTGGTGTTCTCTTTTACTGGCCTCATCTATCGGAACCATGACAGCTATTTTGAGTTAGCAGCCAATCTCCTCAGAATGGTTAAGAAAAGTAAAGGTCTTTTATTTTTAACTGTGGATTTTACACCACTAATTGTTGCTGACTCTAGGAGGCGCCACTCATCTCCATTTCAATGGCCATTGAGCCAGCCCTCTCCGAAGACATTTCTGCACTCACGACATCGCGGAACGCTGTTACTTTCCCACTGAAGTGGTACCTATTTATCTACTCGCGTATGCTTACTTTTTGAAACGGCTAGGTTGGCAGGAGCTGGGGCGAGGACAGGAGCTCACCCCTTGCCTGACGCGTGGGTCTCAAACCCCGGCTGCTGGCTTTCCAGCCGACAGCCCCAGTGTCCTAATTGCTGAGCCATCAGGCCGCCCCAATTAAGAATGATATTGCTTTCGAAATGCTTTAGAAATTTTATAGGGCAGAGTCAACATTTCTGTATACTGCCCAGATCGCTCAACATCGTTCCTGGATGTGTCAAAGGAACGGAGAGGGAATAACTAGATCTGGAAAACCGATGCTGAGCCGCAAAGTCTCTGCCATTATTTTGAACTTAGACGTAGTCCTTGACTTACAACCAGTCACTTAGCGATGGTTTGACAGATTACGACAAATCCCCAAAAGGTACTGACAACCCAGTTCCGAAGTTCCAACAGTGCTGGTTTTCTGCCCCCCCCCCTGCAGTCACATGACCACATTTCAGGCACTATTTGCAGAATCCCACAGTCATGTGACCACGATTTACAATTTTACCGAGGCACTGGTGTTTACATCCAGTTTCCAGCAGAATTGCTCTAGAGCAGGGATGGAGAACCTGGGCTCTTTCATAAAAGACTTGTGGATTTCAACTCCCAGAATTCCTCAGCCAGCCAAGTCCCCCACCCCCTGCTCTGTAGCAAACAGTGGTTTCGCTTAACGGCTACCACAATCGCTTAACAAAGGTAGTAATTCACCTGATTTTTATCAAAGCAAGTGGTAAAATCGGGTCAGTCATACGATGAGCCATTTTACAACTGTCACAGCTTATGACCAAAATGGTCAAGGACTACCTGTAATGTAGGGGTGTCAAACTCAATTTCATTGAGGGCCGCATCAGCATTGTGGTTGCCCTCAGGGGGCTGGGTGGGTGTGGCCAGTGTGGGTGCGGCCTACTGGGTGGGCGTGGATGGAGTGCGTGTGGCCTACTGGACGGGTGTGGATGGAGTGGGTGTGGCCTAGTGGGTGGGCGTGGATGGAGTGGGTGTGGTCTACTGGGTGGGTGTGGCTAGCTCTACATCGTTCGCATCAAGGAGGCCTGTGGGGGCCTGGGCAGGAATGGGACAGATTTGAGGGTCTCTGGCAGAAAGGGGTGGGACCGGGGCAAGGGCCAAGGCATGGTCCACTGATCGAGCCTCACTGTTCCTCTCAGCCATGCGGGGGGTGGGTGGGCTTATGGAGCTAAGACTGAATGCGTTTCAGCATAGATGGCCACCACAAAATTGTACATTGGCTCCCGGCCGGCCTGGGCCAGGGCCAAGGCAGTGGGGGCCATTCCCTCACTGTTTCCAGGATGGCTTTGCGGGCCACATGAAACCACTTCGCGGGCCGCATCCGGGCCGCATCCGGCCCCTTGTGTTTGACATGTCTGCTGTAACGGGATCCAAAAAGCCTCCAGATATTTCCACTTTGTCTTAAAACTCAGTTTCAGATCTGGTGATGCTCGTGCAAGAATTAGGATGCTTGAAGGCAAAGGATCTACTAATATTTGCAAGACCGACTAACTATGTGCTGAAGATTTCACTTGTTACGGAAGTGCCGTTACAATAAGAACGGTGCACACTGACTGTTTCCTGTCCCATTTGCTAGTCTTCAGTGCAGGAGCACACAAGGTGCGGATTACAAGCATTTGAGTGCCAAGTGTGTTACCTGGCAGAGAAGGACAACCGGCTTCTGAAACTCAGCTTGACAAATAGCACACAGGTCATCTGCGTCAGCACGTTGTCTCTTGCTGGCCACCACTCCGTAGCTCTGCAAAGGGGGGGGGGAGGAGGAATAGAAAATAACATCAGAGGTGCTGGAGAAAAGAGAGAATATTTAGGGATCCTTGGTGCTCTCTGAGCCTGGTTGTTTTCTTGCAGACATTTCATTACCAAACTAGGCTACATCAACAGTGCAAAACCCCACTCCCTTCTAACACTGATGACGTTACTTAGTTTGGGTCATGAAATGTCTGCAAAGAAGACCACCAAGCTCAAGAGACCACCAAGAACTCCTCATTTCCACCCAGAGCTGCAAATATTCTCCTTTAGTTTCACGTTCTTACCCAGAACCACCTTGCTCTTTTACTGACCTTAAGCCCAGGTTTATTTATGGATTGTTTTGCACCCTTGATTAAAAAAAATACATAGCAGATCTTGCTGGACAGGAAGGATTCGACCCATACCTATCTGGACTTTCCAAAGCAGCCGTGCAGATATGATTTAATTTTATTGATATAAAAAAATAAGACTTTCAGTCGCCGGCTCCTTGCGCTGATGATGTGAGTTCAGTGGTTCTCAACCTGTGGGTCGGGACCCCATTTGGGGTCGAACGACCATTTCACGGGGGTCGCCAAACAACGCAGTCCGCCATTTTTTCCCCCTTTTCCTTAGCTGTGCTACTCCCTTTTATTCTATTGTCTTTTGAAAGCCAATAGAATAGACTCTCTTGAATAGAGTCTAATTCTATTGGCTTTCAAAATCCAATAGGAATTGTCCAGGCTGTCTCTGCCCTGCTGAGCCCGCCAAAAGTCCCATTCTGCAAACGGTGCTGCACCAGTTGAGTAGTCCTCGACTTATGACCGGTTGAGTAGTCCTTGACTTACGACCGGTGGGGGGGTCGCGGCATTAAAAAGGTTGAGAACCACTGTTCTAGTGGCTCTCTGAGTTTGGCTGTTTGCTTTTGCAGATGTTTTGTGACTCAGCTAGGTAACATCATCAGAGCCAGGGAGTGTGGGATTTGCTGCCTGTTTATATATATTACCTGGACCTGACAGTTTGGCTGGAGATGAGGTTTCTTCTTTGGTGATTCCTTGATTAGTGTATTGGTTTCTGCTTGATTGTTTGTCTGGTGTTAATCCCTGCTTATCTGAACGCTGGCTGCTGAAGGGGTGTTCCAGTTCTTTGGTTTTCTTCCTAGGTTTTGTCTTTTGAATGGTGTGTAAATGTGGGTTACCTCTATGGGTCTGTTGATGACTGATACCTTCTTCGGTCAGTTCTAGTGTTATTCTAGAGCAGGGGTGTCAAACTGCCGGCCCACGGGCCGGACGCATCACGAGGAAACCGCGCCCACCCCATTGCCGGCAATGGGGAAAAAGTTCCGATACGTCGTGCGACGTCACGTGACGTCGCGAGTTTGACATGTCTGTTCTAGAGCTACTACCCACTGTGGTCTTATTGAAGACTAGGAAGTTTTAGGTCAGGAGTCTCCAAACCTGGCCCTTTTATGATTTGTGGACTTCAACTCCCAGAATTCCTCTGCCAGGCACGCATGCATAAAAGGACCAAGTTTGAAGCCCCCTAGTCCAGGCTCAGAGATCTCACTATCTCTGCCTTCTAAAACATCAGAGAATCATTGCAATAGGGGTCGGGTATGAACTGATTCACTGAATTAATTCTTTAATCTGTGATTGAAATAAACATGGATTCGTTTTCAAACTCCTATGAAGTGTGAGACTCATCCGCCCGCAGATCATACTTAAAAACATTGTTTAGTGACTGTCTGAAGTTATACCAGCACTGACAAAAAACTGACTTAGGACCGTTTTTCACACTTACAACTGTTGCAGCATCCCCCATGATCACGTGAACAAAATTCAGACGCTTGGCAACTGGGTTCATATTTATATTTATGACCATTGCATGTGATCCCTTTTGCGACCTTTTGACAAGCAAAGTCAGTGGGGAAACTGGGCTCGCTTAACAGCTGTGTTACAAATTTAACCACTGCAGTGATTCACATAACAACTGTGGCAAGAAAGGTTGTAAAACTCACTTAACAACCGTCTTGCTTAGTCCGAAATGGTATAGGGTTTCCTGCCTGAGCATTGGGTTGGACCAGATGACCTCCAAGGTCCCTTCCAACTTTATTATTATTATTATTATTATGGATCATCGCACAGTCAGCCAGATGTTCAGACTGGATTTGGCATTTTGTCTACCTATCGAGTCCTTACCCAGGACCTGGGATAGGCATATGTGGATGTTTGATGGTATTACAGATATCGTCGCAGGATGGAAGCAGTTCCTAGTAAGGCCGCCTTTTGCAATTGACTAATAGCGAATTTGTCAATGCCAATGGTGTTCAAGTGGTGCTCCAGTTTATTATTATTATTATTATCATCATCATCATCATCATTATTATTACTATTATTATTATTATTATTATTATTATTACTATTATTATTAAAAGGAATTTTGGGCTCAATTATAGCCGAGGTCTATCTACAATTCTCTTTAGAGCACACAAATACTTACTGGTCTTGTAAAAAATATCCGTAAGACCCTTTTGAAGTTTTTCAGATGGGCAAACAAACTCAAAAGCTGAAAAGCAAACAAAAGAGAAGAGAATTTAGGGTCTGTCCTATAATAATAGTTCACTTGGCGTTTCAGACTTCAAGCATTTTTCAGAAGAAATTGAAGTCCTTATGTGCCCTATTGCTAAATTTAGTGGGCATGTTCCTATGAGCTTGGACCAGGGGTGCCCAATCTTGGCAACTTTAAGACTTGTGGACTTCAACTCCCAGAATTCTCCAGCCAGCCATGTGCGCATTGGCCAGCCTGTCCCGTGGCCGGCAGGTTGGGGACCTCTGTCCTAGAGTGGCCCAGCCAGAGCCCTGACTTGAACCCTATTGAGCATCTCTGGAGGGACTTGACAGTGGCCGTCCACCGATGGTCGCCATCCAACCTGATTGAGCTTGAGAGGATTTGCAAGGAAGAACGGCAGAAAATCCCCCAATCCAGGTGTGCAAACCTTGTTGCATCACACCCAAAAAGACTCAAGGCTGTAATTGCTGCCAAAGGTGCTTCAACAAAGTACTGAGTGAAGGGTCGGAATGCTTACACCAATGTGATATTCCAGGTTTTTTTTTCTTTTTTAATAAATTTACAGATATTTCTAAAATTCTGTTTTCACTTCGGCCTTAGGGGGGTCCTGAGTGTAGATTAATGAGAGAGGAAAAAATGAATTTCAGCAACTGTAGAATCAGGTTGCAGCTTAACAAAACTGACATAAGCGAAGGGGGTCTGAATACTTTCTGAATGGAAAAGAATAACAGAACAGAATAATAACTTTATTGTCACTTTGAACGTACACTAATCGGCATACATTTAAAATGAAATTTCGTTGCATGCAGCTCTCAAAAGGTCACCACTTCCAATACACACTACGTAAATACGACATAAATAAATACAGATGTATATACCCACATATATTATATGACACAGAGAAACAACACAGTCTAGTTCAGATTATGTATACATGTGCGTGGCGAGAAAAACGAATCTTGCGAGTTTACCAGACGGATGGCACAGAGAACAAAGCTACCACAGAATCGGGGTGTCCTGCTATAAATACTTCAAAACCTCCTCCCAGAGGGGAGCCACAGGAACAGACCGTGAAGTGGGTGTGGGGGGGGGAGGTGTCTCTAACAATGCTTTGAGGTCTAAACACATATAAGCGCTTATAAGCTGCATCCTGAATACCAGGGAGTGAGTTTCCTATGTAGGTCAATATATCATAGAGTGGTAGAGTTGGGAAGGACCTCAGAGGTCATCAAGTCCAACCTGCATACTGCAGGATTCGCTACCCCATCCCCAATAGGTTATTCATCAATTTCTGTAAAGAAAAGCAGAGGTGACCTTGGTAAAACTATGAACCGCCTCCAGGTGAATTGCTTTTAGGTGAGTTGTGTGGAATGAATGAATGAATGAATGAATGAATGAATGAATGAATGAATGAATGAACGAATCATTAAGGGATTTTCTGAATGCACTGTATAGTTGTAAGTCAAGGGCTATCTGTAACATTGAAAACTGTGCTTTTAAAGATGTTTTTACTTAGTTGATAACAATAAGAACTGTATTAGCCTAAAATGAGATAGTAGATCAGTGGTTCTCAATCTGTGGGTCGGGACCCCATTTGGGGTCGAACGACCATTTCACGGGGGTCGCCAAACAACGCAGTCCGCCATTTTTTTTCCCCTTTTCCTTAGCTGTGCTACTCCCTTTTATTCTATTGGCTTTTGAAAGCCAATAGAATAGAGTCTCTTGAATAGAGTCTAATTCTATTGGCTTTCAAAAGCCAATAGGAATTGTCCAGGTTGTCTCTGCCCTGCTGAGCCCGCCAAAAGTCCCATTCTGCAAACGGTGCTGCACCAGTTGAGTAGTCCTCAACTTACGACTGGCTGAGTAGTCCTCGACTTATGACTGGTTGGGGGTCGCAGCATTAAAAAGGTTGAGAACCACTGTAGTAGATATTAAGGGAAAAAGAGAGGAAATATCTGATGTTGTAACTTGAGATTTATACAGAAGATTTATGTATGTTATTGAACTATTGATTAACCCAGTCACTATGCTGCTTTTTAAATACTTAATTGTAAAATTAGAAAACTAATAAAATAGTATAAAAAAAACAAAAACAAAACTGTGCTTTCACTGTTACTCCATTCTTTTTAGGATAAGACGCTTGGAAGGAAACGAATGTTTACCTTTAGGATAAGATACAGCAAAGCCAACAGGATGCCAAAACTCCACCCTATGGTGCCATCGGATTCTCTTAAGCCAACGAAGTATCGAAACCAAACAGGTGCAGGAACCACTTTACAGTAGCACTGGCAAAGCTCTTCCAACAGCATATACCAGTAACCCTGTGGGAAGCAAGGGAAACGCAACAAAAATGAACGTCAGAAGGAACATTCATACAATACAGCGAGTCCTCAACTTATAACATTCCTTTAGTAACTATGTGAAGTTGCAATGGCATTGAAAAAAGTCACAGATGACTGGCTTTCATTCTTTACAACCATTGGAGTGTCCCCCATGGTCACATAATCAAAATTCAGGTGCTTGGCAACTGACTCACACTGTGTTCCCCTGAAAATAAGACCGGGTCTTCTTCTTTTTTTTTTTTGCCTCCAAAAGAGGCACCAGGTCTTATTTTCGGGGTAGGCCTTACCTCACCTCCGGCACCGACAGCCCCACCCAGCCGGTCCACTTCTTCTGGGGCCGAAGTTCTGCAGCTGCATTCGGGCCTGCATTTTGCACTCAGGCCGTTCCAGAAGGACGAGGCAGCTGAGTACCGAGCTGTGGATTCAATCCATAGCTCGGTACTCAGCTGCTGAGGTCTTGCAGAACCGAGCTATGGATTGAATTCACAGTTTGATCCTTAGCTGCACAGGCATTCTGGAAAGCTCTGTGACTGAAAAATGCAGGCCTGGCTGCAGAAGAGGCCTCAGAAGAAGAAGTGGGCTGGCAAGGAGAGGCCTGGCTTCAAGGTAAGCGGGTGTGGGGCAGGTGGGGCAGATCCGCCCTCCCACCCCTGCCCTAGCTTGATTTTTAGGTTTGTGCCTCGCCCCAAAACTAGGGCCTATTTTTGGGGTAGGGCTTATATTATGCCTACCCCCCAAAATCAAGTTAGGGCTTATTGTTGGTGTAGGCCAGGGGTAGGCAACCTTGGCTCTTTTATGACTAGTGGACTTCAACTCCCAGAATTCCTGAGCCAGCATGGCTCAGCATGGAAACCTCAGCATGGCTGGCTCAGGAATTCTGGGAGTTGAAGTCCACCAGTCATAAAAGAGCCAAGGTTGCTTATCCCTGGTGCAGGTCTTACTTTCGGGGAAACATGGTATTTATGACGGCTGTGGTGTCCCAGAATCATATGATCAACAACTGTAATCTTCCCAGCTGGCTTTTTACAAGAAAGTCAACGGGGGAAGGCAGATTCGCTTAACAACCATAGGATTTGCTTAGCAACTGCAGTGATTTGCTTAGTAACTGTGGCAAAGAGGGTCATAAAATGGGGCAAAACTCAGCCCCCTTAGCAAAGGAAATTTGGGGCTCAATTGGGGTTGCAAGTCAAGAGCTACCTGTCCTCTTCTTTTTGAGCAGGTTGCTAAGTATTTTCAAGACTAAAGACGGAATAGAATAGAGCTGGAAGGGACTTTGGAGGTCTTCTAGTCCAGTCCCCTGCTCGAGCAGGAGAACCTATACCATCTCAGACAGGTGACTGTCCAGTCTCTTCTTAAAAGATATGGAGCACCCACGATTTCTGGAGGCAAGTTGTTCCACTGATTGATTGTCCTCACTGTCAGGAAGTTTCTCCTTAATTCCAGGTTGCTTCTCTCTTTGATCAGTTTCCATCCATTGTTTCTCATCCTTCCCTCTGGTGCTCTGGTGAACAACCTGACCCCCTCTTCTTTGTGGCAGCCCCTCAGATGCTGGAGTACTCCTATCATGTAACCCCCACTTCTTTTTTTCTTTAGCCTACCCAAATCCTAAATAAATGTCTAATTTAATGAAAAGAAGGATTAGGGTGATGTGACAGCAGTGTTCCAATATCTCAGGGGCTGCCACAAAGAAGAGGGAGTCAAGCTATTCTCCAAAGCAACTGAAGGCAGGACACCAGATAGAAACTAATCAAGGAGAGAAGGAACCTGGAACTAAGGAGAAACTTCCTGACAGTGAGAACAATTAACCAGTGGAACAACCTGCCTCCAGAAGCTCTGAATGCTCCAACGCTGGAAGTTTTTAAGAGGAGACTGGACAACCATTTGTCTGAAATGGTATAGGGCAGACATGTCAAACACAAGGCCGGATACAGCCTGCGAAGTGGTTTCATGCGGCCCGTGAAGCCATCCTGGAAACAGTGAGGGAACGGCCCCTCGCTGCCTTGGTCCTGGCCCAGGCTGGCCAGGAGCCAATGTACAATTCTGTGGTGGCCATCTATGCTGAAAGGTATTCAGTCTTAGAAATAACGAGGAACCAGCCCCTGCTGCGTCAGCTCCACATGCTGGGAAGGTGTCACCCTTTGTGAGGAATGAAGAAATGCATCATCGCCTGGAAGTGGCCAGCAAATGGCCCTACTCTCATCAAAAGCCGCACAACTAAATAAAAACAAAATACAAATTAAAAACAGCCGCATCTTTACCTTGGATTTAAGAGACATGATAAAACAAGGCAGCAGGAGAACGATGCATTTGCAGCTCATGAAGAGAAACTTCAGAACAAAGTCTGTGATTCCTACGATCCAGAGCACATTCCAGAAGTTCAAAGAATCCACCAACGGACTTAAGAGGATCAAGCTTTGAAGAGAAACCATAAAAAAAAAGCACCATGAAAAGGTAACTTGGATACAATAACAACATAGCACATTTAGGGGCAGACCAGGAAAAAAACAGACAGCAGAGGAATCCAAACGGAGAAAAAAAAGGAAAGCAGGAAAAAAAAAATTTTTTTTTCATTCTACAGGTAATCCTTGAGTTACAACAGTTTATTTAGTGACCGTTGGAAATTATAATGGCACTGAAAAAAAGCAACTTATGATCATGTTTCACACTTACGACTGTTGCAGCATCCCCATGGAAATGTGGTCAAAATCCGGATGCTCGGCAATTGGCTCATATTTATGACGGCCGCAGCGTCCTGGGGTCACGTGATCCCCTTTTGTGGCCTTCTGACACACAAACTCAATGGGGGAGCCAGATTCCCTTAACAACCGTGTTAATAACTTAACTGAAGTGATTCACTTAACAAATGTGGCAAGAAAGGATGTAAAATGGGGCAAAACTCAACAAATTTCTCACTTAGCAACATAAATTTTGGGCTCAGTTGAGGTCGTAAGTCAAGGACTTCCTGTATTTTTCCAGAGGAGTCATTTGTTGGTTCTTTCTCCTTAACTGTTTTAAGAACTTGTGTGAGATGTTAATTGTAGGTCAAAATCCTCAATTAGATTTGCAAGGTGATCTTGAATTCTAGGATCAAAGAATCAGATTGGCTTCCTCTGCGCCATTCTTTCTTTTACACAATTTTGTCCGTATTCTTTGACAGCAAGGTTTGTATTGTTCAAAAAAAAAAATAATATCAATGCTCTTCTGCCATTTTACAGGTAGTTTCTCGGCTTAGGAACCTAATGGCGTCTGAAATTACAGTCATAGAACATAGAATACAAGAGTTGGAAGGGAATCTTAGAGCTCATCTAGTCCAACCTGCTACTCAAGCAGGAGACCCTATACTATTTCAAACAACTTGTCCAGTCTCTTCTTAAAAAAACTCCAGTGATGGAGCAACCATAACTTCTGGAGGCAAATCTATTCTGCTGATTAATTGTTTTAACTGTCAGGAAATTCTCCCTTAGTTCTAGATCAGGGGTAGGCAAACTTGGCTCTTTGATGACTTGTGGACTTCAACTCCCAGAATTCCTGAGCCAGCATGAGGGAAACTTTGGCCATGACTGGTGGACTTCAACTCCCAGAATTCCTGAGCCAGCATGAGGGAACTATGGCCCCCTTCATGACTGGTGGACTTCAACTCCCAGAATTCCTGAGCCAGCATGAGGGAACTATGGCCCCCTTCATGACTGGTGGACTTCAACTCCCAGAATTCCTGAGCCAGCATGGCTCAGCTTGGAAATCTCTCCCTTTCCCCTCAGCATGGCTGGCTCAGGAATTCTGGGAGTTGAAGTCCACGAGTCATCAAAGAGCCAAGGTTGCCCTACCCCTGTTCTAGGTAGTTTCTCTTCTTGATTAGTTTCCATCTGCTGCTTCTTGTCCTGCCTTCGGGGGCTTCCCCCCCTCATCTTTGTGGCAGCCCTACAAATACTGGAACTGTGTGGGGAGGGTCTCCTCACCAGAATAAAATATTCTACACACTATTGAAAGGATGCAGAATAGAATATTTCCCCTAAAGGAGAAGAGGAGAAAAATCTTAACAAAGGCAGAAAGCAGCCCCAGTCTTTCTGCTATAGGAAAACCGCCTCAAGCAGGATTCTGAAGAGGCTGGGCTTTATGACTGGATATTCTGAATTCATCCATAAAGCCAGGCCACTCTATTCATAAACGAAGGATAGCCGACAGCTCGGAATCAGCAACTCAGTAGGCAAGGGCTGAAATTGACAAGATTAGCTCAGACAAATAAAACACCTAGGATTTGCATTTCCCCTTTTGCCTGTAGAGCAGTGTTTCCCAACCTTGACAATTTTAAGGCATGCGGACCTCAACTCCCAGAATTCCACAGCCAGCATTGCTGGCTGTGGAATTCTGGGAGTTGAAGTCCTCATGTCTTAAAATTGTCAAGGTTGAGAAACACTGCTGTAGAGCTAGGCATGACTCCTACACAATCCCATAGGAATCTGGCAACAGCTATTAAAATATTAAAGGATATATCCTTGCACAGGAAGAGGCATCTCAATCACAAAGCCCCCCAAATTGTATAAAACTCCATCTACTCTCAACCCCAATTTGTCAGTCATCCCAGAAACATACCATTGTCACTGTTGTTTCTGGTTACCAAATAAACAGAGACCTCTTTTCCAAAACTGCAGCCTGCCTCCAATTCACTTTTCCTATCTCTTCTCCCAGCTTGGAATAAGACACGGACCAGATTTAACTCCAACAACTGCTATCGTTATCTCCCCTAGTCCTTTTTTCACTAGATTAGATATACCCAAGTAGGTAATCGTGCAACTGACTGGATTTTACACTTTTTTGCAGTGGCTGTTAAGCAAATCGCCATGGTCGTTAAGCGAGCACAGTGATCATAAGCGAACCTATTGTCCCCAAATGACTTTGTTTTGCAGGAAATTGGAAACACTGGTTTCTGGCAAAAAAAAAAATGTTATAAAAACTGGTCACATAATTATGGGATGCTGCAATGGCCACAAATGTCAGTGGGAGCCGAGTGTCCAAAATGTGAACACATGATTGATTGCAAAGGGAGAGAGAAAACAGACAGATGATCATCGGATCTTCAAATCTGAGCCACGAATACAGATAGTCCTCAACATACCGCCACAATTGAGCCCATAATTTCTGTTGCTAAACGAGACAGTTAAGTGAATTTCACCCCGTTTTACAACCTTTCTTCAACAGTTGTTAAGTCAATGATGGCGAGCCTTTTAGAGACTGAGTGCCCAAACTGCAACCCAAAACCCATTTATGTATTGTTGGGTGCTGGGTGGGTGTGGCCCATTGGGTAGGTGTGGCTGCGGTGGTAGACCGCAGCCTGGGTGGGACTAAAAAGTTCAATCAATCAATCAATCAATTCCAACTTTGCAAGATCTTTTTTTTCCCGCAAGAAGTTGAAATTGACTGATTGATTGAACCTTTTTTTTTTACACGGCGGCGAAGGCCTAAAGCGAAAAGGTTTTATAAAACCCAGCTGAAGGCCCAGGATTGGGGCGACTGCGCGCGTGCCCACAGAGAGGGCTCTGAGTGCCACCTCTGGCACCCGTGCCATAGGTTCGCCACCACTGTGTTAAGTGAATCACTGCAGCTGTTCAATTAGCAACATGCCTGTTAGGTGACTTTGGCTTCCCCGTTGACAAAAGGGGATCACGTAACCCGAGGACTCTGCAATAGTTATAAATAAGAACCAATTGCCAAGCACCCAAATTCTTATCACGGTGCAACGGTGGTGTGAAAAACGGCCAGAAGCGGCTTTTTTCAGTCTCGTTGTAAATTACCAACGGTCACTAAATGAATGGTTGTAAGTCGAGGACGACCTGTACCTTTTTTCGGGTCCATGATTGGGGCTCTGAGATGAGGGCAACCTGTGCCAATATGGGGAATTGGTCTGTGCTGAATTACCTGTAATGAAGGGATTGAGAGTAGAAGGTGTAATAAATGAGAATAGCTGATCCCGCCAGGAACAGCAGCAGCCACACACACCGTAGCCTGGAGCACCTTTCCTGCAAGGGAAGAATGTTAGAAAATGTCGGTCAATCGACGTTTATGAAATAAAATTAGAATATATTTAAGTAAGTAAATATGTGCATTTTAGACATTATAAGTTTTATGTAGTGAGAGAAAGGAAATTTGGATTACCTGAAACTTAAATACTTTGGATATTAAAGGTTAAATTGGAGTACTGTAATTAAAAGCTAAAAATTAGGTAAAACTTAAAAACAGGATATGGGTATGTATAAGCCAAAAACGTATTGATAGATGTGATAATGAAGTTTTAACTGAGTTTGATACAATTAGAAACTTACTAGCCTAAATATGATATAGCAAATGTTCAGGGAAGCAGAGAAGAAATATTTGATGAGGTAACCTGAGATATGTACTAAAGATTTTGTTATTGAATTTTTGACAATAGACAAAGTCCTTATGATACTTTTGGTTATTCTTCTGATATTTTTCTGCCATGTGCCAGCTAAGACTCAGAAAGGTTGCAACAGCATAAACAGGAGCCTCAGGTTTGAGTGAAGTTTAACTGACCAGTGTTCCTTAAAATAAGCAATATATTCAGATATATTTAAATCTCAAGCTTAATTTTGGTAAATAAAGGCTACTTTCTAGCCTGTTGCCTTAACCCAGACATGTCAAACACAAGGCCCGGGGGCCGGATGCAGCCCGCGAAGCCATTCTGGAAACAGTGAGGGAACAGCCCCTGCTGCCTTGGCCCTGGCCCAGTCTGGCTGGGAGCCAATGTACAATTTTGTGGTGCCCATCTATGTTGAAACGCATTCGGTCTTAGCTCCACAAGGCCGTCTGGAAACAGCGAGGAACCAGCCCCTGCCGCAATGGCCCCGCCCCCTGGGTGCATGCTGGGGAGGTGTCACCCTTTGTGAGGAATGAAGAAATGGACCATGCCTTGGCGCTTGCCCCGGTCCCCCCCCCTTCTGCCAGAGACCCTCAGATCTGTCCCACTCCTGCCCAGGCCCCCACAGGCCCCCTTGACGCGGATAATGTAGAGCTCACCATGCCCATCCAGTAGGCCACACCCACTCCATCCACGTCCACCCAGTAGGCCGCACCCACCCTGGCCACACACACACTGCCCCCCCCAGGGCAACCGCAATGTTGATGCGGCCCTCAATGAAATTGAGTTTGACACCCCTGCCTTAAACATTAAATCAAACTGGTTCTCTCTCTATATATACAGATAATCCTTGACTTACAACAGTTCATTTAGTGACCATTTGAAGTTACAATGGCACTGAAAAAAGTGACTTATGGCTACTTTACACACATACAACCATTGCTGCATCCAAATGGTCACATGATCAAAATTCAGATGCTTGGCAACTGACTCATATATATGACGGTTGCAGTGTCCCTTTGGCGACATTCCGACAAGCAAAGTCACTGGGGAAGCCAGATTCAAAATTGTGTTACTCATTTAACAAATGCAGTGATTCACTAAATGAGTGTGGCAAAAAATGTTGTAAAATGGAGCAAAGTTCACTTAACAACTGTCTCAATTTGGGACTCAACTGTGGTCATAAGTTGGGAACTACCTGTATTTCATATATAAAATAAAATTTATTTTATAAATTTTTTTTATCAAAACAACCCAGTGATCTGCATGCATTTAATCTGACACTTCTCAATGTGTTTAATCTAAGACAGGGGTCTTCAATCCTGGCCCTTTTATGATTTGTGGACTTCAACTCCCAGAATTCCTCAGTCGGCCATTTTGATGAAACTGCAGGCTTGGATCCAGACCAGGGGTCTTCAAACCTGGCCCTTTTATGACTTGTGGACTTCAACTCCCAGAATTCCTCAGCCAGGCACGCTGGCTGAGGAATTCTGGGAGTTGAAGTCCACAAGTCATAAAAGGGCCAAGTTTGAAGACCCCTGATCTAAGACATTCCAGATCAGTTTTTTTAAAAAAATAAACCTCATGTTTAAAAGAAAACCTCTTTTAAAAAAAAAAATCTATGCTATTTTATAGCCTGGTAGAACAAAAGTTAAAACCACACTCTATACTTCTGCCCAGAATCTCCTGAGTGAAATTAAGCTTTAAAAATACTTACAAACCGTGCTGGAGGAACTGATACTTACTCTGAGGAAAACCTGATTTACAATGGCTTTGTTTGCATACATAAAAGTTGTGAGCAGTCCCATTCCCAGAGAAATGCCTGTTAGAAAAAAAGGGCCAATTATACAAGCAAAAAAAAAAAAAAAAGGGGGGGGGGAATCAAAAGGAAAACAACAACAACAACAAAAGTAACAAAAAGGCACCAAACCAAAGTTTCTTAAAAAAAAAAAAAAAGTTAAGCAAGAATTTGCATGCGAGAATATCAATGCTCTCTAAGACAAGGAAATAAATCCAACTGGCCTTCTATACACAGGGGCGCTGCAGCCCTCAAGAGCAACAAGATCCTATACAATTAATGAATCAGAATCCTAGAGCTAGTGCTGAATTAATAAAGGGTATTTTTGTAGCCCTCATAACAGAAGGGAGTGACTATTAAAGGAGAATATTTGTAGCTGAGGGTTGAAATGTGGGGTCTTTGGTGCTTTCTGGGCTTCGGTATTTTCCTGCAATCTTTTCATGACCCAACTAGCTAACATTATCAGTGCCGGTAAGGTAGGGGTCTTCAAACTTGGCCCTTTGGTGACTTGTGGACTTCAACTCCCAGAATTCCTCAGCCAGGCACACGTGCCTGGCTGAGGAATTCTGGGAGTTGAAGTCCACAAGTCACCAAAGGGCCAAGTTTGAAGACCCCTGCTGTAAGGAATGGTGCCTGCTCTCTGTTTATATAAAATGAGAAGAAACCCCACTCTTTGTTAGCACTGGTGATGTTATTTAGCTTGGTAAAGAAACGTCTGCAAGAAAACCACCAAGCTCAGAGAGCACCAAGGACCTTATAGTCTTTCTCCCCCTCATAGCCCCCTCTCTTCCAACACTAATGATGTTACCTAGTTGGGTAAAGAAACGTCTGCAAGAAAGCCACCAAGCTCAGACAGCACCAAGGACCCTATAGTCTTCCTCCTCCTCATACCCCTCTCTCTTCCAGCATGGATGATGTTACCTAGTTGGGTCATGAAATGTCTGCAAGGAAACAACCAAGTTCAGAAAGCACCAAGGACCCCTCAGGATAGGATGAGCCCAACATTTTTGGGGAAATACTTGGTAAAGGCAGGTTAGGAGATGCCATGGTTGACTGCTGTTTCCTATCTAACCAGTTCTCCACCTTTGTCCTCCCTGTCCCCTGGCAGCATTACGCAATCAAAACATAGTACAAAATGCAGGAAAGGGAGCAGAAACTCAAATTACAACGCCCTGTGCTCCGAAAATCAAAGCAGCATAATTAGAGCAAACAGCATCATATCTGTGAAATCCTTTTCATGTGATTTACACAACACAGCCACGTTCATTCCGACAGCGTGACCTCTAATCTTTCCTATGTAGCTTCACCTGGCTTTAAAACAAAACAAAACAAAACAAAACAAAACAAAGAGATGTGGGTATTTATTTGCCCAACTTGAACGCTTATTTTGAAACAAAATCTCTCTCCACATTCAATGGAACATGGCAGGAGCCATTTTATAGCAGTGTTTTTTCACTGCAGCCACTATTAAGATGGGTGGACTTCAACTCCCAGCATTCTCCAGCCAGCTGGAGTCCACACATCTTAAAATGGCCGAAATTGAGGAACACTGTTCTATACTGTTTTCCTTGAAGGGAATCTGAGTATTTTGACACAGCAGGTTCTCTACACCCTAACTGTGAGCTGAGAGCCCCTGTGTATATGGCAACAAAAGGACAATTAAAAAAATAATAATTCTAGATGCTCATTAGCATTTTTTTTCCAATGCAGGCACAGAATGTAAAATAGAGGGGGAAAGAGCAGGGATGGCATTAAAATGATGGATCCCGTCTTCCCTTCAAAATGGGGGAACTGAATTTCAAGACGAAGCTAAGAACCAAACATCCAAATATGGAAAGCTATGCCCCAAACCAGGGGTCGTCAAACGTGGCCCTTTGATGACTTGTGGACTTCAACTCCCAGAATTCCTCAGCCAGGCACGTGTGCCTGGCTGAGGAATTCTGGGAGTTGAAGTCCACAAGTCATCAAAGGGCCACGTTTGAAGACCCCTGCCCCAGAGGCCAGAAACCGTCTGTTCTTCCATTTACTGAAAATGGGAAACACACAAAGATTGTGTTTCTTACTACAGGGAGTCTTGGACTTACAATCACTTGTTTAGCGACCCTTCAAAGTTACAATGGCACTGAAAAAAGTGACTTACGATTGCTTCACATTGACATTTGTTGCAGTATCCCTACGGTCACGAGATCAAAATTCGGGCGTTTGGCAACTGGCGTGTACCTATGACAGTTGCTTTGTCCTGGGGTCATGTGTTCACCGTTTGTAACCTTCCCAGCCAGCTTTTGACAAATAAAGTCAATGCGGGGAAGCCCGGTTCCCTTAACAAATGCATGGGTCACTTAAAGACTGAGGCAAAAAGGTCATTAAATGAGGCACAATTCACTTAACAGTTGCCTTTCTTAGCAACGGAAATTTGGGGCTCAATTGTGGCTGTAAGTCGAGGACTATTTGTAAATCCTATCCTAGACTGGATAAAGCCAATTCAGAGGAACTGGCATTAGATTATTGGATCTGAAATAGGTTCAGTGACATCAGTTTGATAATGAAGGTTTTTGCCTCCCAATTGTAGTTGACTTTTTATACGAATATTTTCAAGATGTTGTTCGTATTCTCTAACAAACTTCCATTTACTGGTGAAAAAATGGGTACAGGTGATCCAGTTTTGGTCACCACGATGTAAAAAAAGATGTTGAGACTCTAGAAAGAGTGCAGAGAAGAACGACAAAGATGATCAGGGGACTGGAGGCTAAACCATATGAGGAACGGTTGCTGGCATTGGGTATGTCTAGTTTAATGAAGAGGGGGGACATGATAGCAGTCTTCCAATATCTTGGGGGCTACCACAAAGAAGAGGGAGTCAAGCTATTCTCCAAAGCACCTGAAGGCAGGACAAGAAGCAACGGATGGAAACTAACTAAGGAGAGAAGCAACCTGGAACTAAGGAGAAATTTCCTGACAGTGAGAACAATTAATCAGTGGAACAACCTGCCTCCAGAAGTGGTGAATGCTCCAACACTGGAAGTTTTTAAGAGATCGGACAGCCATTTGTCTGAAATGGTATAGGGTTTCTTGCTTGAGCAGGGGGTTGGATTAGATGACCTTCAAGGTCTTTTCCAACTTTGATGATGATGATGGAAAGTAATCCGCAACCTTCAACCAGTCCCTTAGCAGCAGTTTGATCTTACAATGGACACAAAAGGTACTTATGATCCGGAAGTCTTAATGGCCACCCCAATCCCCAGGCTGTAACCACAATTCAAGTGCTGAACAACCAGTTTGCATTTACGTCTGTTTGCAGCTTTACAACTACCGCCTTTGCTTAATGGGTGCTGCAAAATAGGTCATAAAATGAGGTTGCCCACTGATGACCTGCTTTACCACCATCACAACTTTCAACCCTTGATAGGCTGCAAGTAAGGATCCTTGAGGATACCTGTGTCCTTAAAAGTCTCCTTGGAAGAGATGGGCGGTCTGGAAACATGAAATATCAATAAGATAAAAGCTACTACAAGTGGGGCAAAGAGTCACGGGAAGGTCCATGCTCGGCATCACGAGACAAGATAGAACAACTCGCACATGGATTAGAGAATAAATGAAAGTAAAGGATGCCATCAAGAGAGTAAAAGAACTGAAATGGAAATGGGACTGGTCGCATAGCAAGAAGAACTGACGGCAGGTGGACCAAGGCGGTCATAGAATGGATCCCATTTGATTAAACCACCAGGGGAGAATTTTAATGTTGGAAATAGAATTAGAGCAAAAACAAATTTTATTAACGGCAGTATATGCACCAAATAATAATCAACAAGATTTTTTTAAAAAGGTACATAAGAAACTAGTGGATCTGGATTATGAAAATATTTGTATGCTTGGGGATCTAAATGCAATAGTTGATGTTAAGAAAGATTATAAGAGTAGTGAAAAGAACAAAAAGAAGAAAAATATATTACCAATATCATTCTTTGACATGGTAACAGAACTCAATCTTCAGGATATATGGAGAGAGACACACAGATCAGACAAACAATATACGTTCTATTCATATCCACATCAGTCTTGGTCTAAGATCGATATGGCCTGGGCAACAACAGACGTACAAAAAGGGATAGAGGAAATTGAAATAGGGCTTAATGATTGGGCGGATCACAACCCAATAATAATAAAATGGAAAGGCCAGAAACAGAGAAAAAGATGGTCGATGAATCAAAGACTGTGTAAAGATAAACAATATATACAGATTCTAGAAAAGGAGTTGACATTATTTTTTCAGGTAAATAAAAAGGAAAAGACATCAACACAAAATTTATGGGATACTACAAAAGCTTACATTCGGGGATTGACAATTGCATACAACTCAAAGAAAAATAAAGATAGGAGACTTCAACAAGGGAAATTACAAGAAGAATTAAAAAAAATAGAAGGCGATCTACAGAAGGACCCACAAAATAAAAAGATAAAAGAGAAATGATTAAACCACCAGAGGGCAAGACAAGAAACAATAGAGGGAAACTAAGCAAGGAGAGAAGCAACCTGGAACTAAGGAGAAACTTCCTGACAGTGAGGACAATTAACCAGTGGAACCGCTTGTCTCCAAAAGTTGTGGCTGCTTCATTACTGAAGGTTTTTAAGAAGAGACTGGACAGCTACCTGTCTGAAAGGGTATAGGGTCTCCTGCTTGAGCAGGGGGTTGGACTGGAAGATCTCCAAGGTCCCTTCCAGCTCTATTTGGATTGATTGTATGGCAGGCCCAACTGGGCCTTCATCCAGCAGTAGATAGACCATTGTGGAGGAGGAGGAGGAGGAGAAAGGACAGTAACCTTTTTCAGTGCTCCTGAAGGAGACATAACAAAAACATTATACAGCAGGACGAATGTTCTACCTTTCAACACTTTTGATGGCTTTGGGCTGTCCCGTTTTTGGTTTAGTTTGTGCATCAGCAGAACAGGAGAAACCATTTGGCATGTAGTTAACGTCATTTTTAAAATCAATTTTGGGTACCACAATTCAAGACAGATCTTAAAAAAAAAGGGGGGGGGAACTAATTCAAAGGGACTGCAAAGCTGGTTCCCAGTTCCTGATTTTGTTTTAAAATCAAAACTCCTCAGAAAAGGAGCGATCTCCTCTATGGCGGGCAGAAGAAAAATGTCTTTAAGTTGTTAAGTGAGTTATGCCCCATTTTACAGCCTTGCTTGCCACACTGAAGTGAAGCACTGCAGTTGCTATGCCAGTAAATCTGGCTTCCACACTGATTTTGCTTGTGATCCCCTGGGACAGTGCAACCGTCATAAATATGAGTCAGTGGCGTCTGAATTTGTATCACGTGACCATGGGGAATAGTCACTAAACAAATGGTTTTAAGTCGAGAACTGCCTCAAGCCCACAATATTATAAAATAAGGTTCAGGTAGTCCTTGACTTATGACCATGGAGCCTGGAATTATGGTCATAGGTTGTGCCAGTCCTTAAGCAGGTCACCACTTGACTGTGCCTGATTTTGCGATATATATATATTTATTAATGGTAAAAATAAAAGAGACTTCCCCCGGCGTTTGCCTTTTAACCCTGACGATGTCAAATGTATTTGACGAAAGCTTGGTGGATTAAATTCTATTTTTGATATTCTCTTGGTGATCATTATTTTGACAATATGAATACTCCCAAGAGTCGCATTTTTGTTTTTATATATTGTGCTTGTTGTTATGCAAACACGGTGGTCATTAAGCAAATCCGTTGTCTTCAAATCCATTGTTTTGTTGGAAATTGGAAAGAAATGCTGAGTTTTGGCAAAAAAAAAAGTAAATTGTGGTCACATGACTACGGGAGGTAAGAATGGGGAATGGGTGCCAAGCACCCAAAATCTGACCAAATCTGGGGTGGTCCATCATAACTTCAAACGGCCACTAAGCAGCTATTTGTAAGTCACCAACTACCTATACCAGGGGTAGGCAACCTTGGCTCTTTTATGACTCGTGGACTTCCAACTCCCAGAATTCCTGAGCCAGCATGGCTCAGTATGGAAACCTCTCCCTTCTCCTCAGCATGGCTGGCTCAGGAATTCTGGGAGTTGAATTCCACGAGCCATAAAAGAGCCAAGGTTGCCTACTCCTGACCTATACTGAACATCTTTTAGAAGTTAAAAAAAGTGTCACATCCTTGTCCAATTTTTAAAGCTAATGGCCTTTGTGGTTGAAACAACCTGATTAGAAGCACTTGGGGAGGTCTCAGAAACTCCAAATCATGTATCAAAATTATGAAAATCAAGAGAGAAAAAAAATAGATGGAAATATTAACTGGCACGCTTCCTTTATACAGCTGAGTATTTCACTGGATTTTTTTTTTTTAAGGGTTCAAAACTTCTGGCCTTGAAGTCCAGACTGATCCACACCCAACTCGTCCATCACACTAAAATACACTTTTTTAAAAAAAACAAAAGAAAACCCAAACCCTGCTGTTTCCAAAACACCCAATAGGTTGATACGCTACCGATGATATGTTGCGCGAGAATTTTGAGGGACAAAATCAAGATGTATGGGATGCTCCTGTGCAGCCACTGGAGAAGGTATTTGAATTCTGAGAGAGAACTGTCCCTTTGCTCCTCCGAACCGCTCGAGTGACCGCTTCTGGCTTCACCGGGCAGGTGGCCGTGAGTCCCCAACCGAGAATGTTGCCTGGAGCCGGCATTTGCCTCTGGCTCCCCAACAGCTGAGCTCATCTGGATGTGAACGTCCCCTCCGTGCGAGCAAGGTTCTTCTCCTGGAGACCTGGTGGCGTGAGTGCCTTGGCAGGAGGGGCCGTGGTTGTGGCCGTTGTTGAGGCCACTGTGTCGAACGTTCGAGTTGGACTGCATGGTGCAGAGCGGGTGGTGACCTGCTTCCAAAATTTGGACTGGGGTGCGGCGATTCCTAAAAAGGAAGAAAGGAGTGGATGGTCAGAAGAGAACCAGCCTCAATTAGGAACGAAAAGTACCGTGTTTCCCCGAAAATAAGACCGGGTCTTATATTAATGTTTGCTGCAAAAGAAGCATTAGGGCTTATATTCAGGGCTAGGGCTTATATTCAGAGAAATACGGTACTAAATGCGTCCGTCTGGCTGACGATCTTAACTGAGGCTTATTTTTTGAAGCAACAGGTGGAAACTAATCAAGGAGAGAAGCAACCTAGAACTAAGGAGAAACTTCCTGACAGTGAGAACAATTAACCAGTGGAACAGCTTGCCTCCAGAACCAGTAAATGCTCCAACACTGGAAGTTTTTAAGAAGAGACTGGACAGCCATTTGTCCGAAATGGTGTAGGGTTTCCTGCCCGAGCAGGGGGTTGGACTAGATGACTTCCAAGGTCCCTTCCAACTTTACTACTACTACTACTACTATTATTATTATTATTATTATTATTATTATTATTACGAGCATCCTGAAAAATCAGGCTAGGGCAGTGGTTCTCAACCTTTTTAATGCCGCGACCCCCCAACCGGTCATAAGTTGAGGACTACTCAACCGGTCGTAAGTCGAGGACTACTCAACTGGTGCAGCACCGTTTGCAGAATGGGACTTTTGGCGGGCTCAGCAGGGCAGAGACAGCCTGGACAATTCCTATTGGCTTTGAAAGCCAATAGAATTAGACTCTATTCACGAGAGTCTATTCTATTGGCTTTCAAAAGCCAATAGAATAAAAGGGAGTAGCACAGCTAAGGAAAAGGGGGAAAAAATGGCGGACTGCGTTGTTTGGAGACCCCCGTGAAATGGTCGTTCGACCCCAAATGGGGTCCCAACCCACAGGTTGAGAACCACTGGGCTAGGCCTTATTTTCCGGTTGGGTCTTATTTTGGGGGAAACACGGTAACAGCAGGTATTCCTCGACTTACAACCGTTCGTTTAATGACCGTCTGAAGTTACAGCGGCGCTGAATAAAGTGACTTGCAGCAGTTTTTCACATGACGACCGTCACAGCCTCCCCGTAGTCACGGGTTCAAAACTCGGGCAGTTAGCAACTGGCGTGTATTTAGGATGGTTGCACTCTGCCAGGGTCATGCGATCCCCTCTCGTGACCTTCTGACAAGCAGAGTCAAAGGGGGGGGGGGGAAGCCAGCTTTGCTTAACGACTGCCTAATTCACGTAACGACTGCAGCGATTCGCTTAACGGCTGTGGCAAAAACGGTCGTCAAATGGAACAAAACTCACTTAACAACTGGCTTGCTTAGCAAGGGAAATGTTGGGTTCAGTTGCAATCCTAAGTCAAGGGCTCGTGTAGGTGGGGAGGGGTCTTCATCATGGGAGGTTTTTAAGAACTGTCTGGAGAGCCACTTCTCCGCAATGGTTTTATTGGTTTTCCCACACTTATTGAACACTTATTGTTCAATTTATTGGTCACTGCAATCACCAGAGCAACCTTTACCACCTGGAACCCCCAGCTTTTAATGGGGAAATAAAACTCTGGAAATTGCCTCAAGCCCATTAAGAGGAGTTTCATTTTGGCGTTTACCACCCTTTAATTAGGATCTGCTTTACCTACAGGAATGTATACACCGTGGAGCAAAGATTCTGGAGAGCAGCCAAGGTTGGTGAACCCAAGTTCAACCCCCCCCCCCCTTAAGTGGCTGTAAAGAACATTAAGCCACAATAAACCAGTTGGCTGGTCCTCTCTCACGGTTATTGAGCGCAAAAAAGGAAGGGAGATGACTTTCTTCCTTGGAAGAAAGGCATAAAAGTAAGAATAAAAATGCAAATGAGCAAACAAGTCCAACAGGCTAGTGTTTGTATTTGTAAATCCAAGATCTCCTGGGGATGGGGACAAAGAAGAAGTCCTCAAGAGAGCAAAATCATAGAATCACTTGGCTGGAAGGGCCCTTCTTATTGTATCCTGGACAAACGGCTGACCAGCACTTTCTGAATGACGTTGCCTGTTCATACTGTAAGCCAAAGTACGTGATATGGTTTTAACCAGGGTTTATTGAGTGAGCCACAACTGGGTGAATTGACATAGCACACCAAGATACAAATTACAGTTTATTAACTACAATCAGCAAGCCCTAAAAGGTTGGGAAGGGGAAACAAGCCACAATGATAACATGAGCATCCTTTCAACCTAGATCAGACCAACGCCTGGAGAACAAAACGTTTCTCAGCTCTGCAAGGAAAATGTAAGCAATTTGGAGCTATAAAGATGTTTGGGATTATAATTCCCATGATTTTGAGACAAAGGCCAAAGAACTTTCCCCCAAATCTACATTTTAAATGCCAGCATTACTGAAAAAAAAATGGCATTTACCCTCTCCCCCAAATTGGGGGGGGGGAAACAAGGACATTAGCCTTACCACTTATTTTAGGGAGGCAGCTGGTATATAATCCTTGAGTTACTACCACAATTGAGCCAAAATTTTCCACTGCTAAGCAAGACAGTTGTTAAGTGAATTTTGCCCCATTTTACGACTTTTTTTTTTTTTTTTGCCCACAGGCTGTTGTGCGGTTCCACGGGATCGCATTGCAAGGCACACTGTCCTCCTGCTTAAGCAGGGGGTTGGACTAGAAGACCTCAAAGGTCCCTTCCAACTGTGTTACTCTGTTAGCTGTTAAGTGAATCGCTGCAGTTGTTAGTAACACGGTTAAGTGAATCTGGATTCCCCACTGAGTTTGCTTGTCAGAAAGGTCACAAAAAATGATCACATGATCCCAGGGTACCGTAACCATCATAAATACATGCCATGTCTGAATGTTAATCACACAACTACAGGGACACAGCAACGGTCGTAAGTGTGATAAACAGTCATAAGTCACTTCTTTCAGTGTTGTCATAGCTTCGTTCATTCACTAAACGAATGGTTGTATGTCGAGGACTACGTGTATTCAACCCGGTTTTACACAATCAATAATGCATTGCTGGAGAAGGCCATTAAACGAAGTCTTTTCCGGAGAAAGAGATTAATCACTGCTTTTATTGTGACAAACAGAACACCTAATCATAGTAATTCTCCCCGTCCTCTTCAGTGCTAAGGCTCAGTCCCCAGTCCTGTTTGGAAGGGGAGGAACGACTGGCGCAACCAGAGTGGCAGGAACTACAATGCCCCTAAGCAAAGGCAGAATCCAAACAGGTCATGGCTACAAAATCCTTCTTCCCCAAAAGCAACAGTTGGTTGGGCTGATGCTTCTCTTCCTGTCTCTGAAGCAAGTTAATTAATGAGAATCTCAAGTCATTTAAAAAAAGGTCAGGACTCCTTTGAGGCCAGTTGACCTAGTCCAGGGGTAGGCAACCTTGGCTCTTTTATGACTGGTGGACTTCAACTCCCAGAATTCCTGAGCCAGCATGGCTCAGCATGAAAACCTCTCCATTTCTCCTCAGCATGGCTGGCTGAGGAATTCTGGGAGTTGAAGTCCACCAGTCATAAAAGAGCCAAGGTTGCCTACCCCTGACTTAGTCCTTTCAAGGACATGGCTGGACTCATTCATGGCTGGCGAGTGGGGTGGCTGACACAAGGGCCAGTGGATTTCCGGGTTAAGACCTGGGTTTCCCAACCTTGGCCACTTTAAGAAAGGTGGACTTCAGGTCCCAGAATTCTCCAGCCAGCCTGCTTTAAGATGGGGGGGGGGACTTCCACTCCCAGAATTCCCAAGACAGCCTGCTGACGGCTGGGGGGAGACTGGGAGTTGAAGTCCACCCATCTTAAAATAGCCAAGATTAGAAAACCCCGGTTTAGATTACAGTGGGATTACCTGGTGGTCTCCCATCCGTCCAACTCTTTCCTAACGTCCGCGATATCAATCCAGGCTCAGGTCTTGTCTCTCCACCGATACGGGCAACTTCCCACCCAGCCCAGGGCAGCCCCCGAGGGCAGCCCCCGCCCAGGGGATGATGGGAATTGTAGTAGGACACGTCGCCAAACCGACGGGATGGGGGGGGGGAACCAAAGGCCCTTCCCGCCCCGCAGTCCTGCCACCCACCTCTCATAGCGGGCCGGAGTTTCATGGCGAGGCCGGTCGTGGAGGCCCGGGCCTCGCCTCCACCTCCATGGCAGCCGCGAGGGCGGCTCACCAAGCGCCAGTCTCCGACGGAGCGATCCAGCGAGCGACCGAGGACCAGCCGCCTTCCACTACCGGCTCCGTGGAGGAAGAGGAGTGGCCGCGGCGGCCGGAGGAGGAGAAGAGCAGACCGAGAGAGCTGGTCGCCACGGCAACAGGGGCGGAGCCACGGGCGTGGCGGGACTGAGGGCGGCGCTGCGGAGGGGGCGGGATGGGAGGCGTTGCCGCGGAGGGGGCGGGGCTGTGGGCGGTGGCGCGGAGGGGGCGGGATTATGGGCGGCGGCGCAGAGGGGGCGTGTCTTGAGTCCTGCTGACCTGTTCCTTCTCTGTTGCTGGGTGGGAAGTGCGCTGGTCTTGATTCGGCTTACTTTGCATTTATGTATTCTCCAAAGCGCCTGAAGGCAGGAGAAGAAGCAACTAACCAAAGAGAGAAGCAACCTAGAACTAAGGAGAAACTTCCTGACAGTGAGAACAATTAACCAGTGGAACAACCTGCTTCCAGAAGCGGTGAATGCGCTAACACTGGAAGTTTTTAAGAAGAGAATGGACAGCCATTTGTCCGAAATGGTATAGGGTTTCCTGCCTGAACGTGGGGTTGGACTAGATGACCTCCAAGGTCCCTTCCAACTATTATTATTATTAAGAACAGCCACGTTGGCCAGAGTAATTAATGATCCCCAGGGACTTTATAAGTTCATAAATAAAAGAACACCATGTTCACAATGAAGGTTCTCAGAACCTTCTATCCTATCCTATCCTATCCTATCCTTATTTCATTCTGTTCAATTCTAATATTACTTCATTCTATTCTAATTTTAGTAATATTAATAGTAGTAAAGTTGGAAGGGACCTTGGAGGTCATCTAGTCCAACCCCCTGCTAAGGCAGGAAACCCTACACCATTTCGGACAAATGGCTGTCCAGTCTCTTCTTAAAAACTTCCAGTGTTGGAGCATTCACCGCTTCTGGAGGCAAGCTGTTCCACTGATTAATTGTTCTCACTGTCAGGAAGTTTCTCCTTAGTTCTAGGTTGCTTCTCTCCTTGATTAGTTTCCACCCGTTGCTTCTTGTCCTGCCTTCAGGTGCTTTGGAAAATAGCTTAATTCCCTCTTCTTTATGGCAGCCCCTGAGATATTGGAATACTGCTATCATGTCCCCCCTTGTCCTTCTCTTCATTAAACTAGACATACCCAATTCTAGCAACCGTTCCTTATATGTTTTAGCCTCCAGTCCCCTAATCATCTTTGTTGCTCTTCTCTGTACTCTTTCTAGAGTCTCAACATCTTTTTTACATCGTGGTGACCAAAACTGGATGCAGTATTCCAAGTGTGGCCTTACCAAGGCATTGAAGAGTGGTATTAATACTTCACGTGATCTTGATTCTGTCCCTCTGTTAATGCAGCCTAGCACTGTGTTGGCCTTTTTGGCAGCTGCAGCACACTGCTGGCTCATATTTAGGTGATTGTCTACTAGGACTCCGAGGTCCCTCTCACAGTTACTACTATTGAGCATGGTGCCACCTATGCTGTACTTGTGCATTTGGTTTTTCTTGCCTAAATGTAGAACCTTGCTTTTTTCACCATTGAATTTCATTTTGTTAGTTAGTGCCCAGTGTTCAAGTCTGTCCAGATCCTTCTGTATCTTAAGCCTATTCTAATATTCTATGCTATTGTAATATTCTATCCTAACATTTTATTCTATTCTAATATTTCATTCTCTTCTAATATTATTTCATTCTATTCTAACATTTCATTCTATTCTAATATTTTTTTCTATTCTACATGTTAATTGAGAATGGGGATGTATGAAACCTCTGGGCAGAAATTAACCATATGCATAAACATAGTAAATAATCTTTTTTTTTAAAGTTATCATTTGTCCCTTGAACTTAAGGGAAGCTACCCAAGAGATCTATGTTTGCAATTGGGCAAGTAATCAAATAAGAATCTTTGCTAAGTGCAGAATTTAATTGTGGTTTGCTAATAGGGCCATTTAAAGGCCAAAGAATTTGCTTGTCACATCATAAAAACTAACGAATGTATTCCTGCCTATGGCTATGATTCAGAAAAAAAATCCTCCATTATATATTTATGGATTTTAACCTGTGAAACCTGATGCCATGAGAATTTGTGGACCCCAGGGAGCAGATTTATGTATTTATTCATGTATTTAATTTATATCCCATTTTTACAATTTTTATAAATAACTCAATATACGAAATACAAGCAGTCCTCAACTTATAACCATTTGTTCAGTGACTGTTTGAAGTTATAACAGCACTGAAAAAAAATGACTTACAGCCATTTTTCACACTTAAAATCATTGCAGCATCCCCCCCCCCCGGTCACGTGATCAAAATTAAGGCATTTGGCAAATGGCGGTTGCAGAATCCTGAGCTCATGTGCAGACAGTGGGTTTAGTAGTAGTAGTAGTAGTAGTAATAGTAATAACATTAAGAGTCTGGATGAGGAAGATTACTACAAATACTTGGGTATCCTTCAAGCTGACAACATCAAGCACACTGAAATCAAGAAAAAGATTAGAGGTGAATACATCAAGAGAGTGAAGAAGATCTTAAAGTCCAAACTCAATGGAGGAAATACCATAAAGGCAATCAACACCTGGGCAATTCCAGTCATTAGGTACACAGCTGGAATAGTGGACTGGACTCAAGCAGAACTAAAAGCAATGAATAGGAAGACCAGAAAAATAATGACAATGAATCATGCCCTTCATCCACACAGTGACATTGACAGACTTTATCTACCAAGGAAAATAGGTGGGCGTGGAATGCTACAAGTACATCAGATGGTTGAAGAAGAAAAAATGGCTTTGGAAGAATATCTGAAGAACAATGATGAAGATGCACTGAAATTAGTATATCAGGAAGCTTACTGACTACTGGAGAGACCAAACTGGCCTACAAGAAAGACCAAATGAAGAACAGAATAGAGGCATGGGAAGACAAAGCACTACATGGCCAATACGTTAAAAAAATAGCTGGGAAAGCAGATAATAACAAGACCTGGCAATGGCTAAGAGCAGGAAAATTGAAGAAAGAGACCGGGGGACTAATTCTGGCTGCACAAGACCAAGCCTTAAGGACAAATGCATATAAAGTCAAAATTGAGAAGACAGCAACAGACAGTAAGTGTCGCCTATGCAAAGAAGCTGAAGAAACAGTGGGCCACCTGGTAAGCTGTTGCAAGAAGATTGCACAGACTGACTACAAGCAGCGGCATGACAAAGTAGCAACAATGGTGCATTAGAAGATCTGCAAAAAATATCATTTGCCTGTAAGCAAAAACTGGTGGGATCATAAAATAGAGAAAGTCATAGAAAATGATAAAATTAAACTGTTCTGGGACTTCAGAATTCAAACAGACAAGCACCTGCAACATAACACCCCAGACTTAACAATTGTCTATAAGAAAAACAAAAAAGTCTGGATAGTGGACGTGGCAGTGCCTGGAGACAGCAGAATAGACGAGAAAGAACTGGAGAAGATAACCAAATACAAAGACCTACAAATAGAAATAGAAAGACTGTGGCAAAAGCAAGCAAGGGTAGTACCAATAGTAATAGGCTCCTTGGGTGCAATCCCAAAACAACTGGAGCACCACTTGAACACCATCATTGGCATTGACAAATTCGCTATTAGTCAATTGCAAAAGGCGGCCTTACTAGGAACTGCTTCCATCCTGCGACAATATCTGTAATATCATCAAACATCCACATCTGCCTATCCCAGGTCCTGGGTAAGGACTCGATAGGTAGACAAAATGCCAAATCCAGTCTGAACATCTGGCTGACTGTGCGATGATCAATAATAATAATAAAGTTGGAAGGTACCTTGGAGGTCAACTACTCCAACCCCCTGTTCAGGCAGGAACCCTACATCAGGGGTGTTAAACTGCTGGCCCACGGGCCAGATGCGTCATACAGAAGCCACGTGACATCATGGGTTTGACATGTCTGCCCTATACCATTTCAGACAAATGGCTGTCCAATTTCTTCTTAAAAGTGCTGGAGCAATCACAACTTCTGGAGGCAGGTTGTTCCACTGATTAATTGTTGTCCCTGTCAGGAAGTTTCTCCTTAGTTTTAGGTTGCTTCTCTCCTTGATTAGTTTCCATCTGTTGTTTCTTGTCCTGCCTTCAGATGCTTTGGAGAATAGCTTGACTCCCTCTTCTTTGTGGCAGCCCTTGAGATACTGGAAGACTACTATCATGTCACCCTTGTCCTTCTCTTCATTAAACTAGACCAGGTTAGGCAATCTTGGCTCTTTTATGACTCGTGGACTTCAACTCCCAGAATTCCTGAGCCAGCATGGCTCAACTTGGAAACCTCTCCCTTTCCCCTCAGCATGGCTGGCTCAGGAATTCTGGGAGTTGAAGTCCACGAGTGATAAAAGAGCCAAGGTTGGCTATCTCTGAACTAGACAGACTCAATTCCAGCAATCGTTCCTTATATGTTTTAGCCTCCAGACCTCTAATCATCTTTGTTGCTCTTCTCTATACTCTTTCTAGAGTCTCAACATCTTTTTTACATCGTGGTGACCAAAACTGGATGCAGTTTGCTTAATGTTTGCTTAACAACCACCACAGAATTAAATCATAAAATCAGGCACAGCCAAGTGGTGAGCTACTTAAGGACTGGCATGATTTACGACCTTAATTCCAGGCTCCACTATCGTAAGTCACGAACTATCTGAATCTTATTCTATCATATTGTGATCTTGAGGCCAAATGCAAACTACAGAGAGTCCTCCACTCGTTTAGTGACCGTTCAAAGTTACAACGGCACTGAAAAAAGTGGCTTATGACCGCTTTTCACATTTATGACCATTGCAGCATCCCCATAGTCATGTGATCAAAATTCAGACGCTTGGGGGCTGGCTCATATTTATGACGGCTGCCGTGTCCCGGGGTCACATGATCTCCTTTTGTGACCTTCTGACGAGTCAATGGGAAAGCCCGATTCACTTAACAACCGTGTTACTAACTGAACAAACACAGTGGTTCACATAACAACTGTGGCAAGAAAAGTCGTAAAATGAGGCAAAACTCACTTAAACACTGTCATGCTTTGAAAGGAAATGGGTTCAATTCTGATT